CATCAAGATTCATATCGTCCCATTGCACTAGCTTCATGCGTTTTGAAAACTTACGAAAGGCTCATCAAGAACAGATTGGAATTCTACTTGGAGAAAAACCAATTGCTCCCAAGCTCGCAATATGGATTTCGAAAAGGACGGTCTACTCAAGACTTACTGATAAAGTTAACAACTGATATCCAAATTGGATTTTCGAATAACACGCATACTTCTGTAATATTTTTAGACGTTATGGGAGCTTATGATAATGTAGACTTGAATATACTATATAGTAAAATTATAAATATTGGTCTTCCAAAAGAACTTGCCAACCATTTGTTATTACTGTATAGCAATAGAAACATTTTCATCAGAGCCTCTGAGCAGACTATTGGACCACGATCAACATCTAAAGGACTAGCACAAGGGAGTATATTGAGTCCCATCTTGTATATAATATATTCCTATGACTTTGAAAGAGCTTTTAATTCAAGAGATGCTAAAATATATCAGTTTGCAGATGACTATGCCATTAGTATCCAGAACAAAAATTTATCTCAATCTATGGAACTTCTAGAAACAGCGACTTCCATTGCACACGAATGGTTTGAGAATAATGGATCTTCCATTGCCTACTCAAAATCTTGTGTATGTACGTTTACCAGATCACGCCTCAGTCCTTCAAATATCATCACTCTGGCTGGGCATAATATATCTTATAAAACTTCTGTCAAATATTTAGGAGTTATCCTAGATAAAAAACTTAACTGGAAAGAACATATTACATACATTTTAAAGAGAAGTCAGAATGCTTTTAACATTCTGAAGTCCTTTTCACATCGGAAATGGGGAGCAGATCCAGCAGTGTGCTTAAAATTTTACAGGACCTTAGTTCGATCAATCTTGGACTACGGATCAATACTTTATGGAAATGCATCTAGAATTCATCTTCAAAAAATAGAACAGATCAAAAATAAGTGCCTTAGGCTATGTATCGGATATTTGAATAGCACTCCCATCAATGTCATGGAGGTTGAATGTGTCGAACCTCCTCTTCAATTGAGACGACAAATGTTGAGCGATAAAGCCCTGGTTAAACTGGTCAGCAGGGAATTCATTAACGAGATCCACCAATTGTTTATTCATGGATTAACAGCGAAATACTGGCAACACAAAAGGCTTCCTCTGATCATAGCGAGTTATGAGTGGCTTCTTCCTACCGTCAAGAAGGTACGCTCTAATCAAATCAACCCATGTTTCATACCTGAATATTCGGCATATAACTCTCCACCCGAAGTTATCTTTACGAAATATTCCGAACTAGATTTATCAACACCTTACAAATTCCGGCATGATATTCGAACACGATGGAGTGGATGGGAATATATCTTCACGGATGGTTCGAAGAAAGACAATTTAGCGGGATGTTCATTTTATCACAGCAACAATTCGTATCACCAAGAATTCAAGTTGCCACCTGAATGTTCGGTATACACAGCAGAACTGGTTGCAATCAACCAAGCTATTGAATACTGTTTCCAATTCCATGGAAATACGAATTTTGTTATTTTTACCGACTGTAGAAGTGCTGTAACAAAATTAGAGAATTGTCACCCCACTGCAGATCTTAATCATCTAATTGCGAACATCATCAAGCGCATTCAGGAGCTGAATAAAATCGACAAAACTATAAACATAGTCTGGATCAAAGGCCACTCAGGTATAAAAGAAAACGAGATGGTAGATAATTTTGCAAAAAGAGCTACAACTAGAGGCGATTACGTTCCGGGCATGGAGATTCCTTTTACTGACGCTCATTTTCTGATCAGACAACGACTAAAGAATAAATGGAATAACCATTACAAAATCAGTCCAACAGGAAGTTACCTGAAACGTATACAAGAGACTCTTCGAAGCAGACCTTGGTTTCAAGGAATTACCAATCGTCCATACATTAGAACCGTGAGCAGAATAAGAAGTGGTCATGTCCTAACGCCCCATCATAAATCAAGAATTGGATACGGAGATGATCCACTTTGCAGTTGTGGAAATATAGGAACCTTGCAACACTTAATATTAGAATGTACAAGTTCTAACAACGAAAATTATGAATTGTATAAAATTTTAGCGAATCACCTTCCTTTGCCTCTAAATTTAGAATCAATTCTCAGTTCTGAGAACCAGCAAGTTTACGAACTTTTATACAAGCATTGTCGGAAAGTAGGCCTAACATTATAAAATGTAAATTACAGTAAGTTTGTTTGAAAAATGAAAAAAAGAAGAACATATTGAAAAAAAAACAAAAAAAGCAGATCTGTAAAAAAAAAAACAATCTTATAAACAAAATAGAGAAAAAGAAAAAATAAAAGTATTGGTTCAAAAAAAAAACAAAAAAGCAGATCAATAAAAAAAAAACAATCTTATAAACAAAATAGAGAAAAAGAAAAAATAAGTAAAAAGTATTGGTTAAAAAAAAAACAAAAAAAACAAAAAAAAAACAAAAAAAAAGAGAAATGTGTTTGCATCTAGTATAATAGAAATAATATACAATAGTAATATTAAGTAATGGATGTTCTATTTTCTATTAAAGCATAGCATTATACATAAGGATCTGGCCAGTTGGTCATCGACCAGTGCCAATAACAGAACAAAAAAAAAAAATTTTTTAGTTCGATTTATCACATAGTTTTTTGTGGATATGTAGTATTGAAATGTCTTACGAATCGTTCCGTAATCTAATCATTTCATTTAAAGCTTCACTTTTGCATGGGGCTTTTCCTGTTAACTTAGAGCAATCGAGTTCCTCAATCCGAATACCGTCTAAATCGTGTTAATAAAAAAGGGTCAGATGATAGTAAGAACACTTTTGGTTGTATTAGTTTTAGTATAGAATCCAAATTCGATAAATGCTAACATGGAGACTTAAGATATCTATCAGTCAAGATCACCATCACCAAATATGACTAACTCTGCACAAATTCAGCAAATACTAGTCAATACCTTTTAACCGACTCAAGAAAAGCATTGTAATTATTCACAACTTTTTAATACAAAGCAAAGAGATTCATTTCAGAATAATAATGTTATATTCATCACAACTTAAAGTATTCTATTTACATATTCGTCTCTACTTTTCTCAACACTGATTTCTCATTTTTGTGTGGCTTTTCTTCGTACGTTATTCGAACTGTAGGAGCCCGTTGTCGGGGAAGTTCTGGTTACTCGATGGCTCATTTTAAGACAGTCCTATAAATAAAGTCGTTCTAAATTAAGGCAAAAAGCATCTCTGAAGCACTGCCACGTTTTTTTTTTCTAAAATGTTTATAAGCATTACGTGTGTGTTTTTGTTATTTTGTGGTTAAATCCAACGTTTAGAACATGTCTGTGCTTCATTATATTTTGCCAAATTGACATATTTACGAAATGTCATTTTGATAGTGCGGCACTTGAAATTTCCGGGTGATGTTTCTTACAAATACGGTCACCGATATGTGGAACAAAAGATTATTTAACGATATTCACAAGTGCTTGTACTTGTAATGCTCGATTTTTCAATCGCTGGTTAACTTTCAAGTTAGGTAACTATGACTTCACTATCAGAAGCCGGTGAATTCGTTTTTCAGGTTCTGGTTGAGAGCCTACAAGGGTGGTCCCAGCAGTACCCGGCCTGATCTAGAGATGGCGATAGTTGTTTGAAAAATATCATCGTATGAGAAAGTATGCAACCTATAAAGCATATGTGTCAAGTTTGAAGACGCCACGGTGTTTAGTATTTGTTTGGCAGCCATGAACGTTTTCAGTGAATTTGTGAAAATGGAGAAAATTGGTCATCGTTATGTGGTACAATACTTTTATTTCAAAGGCCTCAGCCCAACCAATATAAAAGCTGAACTGGATTCGACTCTGGGTGAGTCTGCTCCTTCGTTTACAACAGTAAAATATTGGGTAGCAGAGCTTAAACGAGGCCGTATGGGCTGCCAAGACGAGCATCGCAGTGGCCGACCAAATGAGGTGACGACTCCATAAATGGTGAAGAAAATTCACAAAGCGGTACTGAATGATCGTCGACTGAAAGTGCGCGAGCTAGCAAACATAGTAGGCATTTCAAAAAGTGCGGTTCGTCGCATATTATCTGAAAATTTGGACATGAGAAAGCTGTGTGCAAGATGGGTGCCGCGATTGCTCACAATCGAACAAAAACAGTGTCGTGAAGATGTTTCAATTGAGTGTTTAGCGAAGTTTCACAGCAACAAAGCAGAATGTTTGCGTCGTTTCATAACCATGGATGAAACATGGGTCCATCACTTCACACCCGGGACAAAAGAACAATCAAAAACAATGGACTCAAAAGGGACAACCGGCTCCAAAGAAGGCGAAGACCGTTTCATCTGCAGGCAAGGTTATGGAGTCGGTTTTTTGGGATGCGCGTGGAATAATTTTCATTGACTATCTTGAAAAAGATACAACTATCAACGGCGATTATTATGTGAACTTATTGCAACGTTAGAGCGATGAAATCAAGCAAAAACGGCTGCATTTGTTTAAGAAGACATCAAGACAATGCACCAGCTCGCAAATCCGTTATTGCAATGGCCAAAATTAACGAATTAAAGTTTGATTTGCTACCACATGCAAGATGACATCTTATAGGTTTTTTTGCAGTTTTATAGGTTTTTTACAAGATACCCGTGCCGCTCATGGTCCTCGGCAGTAGTACTCCGTAACTTGAAAGGTAACGTGTCGGTTTCTTTTTGACATTACGTATAAGACGTCAACTTGGACCTTGCTGTCGTTCGCTTCATGCTCAGTTGTAGCAAGCGCGCAATGAACAATTTGCACACCATCCTACTTAGTCAACAGTTAATATTTTATCTTTTTTTTCTAATCATATAAGTTTTTTACGTAATAGCCCTGCTGGTTGAAGTTAATTACGACTTTAGGAGAAACTTGATCTTGAAAAATGCTTTTTGAGAGTTGACTTCTGGTTAGCAGTCAAGTTGCAGTTAACTTGCGATTTAAAAACCGAACCTAACATGTATTTACTAATCCAGTATTTTTATGGAGTAAGGCTCTACTGATATGGTCCACTGTTCGAGAACGTCAGAAATCCATCGGTGGAAAGAATGGGACTGGGACTTAAATTGATTTTTGTATCAACACCTAGTACATGCGTTCCAAATCATCCTCAATCTTTCACGATGACAGTTTGTTAACCCTTTTCTACCCTTATCAAAATCCCAGTGCAAACCCAGCGACAATGGACGACGGCGACGACATCCCCTTCTTCTCATCCATAGGTCGGTACAACCCCATCGGCTGCAAACGTGCAGGAGGAGGTTGCGCTTGTCCTCCAGGATGTCCCGGCAGGAACTTATCAAGGCTCAATCCCAGCATGACCAGGTTCATCGGAGGAGAGGATGATAAGAATCAAGTGAATAAGCCGAACGTGCTTGTGTCAGCATTTTGCCTCTTCTTTACTTTCTTGGTGAGCCTCTATTGCACAATGACCTTCTATGAATTTGTGGCTGACAAGAACTTTGGACATTATGCGTATGTTGGGTACATTACTATGTTACTGCATACCATGGGATCGATTAGCAAGTTGAAGATTGCAGGTAAGCATCTAGCTTAGAATTGAAATGAGGAACAATTGTTGAACCTATATCATCCTGATGGCATTCGCAGAGCGACACATCTTGTTCATGAAGTGAGAGATGCTCTTCATGCATTCTGTAAAGAGCAATGGAGCGACTTTCTGGCGGGGATGCTCGACTCAGGTATTCCTTTTTGGAGAGTCGCGAAGTCGATCAGAAACGTAAATCGAGAACAACTCCCGCACATCCACGGTCCTGGGGCATAGTCTTTAGAACAGAGGTCGATGTTTTCGATGATGCTTATGGAAAGACAGTTCTCTCCCAACTATGACCTTGATAATGACCTCGACGAGGAATAACACATCATAAGATACGTCAGGAGATATTTTATGGCCAAAGGTGTCAGTGGTAGTGGCGTCTCCCTTAATGATTTTTCCTGTTTTTTTTTCTGACATTATGTAGGTTTTTTGCCAAAACGTTGACTTAGCACTTAGGCCCGTATCGTCAGTCGACCCTACAATTGTAGGGCGCGTTTATGGCCTCCTTGATTGTCATACTCCTTTCTCTCCTTCAAAAATTTCTAGATTACACTTGTCCCATGTCAGCTTCAGCGCTCTCCTATTGTGAAGATTTGTTTTCCTTTTAAATTGTAGGAAATTTCAGGCTGATAAAACATGATATAACACAAAACCAAGCACAATTTGATCATTTGATGCAAATTGATGTTTGTGACATAACCTCAAAATAGAGCGCTGACACGGAGAAGTAGAAAACAATGACAATCAAGGAGGCCATAAAGGCGGCATACAATTGTAGGGTCGACTGACGATACGGGCCTTAGTTGTACGTGTTGCCTAAACGTCATAAGGCTTGTTATCAATCTTTGGCTCTGATGAGATGTAAAATCTGCTTCTGAGATGGCATTACTGGAGGTTTAAGCTGTAAGTTATATGTGTTGATGATAATTACATTGGGTTCTTGTCTCAAATACACTTAATTGAGATTCAAAGCTAGAAATTAGTTGCGCATCCACTTTTTCTTATCCATTCTGGAAATTATATATACAAATTTGCTGAATTTCAAAAATGAGAGAGATCAGAAATAATTATATTCACTGTACACTGTCGAATTACAAGCCATATACAATGCGGGCGTGGTGATGATTTCCCGTAATTCTCCTCAGTTTTTCGTAATTTATAACTTTGAACATAACCTCTCTTCAGAAAGCACAACATATAAATAACCCGTCATATTCAGCATATTCAGTAATGATTTTCTCACACAGTAAATATAACTGATTTGATACACATGCAGACCAATACACATAATCATCCAGATGCGATCTTGCTATTCAACCAACTTTCTTCTCGGAGATAAAAACTACAGACTATGCAACCAAGAATGCGTGATTGCGTGTAGCTTAGTTGAGTGATTCCTCCATAGATGGACGTTCACAACAATCCTAGTGAGCAAACGTGGAATGACTGCTTGCGCCCTAAAAACTACCTAGTCTACAAGTTGACATCTTATAGGTTTTTTTAACGTATTGTAGGTTTTTTACATGATACCCGTGCGGATCACATATATTGGGGTTCAATCGATAGGTATTGTGGACTTCTATCATTTGACTTCCGTTGATCCACTGATAATCTTACACCATGTATTTTAGTTAGGCCTTCCAGGTGACCCATCCACCCAATAATAATCGATTTCTAGGTACCATCTACATTAATTCTACATAATGTAGGTTGATTTGACGGCCAGTGAAACATGATTCATCAGCGAGACAACTAGTGGATAAGTTTTGAATGTAACACGAACTATAAACTGGACCTACTTTTCCTTCTTTGACAGTCCTTGTCTTTCCCCTCGAACATTCGACCCAGTTTGTTACGAAACGTCAAAATTCAAAGTGTTAGTGTTCTGAGTGATATGTATTCGCAACGTTTAGAAGGAAGATGTCCTTGCATTAAACTACCTAGAAGACAAAGAGGCATTTCCAAATGTGAAGATGAGGAAGTATTTCTTCCATCATCTGTACTAATTTTCCTCGACATCTTCTCTCTTATCACCAGCCTCTATTGCTTTAGCATATTCTATGACCATGTAGCTGGTGGTGATTTGATGCATATCGGTTTTTTAGCCTACCTTTTATCAATACTTAGTTCAATTGCAAGCTTCGCAGCACTAAGTAAGTATCGTTAAGTTGAATCCTGAATAAATGAAGGGTACAGGGAAAAATATGAATGTCAGAAATTTGGTGCTTTGTTGTTAGAACCCGCAACATGTAGTGTTAACGAAGTACAATCCCATGAGGTATCGGAAACACGATAGGCATTTTGCTGGTTAACCAACCCTAAGATTTTACAGGGTGTCGAATATGACAAAATGCTCATTTCTAATCTCAATGTATCAAAAAAGTTGAATTCAGGCATGGGCGATAGCACATAAAAACGTTTAAAATCATAAAGAGAATCTCAAAATACGTACAAATATAAAAAGAGATTTTCCATTAAAAAATATTTAGTCTGTTTTAACTTCGGGATATTTTTTATTTATGATTTAACTTTTTTCAATTTCTCATAATAAGGAATATATGGTACTCCGTCAGATATATGAGCCACCCTGTACAACGAGTCTAGAAGCCTTCAAACTTTTAAATTCACTTTTCTCGAAACTTACTTTTCGTGACATTCTCTTTTTACCCCTGTACCCTTCAAATATAAAAACCACGAACATCAGCTTGTTGTAAACATATGTAGATTTTTAGTACCTAGCCGAACTTAAAAACGAAATAAAACAAAGAACTACAACGTGTTGCATTTAAAATTTTTGAGAAAAACTACAGTTTGAGTTTATGACCACCCTGTATGAGCAAAAATTGAAATTCGAAAAAGTGACGAAGCAGCTCAAGTTGAAGTTTTGGGTCAATTTGGAATAAATCCTAATACTTCATTACGCAAAATTGTTGCTGCGACTGGTATTCCATTTGGCTCTGTAGTAACAGTTACTAAACTCCATAGATTTCGTCCATTCAAAATGAAAATATTGTAAGAGTTAACCGAAGATGATTTCGATAGGCGAGTTGAGTTTTGTGAACAAATCACTGCAGCGATTGATGGTAATACAGTTCATGTAAAGAATATTTGCTTGTGATGAATGCACATGTTATCTAAATAATAATAATTAACGTCCTTTATTTGTAATATTCTTACAGGAGGCGAGATTTAGATAATATATCTATTCTGCCATCTAAGCCCCTTAACAATACGAGATGTAAAAAACAGAATTTGTTACCTGTATACAATAACGACAGAATAAAGTATAATCTAAGTAAATGCATAAAGAAAATATGAGGCCACTTATGGGTTACAACAGATTTCGCTGCTGATCAAGAACTTCTTTCACTTTTTTCTTGAATTTGGGTAATGGATTGGTTTCTTTTAAACTGCGATCTAAAGAATTATGTGATTTGGTCGCATTGTAAATATATGTAGGTATTCTGAAATAGAGATGTGCTGTGGCGTGGAATGGAAAAAGTTTCTCGATATCTAATATTAATGCCATGCATATTCCCTCTACGTATGAATTTGTTTACTAAATATGACGGTGTTTTTGAATAAAGAACCTTATGAGATATAGGAGCTGTTACTTATACATTTTATCAATTTTCATCCATTTGAGTTCATTAATGGCATTCGATATATTATCATACTTTCTGAGACCATTTACAAGTCTGTAATATCTCTGTAATATCAAGTTATAATATCTAAATAGAGGTAGTAAACCACTAAGCAATACGATATCTTTGAAAACAAGAAAGATTCACACAATTGCTTTCTCGCAGATTTATGTAATATAGCCTTATTTGCAAATAAAACTCTGAGAATAGCATAGCACTGAGAAATTAGATAGTTTACGTGTACAACAAATTTTAAGTCATCATCCATTAAAATACCTAGGTTCTTCGAATGATCCACAGGAACTAATTTATTACCTTTTAAATGTATGTCTATGTTCTTTATTAAAGTATTCTTTTTTGTTCTATTTGCGTATACCAACATATTTGACTTTAAAGGGTTCAAACGAAGATTATGACTACTACTGAACTTTTCAATTTGGGCAAGATCTTGATTAATTTTATTATTTGCTGTTTCCAAGTCATTACTCCTAAATGAATAGAAAAGTTGAGTATCGTTTCTTAATCTGAGATATATAATGAAAATAATATGGGTCCTAAGACTGATCCCTGTGGTACACCAGAACAAATTTTTTGTTCGGTAGAGTACTGTTGATTTAGACGAACTTTTTGATGCCGATTTTCAAGGTCGGTTTGAATAAACGAGAGAGGTTTTTCAGAAAATCCATAATAACTGCATTTAGACACAAGAAATGAGTTATTAATGGTATCAAATGCTTTAGTAAAATCAAGAAGTATGAGAGCTACTGCTTTTTTGGTTATCAAGTGCCATTATTATATTGTCTGTTAAATCACCGAGTGCCGAAGCAGTATTGTGACCCTGTCCAAATCCAGATTGTTTAGATGGAATAATTTTGTTAGAATATAAGTAGGCGCAGAGCTGCTCATAAACAACGCGTTCCAATACTTTAGAAAAAACTGGCAGTAGACTGATCGATCTCAGTTGACCATAGTTAGTAGGATCAGAACACTTAGGTAGCGGAACAACTATAGCGCGTTTCCACTGATTCGGAAAATATCCCTTCTCTAAACAGCAATTGATAATATGTGTGTTAAGTACACATCAATTTCAGGTATACATAGTAGTATCGTATGCAAAGTTATTCCATCTGAACCACTAACTAGAATTTGATTTTATTTCATGTATGATTTTAATAACGGTGTCAATAGTCACTTTATTAAATTGAAATTTGGATTTTCAGTTATTTTTATTAGCGCGGTAATATGCAATTTCATCAGCACAACCCAAATCACTATTCTCGAAAATTGAAATGAATGCCTCAGTTATTTTATACGGATCTGATAAGCTCACGGGAATTGTAGAATCTTTCTGAGATTGCACTTTGAAAGTCGTTAAGGTTTTATAAAACTTTTTTATATCCTGATTTTGAACAGCTTGTAAATAATCTCTTTTTCCTCTACGCACGAGCGTTAATGCACGATTTCTGAAATATGTATACTGTTGCAAAGAGGCGGCTGTACTATCACGTTTGAACTTTGACAAAGCTTCAGCTTTGCTTGAATACAAGTTTAATATTATCATCCAACCAAGGAGCTGGAGCCTTGTTTACACGTACTACCTTTTTTGGACAGTGAACATTAAATAAACATAAAATAGTACCTGTTAAAAAGTTAATTTTATCTTCAATGTCATCTATCGATATAATATGCCACCATGGAAAACTCTATTTCATTTAAACTATGGAAATCCCTGAATTTCAAAAAATTCTGTTTATTTTTAGGAAGTGAAAATCGTATATCACAGAACGTTAAATTGTGGTCAGTAATCATATCAGCATTAATAGTGCTACTCCTAAGACAACTTTCAGGCTTGCTCAAATAAATAGGATCTAAGAGAGAGAGTGCCCATTCAGTTATCCTAATGGGTTCAGATATAACCTGTTTCAGGTTATAAGAATCAAGGCAAGGATGATATCATCATATTCAGCTAATATGGCAGGTAGCAAGTCATCAAAGGTATTAGCGGCTTCTGTAACAGAGCTATGTGGGGGCCGATAGAATATACCAATAGAAATTTTTTGTTTTGGAGTTGTAGTGGTTATTTACAAAGACTGCAACCCCACCACCTCGCCCATCTCTATCACAGCGATAGCAGTTGTATCCATTCATTCTTATATGGTCATTAGATATATCTTTTGATAGCCATCTTTCCGATATTCCAACAATATCAAGGTTGTTGTTTTGAACCAGAGTACTAAATTCACGAAATCCTGATAAAACTGATCTGCAGTTTATATGACCAAATTTTAAAACCTTGAATTTATCACTATTCATATTCAATTTTAGATTTCAAGTTTGTAATATGTTTTTTATAGGTTGGACAATATAAGTCTTTAGAAGAATGACTAGTATCAAATTGAATATTGAATTAAGAATTCTGACTCATACAGTTTGAACAATTCTTAAAATCCGGTTTACAATTTTTTTCTAAGTGTTCTCCAACACATAAAGGACATGATACTTTGGAATGTTTGCAATTTTTTTCCATGTGGCCAAAACTTGAACATTTATAGCAGTAGTAGTAGTATAGTAATGGATTTGTTAATAAGCATAACTGCAAGTATTGGAGTAATGAAAATACTCGTGCTTTTGTAGAAGGGCATACCCAGTACGCACAAAAAATTAATGTATCTGCAGGCATTTTAGGGCCATTGTTTATTAATGGAAATTTGAATGGATTGGATTTGGATACGTTGTAAAAAACCATCAATCCGCTTATCACTGAAACCATTGAAAACCAAATCGAAGAGGATGGAAACTCTATACTTCATAAGGCTGAAATATATTTCCAGCAAGACGGCTCTCCTCCACTGTGTTTTTCCGGTTCGGCAATGGCTAGACGACGAGTGTCCATTTAAATTGATAGGGCGACTAGAGCCTATGGAATGGCCTGGTAGATCTCCTGATTTGAAGCCATTAGACTTTTTTCTGAGTCCATTTCGAATCTACTGTTTACTCTCCGGCCTGAAAGTTTGGATGAACTTCGTCAACGCATCATCGAAACTTTTCATGATATCTCACAACATGTTTTTTTAAACGTCCCTCAGGAAGCATAGCCTACATCATTGTAAGGCCAATAACGGGCAACATTTTGAACACTTATTGAAATAAAAAGTGATACTTTCGTGTGTTTTTGTTCTCTATCTGAGCAAATTAATATAATTAAAAATTTTTCTAATTTTCTTGAGAACGAATCGACCGATTCTGAAAAATCAAACGTCAAAATAAAGGACTTCGAAAGACCTTACCAACAAGCTATTACTCGATACCCCTTGTCCCTTAAAATTTTTGAAGTGGTGACAGGGGGTGAAGTAGTTTTTGGTTAAAAAGTTGTCCCTCTTGATAAATCTTTTGACGTGTCTCGGCGTGGTTTTCTACGAATCCGTGGTGGGAAGTTTTCAAATGAACACCCTGTATACATAATCTGGTCAATAAATCGCATGGTAACTTGTGCAGAATAAAATCCTTTATGAATTGATTGCAGCGTTACGTAAGAAGTGCAAGCTTCACCTACTTAAATCCATTATTCTTCATTGTTTCAGGTGCTGAAGACGTCTTCTACGACCTGCGTATTCTCACAGACTACGCTACCCAGGTGTTGGTAATCCCCAGCCTCACGATCGAGCTTTGGACGCAGAGAGGTATCGGTTCATCAGAAGTGACTTTAATTTCGTTGGCCTTGGGTGGCATGGCCTTCTTGTTCTTCGTCGCAATGGAGTACAAACGACGTGATATCACTGACCTCGTAGTACTGCTTAATGTGATCTTTATAGTACTGGCCAATCTGGCCTGTACCGAAGATAGGCTTCTCTTATATTCCTTAACGGCGTACATCATTTTTGCCGTCGCGTATGTTGCTACCAAAAGACATAGTAGTGATAACCCGACATTGGACAACATATTCCATGTAGCAATGTCCATTGTACTGTTGCTAACCTTGATAGACCTTGAACCTTCCTCTTATAAGCCTACCCCTATCAACTGGTTGGTAGGAGAAGATCAATGATCCGCGACCCCCCCCCTCCCTGGGGCAAATCAACTTCGACCAGACGCCGCCCCTCCCGCTCTTCAATTTACCAATTTATAGAAGACAGCTCTCACATGGAAGATAAGTACCATATTTTGTAATTAAAGTGTTTTTGAAATCGTTTATATTTTTGACTTAACTTTTGATCAATTCTATCACTTTGCACTAAGTACCTTCGTTGATCCTACTAGAAAATGGTCTATTAAAACCGCACGGGTAGTACGTATCTTGAAAAGTGACATTATGTGTTTTTTTGACATTACATTGGTTTTTTGAGACATTATGTAGGTTTTCTACAAGATGTTAACTTAGTACTAGCTCATGAACACTTGTGGACTCGTTTCGTAGTTGTGCGTGTTGCCTAAACGTCATGATGCTTCAGTTATCAATATTTGGATCTGATGTGATGTAAAATCTGTTTCCGAGATGGCATTATTGGAGGTCTAAGGTGTAATTTGTATACTATTGCTAGAAGGAAACGGCATTGCATAGGTGCATAGTGAGGATTTGTGTCCTAATAATGTGTTGATGATAATACCATTAGTTTCTTGTCTCAAATACACTTACTTGAGATTCGAAGCTAGAAATTGGTTGCGCATCCACTTTTTCTTATTTAATCTAGAAATTATATATGCACTTTTGCTGAATTTAAAAAATGAGAGAGGTAGGAAAAGAAAGTCTCTGGTTGGTGAAGGAACAAGTGATAAAATATGCTACAGACAGGAATATTTATGAAAGTGAATTTTATTTTGCGATGTCAATAAAAATAAAAATCAGCGTCTAGATGTGAGGCATTGCGATTGATGTGTGATGCGTCATTCCTAATTTTTCTGTGATGAGGCTTATTTGAACACAACGTGGGCATGGTGCGTTTTCCCTTTGTGCTCCTCAAAATTTTTGAAAACACAAAAAAGACAAAAAAAAATCGTAATTTATAACTTTGAACAAAACCCGTCTTCAGAAAGGACAACATTTAAATAACCCGTCGGTCACAGCTAATAGATATACTCCATTGGCAGCATATTCAGTAATTAATTATTTTCTCACACACCAAATACCCCTGATTTTATACAAATGCAGACTAGTACGCATAATCATCCAGATGCGATCTTGCTATTCAACCAACTTTCTTTGTTTCACATCTTCTCAGAGATGAAAGCTACAGACTACTAGGCATCACAAAACATATGAAACCAACAATGCATATAGTTGAGTCATTTCTCCATAGATGGACGCTCACAACGATCCTAGTGAGCAAACGTGGAATGACTGTTCGCTAAGCTACAGACTACTAGGCTTCACAAAACATATGAAACCAACAATGCATATAGTTGAGTCATTTCTCCATAGATGGACGCTCACAACGATCCTAGTGAGCAAACGTGGAATGACTGTTCGCACCCTAAAAACTACCTATTCTTCAAGATGACATTTTATTTTTTTTTTAACGTTTTATAGGTTTTTATTTTACTTGATAGCCGTTCACATATCTACAGTTTCGATAGTGAAAGATGTGTTGCCAAATAGGATCGTAGTAATTCCTCAGAAATAACAAAAGCATAGAGGAAATCCGGGAGAGTTAAAGGCGTATCCAGCTCACGGAAAAAAATTATTGTGAAAGTTCCACAGCATATCTACATCACTATTTTTGATATTGTTCTGTATATTTCCATTTCATAGATATAGTGTTCGCAGCGCTTTATTTATAATAATATTAATATAGTTCATAGGGATATGGAAACATTAAAGCAAGACAAATGTGAACCTGTTGTAAAAGAAATTGTACAGGATTTATATATTCTTGAGGGTGGATGCAAAAGCCCTCATCTTGAAATAAAAAATTCTGGATATTTTTTTATCAAACTTCATGGTTATCAGTCTATAGAAGAACAGGGAAAGCGATGAGCACACCTTCAAAATGGGTATGTCCAGTTCGTTGCAAGAGTTAATTGATTATTGCAAAAAATCGTTCATTTTTTGCCGAAAAGTGCATAAGAGTAATTATGAAATAGTACCCAAAACTGAAAGCCTTTGTAGTTGTTAATATCGAAAAGATCTTCAAAAATGCTCAAACTATCCAGTGATGTAACTGCTGCAACAAATTAGATATACAGGGTAAGTTTTTAGTATCTAATGGGACAATATCTCCATTACTATACGAGGGATGTCTTTTAAGTTTTGCATATGGAAATAAAACAACACGGTAGGTAGTTTTAAATGACTTTATTGTTTTTCGAAGTATTCTCCATGAAGATTAATACATATCTGCATGCGCTCGAACCAATTTTCGAAGCACTTATTCCACTCGTTTGCTGGCATATCCAAAACGGCATTTTTGAATGCGTCAACTGCTTCTTCTGGTGACTGGAACCTTTGACCAGGCAGTCTGTTTTTAATTTTCGGGAAAGTAAAGAAATCGTTAGGACTTAGATCGGGACTATATGGAGGATGGTCCAATAATTCCACGTTTTCTTCCGTTAAATACTGCCTTGTTTTTTGGGCTGTGTGCGAGCTTGCATTGTCTTGGTGGAGGATGATTCTTCTTTCGGGGTTGATTTTTCGAAGCTCGGGGATGACTTTTGGCAAACAAATGGTGGTATACCAATCTGCAGTAACAGTTCTTTGCTCATTAAGCTCATTAGAGCGGATGACTTTTGTTGGCTTTTCTTCACCTTGGAACACCCAAACAGCCGACTGTCGTTTATTTTCTGGTTCATAACAGTAAATCCACGATTCATCACCACTAACAATGCTATACAGATTTTTTGAGTTTCTAGAATTGAAACGGTCAAGCGTTTTTTGACACTAATTAACCCTGGCTGCTTTCTGCTCTTCAGTCAACAGGTGGCGTATCCAACGAGAAACTAATTTGCTTACTCCTAATTCTCCTTGTAAAATTTCTTGAATTGAGGTCTTTGAGATCTTCAAGGACGCCTCAATCGCGCGATATGTCACATGTCTATCATCAATGATGTGGTTGCTGTTGGACCGTACTGTCGACAAGTTATTATTAACTTTGATCCCAAATTTCCTACCTTCAAGGAAGGATTTCAAAAGATTTAGGAGCCAAAATGGAAAGCCATTTTCAATTAGTTTATAGAGAAAGCCCTTGTGCCACACCTTGTCCAATGCCTTCGAGACATCCAGAAGCAAGATGCCAGTACCTTCGTTAAAGGTGAAGCCCCTGGTTACTCGCTCCACAAGCCTGTAACCCCGTACTATGCTCAAACCAAAATCCAAATTGCACGTCAGGAATCACATGGTGATCTGACGAGAAATTCGCAAGGTGACGTAGAATCACCTTTTCAACGAGCTTAAACGGAACAGACAGCAGGCTGATGGGACTATAGTCCTGGGGAAATATCGAACCCACATTCTTTGGAATCATTACAACTTCCGCAGTCTTCCACGGCGATGGAAAGTACTGGGTCCTTAGCGTGGCATTGATAATAGCAACGAGATAAGACAAGGACTTCCGTGAAAACACCTTCAGCGCCTTATTAGTGATTTGATCCTCCACAGGCGCTTTACGCACCTTGAGGTCTTTAATATGACCTTGAAGCTCTGCTGGTATGCAATGCGGGATCTCGGGAGAAGTCGCTGATGTGCTGTGCAATTCTTCAGCTGAAGAATCTTCCGAAAAAGAATTTTCTGAGGAAGAATCACTAATGGCGGCGCCGGGATCACTGACGCCGTTGGCCCTAAAATACTGTATCTCCTGACGGATCTTACAATTTGTTGCTCCTCGTCGAGATCGTTATCAAGATCAAGATATAATATGCCATTAATGGTGAAAACTCGTAATAACTAACTATTCGTCATTTATTTGTCTGGGCGGTCCGTAGGACCTTTGCCCATTAGTCACTGTCTGATGTACGTTAGTCGAATCTGTCAGTCCTGGTTGCCCAGAAACCAGACAAAGGCAAGGAAAAAGAGAAAGGGAAAGAGAAGAAAAAAGGAGAAGAGCAAAGAAAAACAGATATGCTTAGTTTAAGAGGAAACACCTAGGCTTTTTGACTTGGTACACGGATTAATTTTGAGGTGAACTAAACAAATTTTTGATTCGGTTTTGTTAGAGTGTAATTTTGAGTTTACTAAAGATTCACGCTAACTTTTGATTACAGTGCGAGCCGTGGCCTTGAATGTTTACGAACTTGCTCCACTGTGTAGTCCACTGAGTCACGCAACAGAGGGTTGCTGTGCGATTCCGCTTGACTATAACGTCGCTGCGCCTGAAGCTTGACATAGTCCCTCAAGTAAGGAATGTCAAGGTCTCTGTGTAGTGTCTCATTTGAGACATACCATGGAGCGTTGCAAATTGTCCGCAAAGTTCTGCTTTGCAGTACTTGAAGACTTTGCATGTGTGTCTTGGGAAGAAAACACCAAGCCGCACATGCATAAGTAATGGCTGGTCTAATAATCATTTTATATAGTCGAACTTTGTTTATCAAACTCAATTTGGAGGATCTACATAACAAAGGATATAGTTGCCGAAACGCAATTTGGAATTTTGTTTTTATGGATGCTGTATGTTTAAATAGCCTGCGTTTTCGAATTATTAATTTTTATCAGCCACCGTTCCGCCCACTCTAGAACTTCGTCCACCGCATTCTGCAACCCATCGTGAACCAGATCACCAGTACACGACTGGGCGACAAGTGCAGTGTCGTCAGCATAGAGGTAGACTTCACAGTTGCTGGGGGAATGGACATCATGGATGAAAAGCGAATAAAGAATTGGTCCTAGGACCGAACCCTGAGGAACACCGGCCCGTACTGGCCGTGTTGTTGACAAAACATTGTTAATTTTGATCCGAAACTTCCTTCCTTCAAGAAAGGATTTCAGTAATTTTAGAAGCCAAAAAGGAAAACCCTTTTGGATTAGTTTATAGAGGAGGAACGCGTGCCAAACCTTGTCAAAGGCTTTTGAGACATCCAAAAGCAAGATGCCAGTACTCATGCTAAGGGTGAACCCTCTGGTTACATGCTCCACCAGTCTGACTGCCTGTAGCTCGGTGCTATGCTCGGACCGAAAACCGAATTGGACGCCAGGAATCACATGATAATTTGACGAAAAATTCTCAAGGTGACGATAAATCACCTTTTCGGCGAGCTTAGAAGGAGCTGACAGCAGACTTATGGGACGGTAATCCTGAGGAAATATCGAACCCACCCTCTTTGGAATCATGATGACCTCAGCAGTCTTCCACCCAGCAGGGAAGTACTGGATTTTGAGCGTCGCATTGATTATTGTCACCAAGTATGTCAGGGCTTTCGGCGAGAGCAGCTTCAACGCCTTGTTGGTGATTTGATCCTCCCCAGGTGCTTTACGCACCTTGAGGTCTTTAATATAACTTAGTAACTCCGCTGGTGTGCAATGTGGAAACTCGGAGGGTTCCGCTAATGTGCTATGTGGAGCCTCAGACGAATCTTCTGAAGAAGAGCCATCTGAAGAGGATTCAGTGCCTCCGCTGACGCCGTTGGTCCTAAAATATCTCCTGACGGATCGTACGATGTGCTTTTCCTCGTCGAGGTCATTATCGAGATCATAGTTGGGAGAGAACTGTTTTTCCATGGCATCAGCGAAAATCTCGACCTTATCCTCCGTTCTGAAGACTATGCGTTCAGGACCGTGGATGTGTGGGAGTTGTTCTCGCTTTCCGTTTCTGAGTGACTTTGCGACCCTCCAGAGAGGAATACTTGAATCAAGCATTCCCGCCAGAAAGTCGCTCCATTGCTCGTTGCGGAGTTCGTGCAGTGCGTTTCTCACTTCATGGACAAGATTTTTAGCCCTACGAATGTCATCAGGATGACAAGCTCGTCATTTGTGCGTTAAAGTTACTGTCAGTGCAGTGACAATGTCAGCCACTACAGAAGATGATACAGATAAGAATCCAAAGTTTCCTGAGAAGTTCCGATGGACGGCAAAGGAAATACCACTATTGGTTTGGGTGCTTGGGGTCATGACCGTACTCCAGTCCCAAAGGTCACTCCAAACACTCGATGGACAAACTGGAGGAAGTCCTTTCGTTGAATACCTGCTGGGCTACCTTTTGACCGCGATACTTGTCGGAATGCCGATTGCCTTCCTTGAGATGTATGCTTCGCAATATTCTGCCAGGTACATGAGAATGTTCTCATAGTCAAAATAGCAGCTGTGGTTGGATTTTTCCGACTGGTTTAAATAGAAATTTGACAATGCGGAAACGGCTTCTACATTGGAATAAATATTCCCAGTTCGCCCAAACATTTCAGTATGAGCATTCGCCACTTTTCACAAATAGCCCACTGATTTTGCCGCAGACCTAAAAAGTGATATGAAAGTCCTTTAAAGCGTGGCTTTTTTAGTTGTTCGTCCAGAACCATAAGAAAAATCGAGAAACAAGAATAAATGCATCTCAAATTTCAACAGTTTGGTATGCGCATTCACCACTTTTTGCAAATGGCAGCCGATTTTCGGCTTATCTTAATGTTAGCGATTTTAGTTTTTGCAACGTATTGGCCTCTCGAATTACCTGCGAAGGGCGAAGCGCTACATTGACTACAAAAATATCTTTGTTTCTCTAATACATAGACATCTGATTTACGTCTATTTTCCCTCATTTGTGTGCATCTTTGAGCAGACCCGAGTGTCCAGTAGTTCGCACGAAGAGATCAGCCCTATCGTCTCGAAACAACAGACATTCATTTATTTTTACATTGTTATTTACACCATTTACCGTTGTAAAATGTTGGCCGTTATTGTTTTGATTATAATAATATGTATACTAAGTGACATATAAATCCGAACACCCAGTTTAAATGGTTTTATTTTAATAAAACTTGGTGAATGTATTTATCTTACTGTAAATAACAAGTGAAAAAATGTTCAGCCTTATCAGTTGGACATTCCGGTTTTTATACTGCTTTTTTTAAAATTCACTAACGCTCTAAAAATGAATATTTCAGCCGCAGTAAAGAATCAACGTTGGCGGATTTTGGTTCTTGACATCCTTTACGATCGGTTACGATGCCTAGAGTACGGAGACCTGTACGATTTCGTCAACTTAGTGAGTTTGATAGGGGCCGTATAGTGGGACTTCGGGAAGCTGGACTTTCTTTTCGGGCAATTGCAGTTAGAGTGCAAAGAAGTGTAGACACTGTGGTTAGGTGTTGTCAGGCATGGCTTCGAGAAGGCCGTACGCAAAGAGCAAGGGGCACTGGACGCCGCCGTAGAACAACAGACCGTGTAGATCGCCGCTTAAGATTATTGGCCTTAAGGGACCATTTCTCCACTACCAGGTCCATTGCAAATGAATGGTTTGCAGAACACGGAAGACCTATTGGCATGCGAAGTGTTTACCGACGAATGAGAAGTTTTGGCTTGTTTTCATACCGGCCACACTGGGTCCTCCCTTTAACTCGAGAACACCGACGTAATCGCCTTGAGTGGTGCAGACAACGGTCACTCTGGGATCAGGAATGGAACAGTATTGTCTTTAGTGACGAGTCTCGATTTTGTTTAGGCATGCACCATGGTCGTGCCAGGGTTAGAAGGCGACGTGGTGAAAGGAGGAATCCACAGTTTTTTGTTGAAAGACATGTTCATCACACTGTTGGAGTTATGGTTTGGGGTGCTATAGCTTATGGTTCCAGGTCACCTTTAATCTTCATCAGAGGTAACATGAACGCGCAGCGTTATATCCACGAAGTTCTAGAACCCCATCTTTTACCCTATCTTGACACCCTGGCAGATCCAACTCTCCAACAAGATAATGCCCGACCACATGTTGCAAGAGTCACAATAGACTTCTTTCAACATAATGATGTCACATTGTTACCATGGCCACCAAGATCTCCCGACTTATCCCCAATTGAGCACGTGTGGGATATGATGGGTAGGAGATTGCTCAATTTGCAACGTCCTCCTCAGACTCTAGAAGCACTTCGAGAGGAGTTGGTGGTTGCCTAGAATAACATACCACAGGATGACATTGACCACCTGATCAGAAGCATGCCTAGGCGCGTTGGAGAATGCGTAGCACATCAGGGTGCATCCACACATTATTGAAGGTCAAAGGGCAGTGCAATCATTTTGAAATTTTTATAATTTACTTATTATGCTTCATTAAGTACTTATACAAAATTTTATTAAAATAAAACCATTTAAACTGGGTGTTCGGATTTATATGTCACTTAGTATATATATTCATTAATTAATCAGCTGGACCGGAATTAGAGCGTACATTCCGACAGTGTCTAATGTTCATGTCACGAAGATTTTGGTACGGTTGGAGCTGAGTTGAAAAAATCAGGTGATAGCTATTTGAGAAAAGATGTAAGGTAACTTACCTATTTACTATCTTACGCTGGGAACGCTTCTTAAGATCGGCGTGCACTAAGGTCAATTACTTATTTGGTTCATTTTACACTTTAGTAGTGGTATTTAGGGTAACTATGCCTAAATTGTACCCCCTAAGACATTTTTATTTTATAGGGATTGTTAATACTTAAACAACAACAAGCATATAAACGTAAACTTCATTTAATTCTTAAGCTTATTGTTACAACTTAATAGACATAGGAACTTGAAAAAACTGAAAATTTTCGGTTTCAAAAAATCGTGTAAAAACTACGAAATAGGAGCATTGATCTTAATTCGTACCTTGGTGTGCTTAAATCATACTTATATTATACATGTACTGCAATTGTCGCATAAATATGATATCTTATGACGATCAGGTGGCCACAAACCACAAGCTTCAAATCCGAGCAGTACTGTAGCCATATAAGCTGCTATGGGATATGCTACGCCTAATAGTTCAGCAATATCTGTTTATTATTGTAGTGGTTGACGACACATTTTACTTAAGTGAACCTCCATGTTTTGCTTTGGAATTTGCGAATTTGAACGAAGGCGTAGGAAGTATAGAGTCAGTCTACTTGACGCATTTTTTTCCATATGGAGTAACAACCTTTCAGAGGAAGCGTTGCCACATGGGACGTATGTCCACTTTTTAGAGGAGTTGGATATGGAAGGCTTTTAACACTACTGCTATTCCAAGCCTACTACAACTGCTTAGTAGCGTTGTTGTTACTGTATGGTGTTCGTGCGATCACGGAACGTGATAGTTGGAGATGTGAAAATAATACTGCATACTGCTTCAATTTTGATGGAAGAAATGGTGCCAATGGAAGGTTTAGAACTCCTGCGGAACGGTACTATCTTCAAGAGATCTCTAACGGTGCCCCACAACTCAATAAAGGCAAGTTAATTTGGGTATTATCATTATAAAGGATGCTTTTGTAATAGCTGAAATATGTTAGGTTGTTTGTTACTTGAGAGTATTTTAATTCCAAAAACTTCTAAAATGATTTATTATGCTTTTGGATGTTGTGATTTGTAACCTTGTCACCCATTTCCGTTGGTCTGTCTGTCTGTTCGCTAATCCTTGGCCCATCTATAACTTGGCAAACGCCCCTCGGATTTTTAAAAAATTTCCAGATAGTGGGGGGCAAAAAACGAAACAAATACAAATCGCCCAAAATTCGTTTCTTGACGTTTCAGAGGTTCCTGATCATTTTCTGGAAAACAATTGTAGGTATTAAAAGTTGGGTGTTGTAGGGCGTTAAGGAGGGTATTTCACAATTTTTTGATGTTAGTATATTTATACGTTCTCAACCTCGGTATTCGTAGCTAACTTTTTTCTCATAGGGTCTAACTAATGACAGCGTTGCGTGGAAAGTGCAGAGTCAACCTACTTGACGCGATTTTTTTCAAACGTTTTTTTTTTAAGAGCTCTTCTTTTAAAAGTGACACAGGCCATGTTCAAACCGTAGCTACAGAGCACACGTTCGTGTTGTTCTGTGCATGTAAAATCACTTGGCTAGCCATGGTACATGTAAGACATAGTCAGATCGTGAAACTCAAGCGAGTTTCATATGTTTCGTTTACTTCTTGAATTGATAAGACGTTTCTTAGTCTCTAAGTTGACTACTATATATAGTTATACAGTGATTTTCACATGATAGACTGGCACGTGAACTGGGAATGGATAGGATCGCTACTGTCAAGTGCAGCGCTTGCATTGCTTGGTTGTTGTCTAGGCTGTCGCATTCTTAACAGGTAAGCTAAGCAACATTCAGTCATTTTTACTTAATCTCTAAGGCAGAACCCTTTTAGTGGCGCTAATGTTGTTCTTGTAAATGCAGTCCTTTTCTCTTTATACGTTTCTGCCAGTCAACATGGACAAAAAGTTGTCGCGCTGCCAAAACACGCGCGACTATTTGCTGCTTACGAACTAATCATTGAATTCATTGAAGAAGCCAAAATATAAATAAAAAATCAAGCTAGATTTAGAAAAAAATGTTCTACGGAAATAGCAATCCAAATGGTGGTGGAAGACTGGATAAGAAGTATAGATGTGAAATAATGTATTGTAACAGTATTTTTAGACTTCAAAAGGGCATTTGTGACGATATATAGGGAAAATTATTATTGAAATTGCATTGCTATCGCTTTAAATGATCAGTATTAAACATTTTAAAAAAATTATTTAGTAAACAAAACACTAAAGTTGGAAATATGGCAACCGTTCAAAATATATCAGTAGGGGTGCCACAGGGGAGTAAATTTGGGCCGTTACTATTTATTATTTATATGAATGATATCTCTGACATTTTAGAACACTGCAAAATTCAAATGTTTGCGGACGATACATTGATACATAAGCATTTGGACACTGCTTTAGAACTGTTAAATAGTGATATTAAAAAAACTATGAATTGGTTAAATGTCAATAAATGAAAATTAAACACTAAGAAAACAAAGTGTATGTCTATAGGGAAGCATTTAGGTGACAATATCATTAAGCTCATGATTAATGATGAAAAAATTGAAGTAGTCGAATCATTTAAATATCTTGGTATTGTGGTTGAATGTGAAAAATTTCATATGTTATTTAGTTCTCGTTTTCATATTCAAATTAAAAATCATTCATTACCACCACATTTAGAAAACTTAAATAGTCATTATCATAACTAAGAAACTAGAGGCAGTACAGGTTTTCATCTGCAAAATTTTAATAGCATAACTAGCAAATCTATATTTCAAAAAATCGAATAATGATGAAAAATCACTTTATGAATAATCAAAATGCGTAGCGATGTAATTTTAATAGACAAGAATGTAAAATTACAGAAAATGGATTGAAGAAAAATATGTAAGTGAATAATTATACAAAATTGGCATTCTGACATTAGTGCTAAATAAATCTTCAACAAACATACAAACTTACACATGCTGCGCGTAGATAGTCTGAACCTCATTTTAATATCGCCATTTAACATTTCTAAAACCAAGCATCCTAGAAAAAAGCTTCGAAAGAAGTAGAGTTTCGAGGAGGCAAAATGATGACCTTGACAATGACATTGGCCACCACCTTCGAGGTGTCAAGTGAATATGTTCATATGGACCTGTCTCTTTTTCACATCGGGATTGAACAGATTAGGAAATCTTACGACCGAGTATTGGCCATTTCAAGTTCAAGTCAAGATATCAAAAACAATTTGCTCTAGCAAAAATGTTCGATACCACTGTTGTGACGTTTGTGAAATTGGCCATGACCTACAATATTCGAAATCTCCAACGGAACCTCTCATTATAATGAAAATGGAAAAAACAGAAAACTGTACATCCGAACGTAACTTTGACCTCAATAACAATCATGCTGGACACGATCTCGACTTTGAAGTCAAAGTCACATTCAGGCGTAAATTTGTTGCTGTTTCCATTTCCAGTATAAAAATGAGGTTTCTTTTGGAAATTGTGACTTGAAGGTCAAGGTCACATTTGGATGATCACCCTATTTTCAATTCCGATGAGAAAAGGAAGGAATTCCATTTGAAAATATTCACTTGACCTTGAAATGACCTTGAAGCCCGTGATCAATATCATTGTCAAGGTCACTATCATTCTGCCCCTCGAAACCCTACAACTTTTGTTTGAAACTTTTTGGGTGGGGAGATGAAAATGCTGAAGACGCGTTTTTTCGCAGCGCGACAATTTGTCGCCAGTGTGCACCGGCAATGGTGCGATTCGGGGTGACTCTACATTTGTGCCCGACAAGTTTCTAGATCAATCAGAATGACTAGAAGAATTTTAACGCGTCGTTTCGCGCCAGAGGGCGTGTAACGTGTATTTTCTAGCTTATTTGACTAATGTGCCTCTCATATATGGAACTAACCCCTTACTTCGATTCAGGATGTTCGCTGTTTGCCTAGGGGTGTCATTTATACAGGGATTGCTTCTCCTGTGTGCTTCTAACGTCACGATGGGTGGACTATCAGGTGCTGAGCGATTGGTGAAGTCTGTCCAACGTATCGGTTGGAAACGCCTTTTCAAGCCATGGATATTACACTCGGTCACTCTTGAGGCGTTTCGGGATTTCAACGTTGGAATCGGCATTGGATTAGGTACAATTATAACCTTCTACCCTCCTAACCGATCACATGCACTAGATTTGTGTAATTGTGACTTAATGTTGCTTACGTAGCAACTTCAAATTTTGAGCGAAAAGTCCAGAGACTTAAAAAGATAGTGCTCTAGGAAATGTTCAAACAGACACAAAATGTTTTACTTCATTTTGCCTCTCTCTTCTCTCACAATCTCGAACGTCATTGAAGAACTTTTCACTGACATTTCAAATGTCCTGGCAGTGCTTTAGGTAATATACTGATCAAAAAATTTCACTGACGTTTCTGTTGCTATGAACGTCTTTTTTAAAATACATGTGTAATTATACAGGGTGCTCCTTAATGATATGCGAATATTTAAGGGTGCGAATCTACATTAAAAATCAATATTAGTTTGCTTTATAAACTATCGTCCAGTTTTATTTAGCAAAAAACCATTGGCGTACCATTTTTTTCTTAAAAAATATCGAAGTCAATACCCGTACGCACGCCACTGTTAAAGCTAAAAATTACTTTTGCGTTGAAAAATATTCAATTTTATCAACTTTCCCTACGTACTAAATATCAGTGAAATATCTGAAGCGGTTCTGAAAATATTAATTAATTTCCATTTTTTTCCTAAAACTTCAACACACCGAGATTTTGTAAGGAAACATTTTTGGACAATAGTTTATAAAACAAACTAACATGTCACACCCTTAAATATTCGCATATCATTAAGGAACACCCTGTATATTCAAGTTTTTTATAAAGCTACAACATGCCAGGATCAAAGTGAATTGAATTGTTTATCTTTCCGTAATGATTTGCTACATCCTTCTTGATACAGGTTTGTTCTCTACGATATCCGCAACAAGGCCTTTCAAAAGCGGACTCCATGGCAGTTCGATCCGACTGAATTTGATTCATTTGGAGGATATGGTACTTCAAAGTGTGTTGACAGCCAATCTCTATGGCATCTTGTGTCATTTCGGGAATCTCAATATGGAACAAGTTATTGGTTAGTACGATAACTGTACACGTGAAGCAAAAATCACAAAGAAGTGATCGTGTAATAATTTTTACAACCTTAAACCTATCTAACATATGTCAAAAATTCTAGTGATTATTATTTGTGTTTTTAGAAAATGGGTCTCTTTCTAAGATACTGTATGTCGATCTGTTTTAAAACAATTAGCTAAATTTGCACTACGCCTGCCGTGGATAAAGGTTAGGATAATCAAATAAGTGGATTCAACGTAATAAGTAACCTTAATGATTTTGAAAGAGCTCCTTTGCAGTTAAAGAGATTGAAAATAATGCTCATTTGATCCTGTGAGATTAGATATGGTGATTATATGTTTGCAAATATAAAAACGGTACCGTCAAATAAGCTTGTTTGTACTGTGAAGCGGCGTTTCAACATTGTTTATAATATGTATTTCTGGATTTAGGCAGTGGAATTAGCGAGAAGCGACCACCAACGCTGCACTCCCTTTCTGTGACAGATCTTCCCAATGATGTATTCACAGTGCTGCCTCATGCATTAGCCTTCTTGCCTGGCTCAAACTTTTTCTGGATATTCATTTACTATTCCAGCATATTCCTTAGAGGTTTGTAGAACACTTTCAATTAAAATGAATCCGTTTTTAGAAATATGCAATAGGTATTTTATATTTTGCTTCTCGATGTTGACGTTAAGGTAGTGGTTTTATAACAAATATTGTCTTTCCCCAAATAAAAAATCCAGACGCATTGAATCTGGTAGATGTGAATGCTAACTTAAATCGACCCTCCTCTGTCTTTATTGTAGACTTAACGATATGAAAATCACGTGAATGCATACAATATATACAGGGTGTACCAACGAAAATGAAAAGTAGTTTAATCGAAAAATTATAAATATGTTCGTAAACGATTTGGGCAGCAAGATTGGCATCTTATAGGTATGTGTGACTGTGTGTGTGTGTGTGTGTGTTTGTTTTAATGGTACGCGTTATATTTCTATATGTATAATCAATAAAGCAAGTATACTAAGTGACATATAAATCCGAACACCCAGTTTAAATGGTTTTATTTTAATAAAATTTTGTATAAGTACTTAATGAAGCATAATAAGTAAATGATAAAAATTTCAAAATGATTGCACTGCTTTAAAGCCCTTTGACCTTTAATAATGTGTGGATGCACCCTGATGTGCTACGCATTCTCCAACGCGCCTAGGCATGCTTCTGATCAGGTGGTCAATGTCCTCCTGTGGTATCACATTCCAGGCAACCACCAACTCCTCTCGTAGTGCTTCTAGAGTCTGAGGAGGACGTTGCAAATTGAGCAATCTCCTACCCATCATATCCTACACGTGCTCAATTGGGGATAAGTCGGGAGATCTTGGTGGCCATGGTAACAATGTGACATCATTATGTTGAAAGAAGTCTATTGTGACTCTTGCAACATGCGGTCGGGCATTATCTTGTTGGAAAGTTGGATCTGCCAGGGTGTCAAGATAGGGTAAAAGATGGGGTTCTAGAACTTCGTGGATATAACGCTGCGCGTTCATGTTGCCTCTGATGAAGATTAAAGGTGACCTGGAACCATAAGCTATAGCAGCCCAAACCATAACTCCAACAGTGTGATGAACATGTGTTTCAACAAAAAACTGTGGATTCCTCCTTTCACCACGTCGCCTTCTAACACTGGCACGACCATCGTGCATGCCTAAACAAAATCGAGACTCGTCACTAAAGACAATACTGTTCCATTCCTGATCCCAGAGTGACCCTTGTCTGCACCACTCAAGGCGATTACGTCGGTGTTCTCGAGTTAAAGGGAGGACCCAGTGTGGACGGTATGAAAACAAGCCAAAACTTCTCATTCGTCGGTAAACGCTTCGCATGCCAATAGGTATTCCGTGTTCTGCAAACCATTCATTTGCAATGGACCTGGTAGTGGAGAAACGGTCCCTTAAGGCCAATAATCTTAGGCGGCGATCTTCACGGTCTGTTGTTCTACGGCGGCGTCCAGTGCCTCTTGCTCTTTGCGTACGGCCTTCTCGAAGCCATGCCTGACAACACCTAACCACAGTGTCTACACTTCTTTGCACTCTAACTGCAATTGCCCGAAAAGAAAGTCCAGCTTCCCGAAGTCCCACTATACGGCCCCTATCAAACTCACTAAGTTGACGAAATCGTACAGGTCTCCGTACTCTAGGCATCGTAACCGATCGTAAAGGATGTCAAGAACCAAAATCCGCCAACGTTGATTCTTTACTGCGGCTGAAATATTCATTTTTAGAGCGTTAGTGAATCAAAAAAAAGCAGTATAAAAACCGGAATGTCCAACTGATAAGGCTGAAAATTGTTTCACTTGTAATTTACAGTAAGATAAATACATTCACCAACTTGTATTAAAATAAAACCATTTAAACTGGGTGTTCGGATCTATATGTCACTTAGTATATTAAGGCTCATATCAGAAGAAACCTATAAAAACGCGATTCTGGTGGTGTAAAAATATACGGAATGTTTGAAATTTTTCAGAGTGTCTTGCTTTTTGCAGCACTCTGATAAAGTTGACGCAACTTTTTCCTCTTTCCAGAATTCCCTGAAAAATGGAAGAAGTCAAAACCTTCAATAGTAGGCATTATTTTCAATGATAAAAGAAAACTAAATAAATGACAATCAAAATCCTACAGACATTACATCAATCCCCTTGTTCCCGAATGGTCTTTCCAAATATCTAATATAATATAGGGTGTGCCATTAAAAGAAACATATTTGTTATGACACTGAACACTCTGTATATTTTCAAATAATTTAGAGTTACACACCTATATCATGGCAATCTGGTTACGCAACCCGTTTTCAAAAATATTATACAGCTTTTCTATTAAACAACTTTCCATTTTCAGTGGGACATCCTGGACATATTATAAGTGATTTTTATTATATCGTTAATTTCCCTGAGTACATTAAAGACGAGATAGTTTTCGTAAAATGGTGCAGACAGCCTCACCCACAGGGGCTGAGACACCAAACTTTACCACCCGCCGAAAACCATTTTGTTGTTATACTTCCAGGATTATGTTGTATGGCATTGCTTATTCAAGCAGTTATGCAGGAAATGCATGAATGGAAGCCAAATGTTTTGCGGTGCAGTCACTTTTTCAGCACCATGATTATTACATTAGCTGCTACGCTGGTGAGCTGCGCTGTCATATCCACTGGAGGCATGCCATTTATTGGTAAGCTTAGGCTTATGTTTACTGATCAATCCGTCAGTGTCCGCGAATTTCTACGTAACCTTATACATTAATTATTACTGCCGTCAGTGGCGTAGCTCAGAGCCGCATATCAAAATTTGTAGAGCGCCCCACAGAACTGTGGCCAATCTCAAATGGAGGATAATATTTGGAGTATAGATTTAAAAAAAACAAACGCTTGCATTGAATAATGAGGCATGCCATTAATTGATAAGCTTAGGCTAATGTTTACTGATTATTCCATCAGTGTCAGCGGATTTCTACGTAACCTTATACATCAATTATTACTGCCGCCAGTGGCGTAGCTTGCTCCCCAGGGGCCCCATATCAAAATGTGTAGGGGGGCCCGACCCAACTGTGGCGTATCCCAAATGGTGGGTATAATTTGAAGTATAGATTTTTACAAATGAAATATAAAAGCTTGCATTGGATGACATGAATTGTCACGTATTGGCCATGGACGCCCGCAGGAAGTTTTCTCGGTCAGTGAGGGTGGATCCTCGGCGAGAGATAACTTTCTGTAATAGTGTACCTACCCTCAAAACATTTTGAAGAGCGATTGTTAGAGTTTTTCGGGGTTGGGGCGAGTGGTGGCCACTGTGAATACGTAAATTTTTTAAATTCAGATTAATAAATGTTTTCTGTTTTGCGATGTCTACAACACGTAAATCTATATGAGGTCAGAGAAGGTATGCTACTTCATTTTTGAAACTCGTCTAAACTGCAGCGGTATTATGAGTAAAATTAAAGTAGCATTCAGATCGTCCCAAAGGTTGGTTTTGTATGTTTTACAAATTTCTGAACATTTTTAATGGTGATAAAACATTTTTGTGAACAGATCACAATTGCTTAAAATGTGGGAAATTTGTTTTCATCGTTTCTGATTGCTCCAAGTTAAGGCTTATTCAAACTCATGATGAAGTTCAAACATTTTGATTCTTTCGCCATGCTTTTCTTGACTTGTGGAAAATTTGAAAATACGCTTATCTGAATGCTTGGAAAGTACGGAATCAATCTACTTGCCATTATTTTAATTTCTTTTAATTTAAAAACGCTTCTTTCAGCGCTGTTGTAGATGTAATCTTGAGGGCTAGTAATAGGAAGCATTCTACTATCACGTAGCCGTACAGTCTAAAGTTTAGTGCTTGAGAATTTTTAATTTAGCGTACAGCCTAAAGACTTGCATGCGATTGTGAGAAACGTGTACGTGGCCTCCTCTAAGCTGAGGGCCGTCTCGTTGATACGGCGGTAGCTACGCCCCTGACTGCACGGTCAGTAGTAAATACCATATTCCATGGAAATACTGATCGGTCACAGTAAATACTGATTGTGTGACATTCGTCTTACATGTAATGGGTGATTTTTTTGCTAGTATCTTTTTGGCAACACTGTTTTTGACAGATGACGCCTGAATCGTGTCTTGTATCATTGTCAAACTTGTTCAGTTTGGTCTATAATTTAACCATGAATCGACTTACGAACGAACAACGCTTGCAAATTATTGAATTTTACTATCAAAATTCATGCTCGGTTAAGAGAGTGCATCGAGCACTGCTTCCAATTTATGGGCAATTTGGTCGGCCTACTAAGGGAGCTATTCAGAAGCTTGTGACTAAATTTCGAACCCAGTTTACATTATTGGACATTAAACCACAAACACGCAGACGTAGAGTGAGGACTAAAGAAAATATTGCGGCTGTATCCGCCAGTGTTAGTGATGACCGTGAAATGTCGATTCGCCGCCGTTCGCAGCAATTGGGCCTCTGTTACTCCACTACATTTTACGACAGGATTTGGGTGTAAAACCTTATAAGATACAGCTGGTGCAAGAATTGAAGCCACACGACCTCCCACAACGTTTCCAATTTGGTGAATGGGCGCTGGCAAAGTTGGAGGAAGATCCACATTTTTATGTAAAAATTGTGTTCAGCTACGAAGCTCATTTCTAGTTGAATGGGTACGTTAACAAGCAAAATTGCCGCATCTGGAGTGAAGACCAGCCAGAAGCATTGCAAGAGCTACCAATGCATCCCGAAAAAATCACTGTTTGGTGTGGATTATGGGCCGGTGGCATCAAACCCAGAAGACGTGAAAGTTGAGTTTTGGGTGACCATTGGTATTCCCATGGATTTTTCGAATCTGACTCCGAATTTGTATTCGAAAAGTCCGCTACTCAGAGGCTAGATGAACTAACGATGTTTTCCCCTTAGCTTTTCTGCACGAGTGTATCCGGCAACTAATTTTACCGTGCCTGATTTCCTTCGAAGTCATTGGTCTGCTGTACTTCTACGGCATCTTCAACATCGCTAAGGATGTACACTTCATGATGGGCCTCAAAATATCCAAATATTGTATAATACTGCTGACTCTGAGTTCTCTGGTCGTGGTACTACTTTCTGGCATTAGTATTTACAGGTACTACTGCACTACAAATCTTTGTTCAAGTTTTTTTTTAATTCTGTAAGAAGTGCTGTATTGTGGCGAAGATTGAGCGCACCAAAAACATAAGTTCTAGATACCCAATATATGCATGGGTAAGTATACTCATGGGCTTGGTGTCGACGTGCATGTTCCGCCAAGAACGGACTTAGAGGAGGTAGGGTCGAGGGGGGCGCCCCCTTAGATACCAAAGTTGTATTTTTTTTCAAGAGTATATCTTGGTGTAAGAATTACCTTGCTAGACTTGAATCGCGAGACATGTGTCCCACCTCCCGCTCTTCAATTGTCTCAAGGGCATTGGCTCTCAGAAGCGCTACTTGAGTGCTTAAGCATACAGCCTCTTCAATTTTTAATCGCCCCTGCTATGTGTACTTAAAAAAAAGAATCTTAATTTTTATCATATACTTATAACCATATCATAAGTGCTCTTTAGTTTCCTTGGAAAGAATGTATGCTATAATGAGTATTACAGAGCAGGGTTGTCATAGGGAGTGTAAATGGCAGGGCCTGCTTATCTTAATGTAACAAGTTGGAATGCTGTCAGATTTGTAATTTCGCAAATCAGTCAATCTGGTCGAATCTCTTCATTAGACAGGCTTATGACAGCGGTAGTCCATCTATCGAAGAAAGAAACTAAACCCAAATCATACACTGATATTTCACGGGAACGAACTCCAGAATGCCGCAGACCGGCGAGGCTGCGCGCACCGCGGTGTCGTCTCCCACTTCACCTTCCTGTATATGGGCTCGACCAATTCTGGCCAATAACATTTAGCTCCCCGTTTCTTGGAATATATCAACGCGCTGATCACGCACCGAACACACGCTGGTTATGTTTTGGTTTTGGTGATTTCTTTCTTGGTTAGACAGACTATAGAGATAGGATGTTAAACTCATGGAGTGAGGGTGAAGCCAAAAATGTCGACGATGAAGTTAGTTGGTTCGATGCGCAGCAAATTAATTTTATTCTTATAAAACATGAAGTAATAAACCTACAAAGCATGGTAAAACGTTTGCGGTAGATTATGCTGATTTTTTACGACATTTTTCAATGCGCAGACGCTCAACACCATGTTTTACGCCCACAAGATTCCCGAAAACGACAAGGTTGGCTTCATACGAATACGTGTACATGCCTTACGCTGTTTAACCTCCTATCTCTAGTCTTTGTGGACTGGCTTTATCAATTCAGAGTCGCCATTTATACTATCTGTGATAATATGTATGGCAGATGTCGTAAGGGGTATCTGTCACCACACGTGGTTATCCGATAGTGAAGTTGCACGCTCAGTAGGAAAACGTCTCGGAAGGAACCGCGGCGACTTCTTATCATTTGCACGCGTCAAATGGAACATGTTGCTTCCCTTCGCGTTACTCTAGCGTGCGGACTGTCATTTAATTATGCATGAAGAATGTTTCTTCCCTTCCTTCAAAGAGCGTGCAGCTTTAAAATCCTTGATTCGTCGATGGACAACGCCACGTAGCTGTTGGTATCACATACTTATGATCCAATCAGGTTCTATCAAGAAGGAGGTGACAAGATCTTCAATGGATACCACAAGTATCTGCTATCAGTAGTGCTCTCTTGGATCCCGTTAATGGCAGCAGTACGGATTATCAGGAAGAAATCTTGGAAAGACGTGTTACGACCAAACAAAGACTGGGGACCACCTACAAACTATCTGAGGCTTAGCAGGAGCAAGTTCAAAAATAAAGACGACTTCAATATCGAGGAATATATTTATGAAAAGCATCTAAAACAGAACAAGATGAATAAATATGATTGATAACGCTTTGTAATTATGTGCACTTTTTACCGATTTTCAGTTAATAAACCCTATTAAGAATTTTGCTGTTTCAATTGTTCCCTATTTCGTTAAGTCAGTGGCAAATTAAAATTAATAGTAGCTATCAGGATCACAGAAACTCCACGAGGTATAGAAAAAGCACTATGCTCCCGATATCGATGTCACTGGGAAAACATCGTCGATCCTGGTACAAAACCTGTAAATGCTGATGCTGTGGCTAAAGACTCATCCTGGAAGCGTCAAGATGTATAGGAAGCTATTTGCAATCAGGATCACAAAAACGGGAAGAAGTGAAAAAGGTACTCTGCTGCCAATATCGATGGCACTAACGGGAACACCTCGTGACGTTTCTGCGATCCTGGTATAAAAACCGGTAATAGGCGAAATCTTTATCTCAACCAATCATACTTTCTCATTAGAAGCATCGAGATCCATCTGAAGCAATTTGCTATAAGTATTGCAGAAACTCGTGGAGGTGTGATTAAGGTACTTTGATTCCAATATCGATGGCACTGGTGGGTACACCTCTTGTCGTTTCTGCGGTCTTGATATAAAATCTGTAGTTGCTTTCTTCGAAGAAGCGTCGAGGTCCATCAGAAGCTATTTGCTGTCCGGGTGTCAGAAATGCGAGGTGGTAAAAAGGTACTCTCCTTCCTATATCATTGCTACATGCGGGTACACCTCTCGCCGTTTCTTCGGCCCTGATACAAATTTTGTAATAGGCGAAATCTGTGACTCGAGCCAATCCTTCTTCGTAGACGCGTCGAAATTAATCAGAAGCAATTTGCTATCAGGATCACAGAAACGCGAACAGGTATGAAAAAGGTACTTTGCTTCCGATATCGATGGCACTGGCGATAACACCTCTCGCCGTTTCTGCGGCCCAAAGAATATATTAGCTGAATTCCGTTACTTTCTGCGGTCCTGATACAAAGTATCTAATATCCGAAATCTGTACGTCAAGCCGCCAGACTTTCTTCGTAGAAGGGTCGAGATCCATCAGAAACCGTTTATTGTCAGGATCACAGAAACGCGAGGATCTATGAGAGGTACTTTGCTACCAATATCCATGGAACTGGTGGAAACACCTGTTGTCGTTTCTGCGATGTTGATACAAAATCTCTCATATCCAAAATCTGTGACCCAACTCATCAGAAGCGTCAAAGAAGATATGCAAAGGTACTCTGCTACCTATAGCAAAGGCGCTGGCGAGAGCTCCTATCGCTGTTTCTGCGGCCCTGATACAAATGTTTTAATAGGCGAAATCTGTGACTCGAGCCAATCCTTTTTCGTAGAAGCATCGAAATTAATCAGAAGCAATTTGCTATCAGGATCACAGAAACGCGAACAGGTATGAAAAATGTACTTTGCTTCCGATGCCGATGGCACTAGCGGTAACACCTCTCGTCGTTTCTGCGGTCCTGATACAAAGTAAAAAGTATAATAGCTGAAATCCGTAACTGAAACCATCAGACTTTCTTGGCAGAATGATCGAGATCCATCAGAAAGAGTTTGTTGTCAGGATCACAGAAACGCGAGGAGGTATGAAAAAGGTACTTTGCCCCCAATATCGATGGCACTGGCGGGAACACCTCTGGTCGTTTCTGCGATCTTGTTACAAAATCTGTAGTTGCCGAAATCTGTACGTCGTCTTTCTGCGTAGAAGCGTCGAGGTCCATCAGAAGCTATTTGATATCAGGATCACAGAAACGCAAAGAGGTATGAAAAAGGTATTCTGCTTCCGATATCGATGACACTGGCGGTAACACCTCTCGTCGTTTCTGCGGTCCTGATACAAAGTACACGAGTAAAATAGCTGAAATCCGTAACTGAAGCCATCAGACTTTCTTGGTAGAGTGATCGAGATCCATCAGAAAGAGTTTGTTGTCAGGATCACAGAAACGCGAGGAGGTATGAAAAAGGTACTTTGCTCCCAATATCGATGGCACTGGCGGGAACACCTCTGGTCGTTTCTGCGATCTTGTTACAAAATCCGTAGTTGCCGAAATCTGTACGTCGTCTTTCTACGTAGAAGCGTCGAGGTCCATCAGAAGCTCTTTGATATCAGGATCACAGAAACGCGAAGAGGTATGAAAAAGTATTCTGCTTCCGATGTCGATGGCACTGGCGGTAACACCTGTCGTCGTTTCTGCGGTCCTGATACAAAGTACAAAGTATAATAGCTGAAATCCGTAACTGAAACCATCAGACTATCTTGGTAGAATGATCGAGATCCATCAGAAAGAGTTTATCAGGATCACAGAAACGCGAGGAGGTAAGAAAACGTACTTTGCTCTCAATATCGATGGCATTGGCGGGAACACCTCTGGTCGTTTCTGCGATCTTGTTACAAAATCCGTAGTTGCCGAAATCTGTACGTCGTCTTTCTACGTAGAAGCGTCGAGGTCCATCAGAAGCTCTTTGATATCAGGATCACAGAAACGCGAAGAGGTATGAAAAGGGTATTCTGCTTCCGATATCGATGGCACTGGCGGTAACACCTCTCGTCGTTTCTGCAGTCCTGATACAAAGTACACGAGTATAATAGCTGAAATCCGTAACTGAAACCATCAGACTTTATTGGTAGAGTGATCGAGATCCATCAGAAAGAGTTTGTTGTCAGGATCACAGAAGCGCGAGGAGGTATGAAACAGGTACTTTGCTCCCAATATCGATGGCACTGGCGGGAACACCTCTGGTCGTTTCTGCGATCTTGTTACAAAATCCGTAGTTGCCGAAATCTGTACGTCGTCTTTCTACGTAGAAGCGTCGAGGTCCATCAGAAGCTCTTTGATATCAGGATCACAGAAACGCGAAGAGGTATGAAAAAAGTATTCTGCTTCCGATATCGATGGCACCGGCGGTAACACCTCTCGTCGTTTCTGCGGTCCTGATACAAAGTACAAAGTATAATAGCTGAAATCCGTAACTGAAACCATCAGACTTTCTTGGTAGAATGATCGAGATCCTTCAGAAAGAGTTTATCAGGATCACAGAAACGCGAGGAGGTAAGAAAACGTACTTTGCTCTCAATATCGATGGCATTGACGGGAACACCTCTGGTCGTTTCTGCGATCTTGTTACAAAATCCGTAGTTGCCGAAATCTGTACGTCGTCTTTCTACTTAGAAGCGTCGAGGTCCATCAGAAGCTCTTTGATATCAGGATCACAGAAACGCGAAGAGGTATGAAAAGGGTATTCTGCTTCCGATATCGATGGCACTGGCGGTAACACCTCTCGTCGTTTCTGCGGTCCTGATACAAAGTACACGAGTATAATAGCTGAAATCCGTAACTGAAACCATCAGACTTTCTTGGTAGAGTGATCGAGATCCATCGGAAAGAGTTTGTTGTCAGGATCACAGAAACGCGAGGAGGTATGAAAAAGGTACTTTGCTTCCAATATCGATGGCACTGGCGGGAACACCTCTGGTCGTTTCTGCGATCTTGTTACAAAATCCGTAGTTGCCGAAATCTGTACGTCGTCTTTCTACGTAGAAGCGTCGAGGTCCATCAGAAGCTATTTGATATCAGGATCACAGAAGCGCGAAGAGGTATGAAAAAGGTATTCTGCTTCCGAAATCGATGGCACTGGCGGTAACACCTCTCGTCGTTTCTGCGGTCCTGATACAAAGTACACGAGTATAATAGCTGAAATCCGTAACTGAAACCATCACTTTCTTGGTAGAATGATCGGGATCAACCAGAAAGAGTTTGTTGTCAGGATCACAGAAACGCGAGGAGGTATGAAAAAGGTACTTTGCCCCCAATATCGATGGCACTGGCGGGAACACCTCTGGTCGTTTCTGCGATCTTGTTACAAAATCTGTAGTTGCCGAAATCTGTACGTCGTCTTTCTACGTAGAAGCGTCGAGGTCCATCAGAAGCTATTTGATATCAGGATCACAGAAACGCGAAGAGGTATGAAAAAGGTATTCTGCTTCCGATATCGATGGCACTGGAGGTAACACCTCTCGTCGTTTCTGCGGTCCTGATACAAATTACACGAGTATAATAGCTGATATCCGTAACTGAAACCATCTGACTTCCTTGGTAGAATGATCGACGTCCATCAGAAAGAGTTTATCAGGATCACAGAAACGCGAGGAGGTATGAAGAAGGTACTTTGCCCTCAATATCGATGGCACTGGCGGGAACACCTCTGGTCGTTTCTGCGATCTTGTTACAAAATCTGTAGTTGCAGAAAACTGTACGTCGTCTTTCTACGTAGAAGCGTCGAGGTCCATCAGAAGCTATTTGATATCAGGATCACAGAAATGCGAAGAGGCATGTAAAAGGTATTCTGCTTCCGATATCGATGGCACTGGCGGTAACACCTCTCGTCGTTTCTGCGGTCCTGATACAAAGTACACGAGTATAATAGCTGAAATCCGTAACTGAAACCATCAGACTTTCTTGGTAGAGTGATCGAGATCCATCGGAAAGAGTTTGTTGTCAGGATCACAGAAACGCGAGGAGGTATGAAAAAGGTACTTTGCTTCCAATATCGATGGCACTGGCGGGAACACCTCTGGTCGTTTCTGCGATCTTGTTACAAAATCCGTAGTTGCCGAAATCTGTACGTCGTCTTTCTACGTAGAAGCGTCGAGGTCCATCAGAAGCTATTTGATATCAGGATCACAGAAGCGCGAAGAGGTATGAAAAAGGTATTCTGCTTCCGAAATCGATGGCACTGGCGGTAACACCTCTCGTCGTTTCTGCGGTCCTGATACAAAGTACACGAGTATAATAGCTGAAATCCGTAACTGAAACCATCACTTTCTTGGTAGAATGATCGGGATCAACCAGAAAGAGTTTGTTGTCAGGATCACAGAAACGCGAGGAGGTATGAAAAAGGTACTTTGCCCCCAATATCGATGGCACTGGCGGGAACACCTCTGGTCGTTTCTGCGATCTTGTTACAAAATCTGTAGTTGCCGAAATCTGTACGTCGTCTTTCTACGTAGAAGCGTCGAGGTCCATCAGAAGCTATTTGATATCAGGATCACAGAAACGCGAAGAGGTATGAAAAAGGTATTCTGCTTCCGATATCGATGGCACTGGAGGTAACACCTCTCGTCGTTTCTGCGGTCCTGATACAAATTACACGAGTATAATAGCTGATATCCGTAACTGAAACCATCTGACTTCCTTGGTAGAATGATCGACGTCCATCAGAAAGAGTTTATCAGGATCACAGAAACGCGAGGAGGTATGAAGAAGGTACTTTGCCCTCAATATCGATGGCACTGGCGGGAACACCTCTGGTCGTTTCTGCGATCTTGTTACAAAATCTGTAGTTGCAGAAAACTGTACGTCGTCTTTCTACGTAGAAGCGTCGAGGTCCATCAGAAGCTATTTGATATCAGGATCACAGAAATGCGAAGAGGCATGTAAAAGGTATTCTGCTTCCGATATCGATGGCAGTGGCGGTAACACCTCTCGTCGTTTCTGCGGTCCTGATACAAAGTACACGAGTAAAATAGCTGAAATCCGTAACTGAAGCCATCAGACTTTCTTGGTAGAGTGATCGAGATCCATCAGAAAGAGTTTGTTGTCAGGATCACAGAAACGCGAGGAGGTATGAAAAAGGTACTTTGCTCCCAATATCGATGGCACTGGCGGGAACACCTCTCGTCGTTCCTGCGGTCCTTATACAAAGTACACGAGTATAATAGCTGAAATCCGTAACTGAAACCATCAGATTTTCTTGGTCGAATGATCGAGATCCATCAGAAAGAGTTTGTTCTCAGGATCACAGAAACGCGAAGACGTATGAAAAAGGTACTTTGCCCAGAATATCGATGGCACTGGCGGGGACACCTCTGGTTGTTTCTGCGATCTTGTTACAAAATCTGTAGTTTCCGAAATCTGTACGTCGTCTTTCTGCGTAGAAGCGTCGAGGTCCATCAGAAGCTATTTGATATCAGGATCACAGAAACGCGAAGAGGTATGAGAAAGGTATTCTGCTTCCGATATCGATGGGACTGGCGGTTACACCTCTCGTCGTTTCTGCGGCCCTGATACAAAGTACACGAGTATGATAGCTGAAATCCGTAACTGAAACCATCAGACTTTCTTGGTAGAAGGATCGAGATCCATCAGAAAGAGTTTATCAAGATCACAGAAACGCGAGGAGGTATGAAAAAGGTACTTTGCTCCCAATATTGATGGCACTGGCGGGAACACCTCTTGTCGTTTCTGCGATCTTGTTACAAAATATGTAGTTGCCGAAATCTGTACGTCGCCTTTCTACGTAGAAGCGTCGAGGTCCATCAGAAGCTATTTGATATCAGGATCACAGAAACGCGAAGAGGTATGAAAAAGGTATTCTGCTTCCGATATCGATTGCACTGGCGGTAACACCTCTCGTCGTTTCTGCGGTCCTGATACAAAGTACACGAGAATAATAGCTGAAATCCGTAACTGAAACCATCAGACATTCTTGGTAGAATGATCGAGATCCATCAGAAAGAGTTTATCAGGATCACAGAAACGCGAAGAGGTATGAAAAAGGTATTCTGCTTCCGATATCGATGGCGCTGGCGGTTACACCTCTCGTCGTTTCTGCGGTCCTGATACAAAGTACAAGAGTATAATAGCTGAAATCCGTAACTGAAACCATCAGACTTTCTTGGTAGAGTGATCGAGATCCATCAGAAAGAGTTTATCAGGATCACAGAAACGCGAGGAGGTATGAAAAAGGTACTTTGCTCCCAATATCGATGGCATTGGCGGGAACACCTCTTGTCGTTTCTGCGATCTTGTAACAAAATATGTAGTTGCCGAAATCTATACGTCGTCTTTCTGCGTAGAAGCGTCGAGGTCCATCAGAAGCTATTTGATATCAGGATCACAGAAACGCGAAGAGGTATGAAAAAGGTATTCTGCTTCCGATATCGATGGCACTGGCGGTAACACCTCTCGTCCTTTCTGCGGTCCTGATACAAAGTACAAGAGTATAATAGCTGAAATCTGTAACTGAAACCTTCAGACTTTCTTGGTAGAGTGATCGAGATCCATCAGAAAGAGTTTATCAGGATCACAGAAACGCGAGGAGGTATGAAAAAGGTACTTTGCTCCCAATATCGATGGCATTGGCGGGAACACCTCTGGTCGTTTCTGCGATCTTGTTACAAACTCTGTAGTTGCCGAAATCTGTACGTCGTCTTTCTGCGTAGAAGCGTCGAGATCCATCAGAAGCTATTTGATATCAGGATCACAGAAACGCGAAGAGGTATGAAAAAGGTATTCTGCTTCCGATATCGATGGCACTGGCGGTAACACCTCTCGTCGTTTCTGCGGTCCTGATACAAAGTACACGAGTATAATAGCTGAAATCCGTAACTGAAACCATCAGACTTTCTTGGTAGAATGATCGAGATCCATCAGAAAGAGTTTGTTGTCAGGATCACAGAAACGCGAGGAGGTATGAAAAAGGTACTTTGCCCTCAATATCGATGGCACTGGCGGGAACACCTCTGGTCGTTTCTGCGATCTTGTTACAAAATCTGTAGTTGCCGAAATCTGTACGTCGTCTTTCTACGTTGAAGCGTCGAGGTCCATCAGAAGCTATTTGATATCAGGATCACAGAAACCCGAAGAGGAAAAAGGTATTCTGCTTCCGATATCGATGGCACTGGCGATAACACCTCTCGCCGTTTCTGCGGCCCAAAGAATATATTAGCTGAATTCCGTTACTCAAGAAAACAGACTTTTTTAGTAGAAAGGTCGAGATCCATCAGAAGCCGTTTGTTATCCAGATCACAGAAACGCGAGGAGGTATGAAAAAGGTACTTTACTCTCAATAAATATTGGCACTGTCGGGAACGCCTCTCGCTGTTTCTGTGCGCCTGATACAAATTTTGTAATAGGCGAAATCTGTGACTTAACCCATCAGACCTTGTTCGTAGAACTGTCCAGATCCAGCAGAAGCTATTTACTATCAGGGTCACAGAAACGCGAGAAGGTGTAAAATAGGTACTCTGCTCTCGATATCTAAGGATCTGGTGGTAAACCTCTCACCGTTTCTGAGGCCCCGATACAAAGTGTGTAATAGCCAAAATCTGCAACTGAGGCTATCATATCAGACTTTCTTCGTAGTAGCGTCGATATCCATTAGAAGCAATTTGCTATCAGGATTACAGAAACCCGAGGATGTATAAAAAAGGTACTTCTGCTCCCGATATAGATGGTTTTGGCGTGAAGTGATGACGAGGGATGGCTTGGGTGGATGGAATGAAAATACATTCATAAATGAGATATCTATTTATTCAATAATTATTTACACATCTAAAAAAATACATCGCAAGAAAAAATATTTGAATAATACATTTCATTCTAGATATACATACATATATACAGTATATCCTGCAGGATATGGCAATATATTAAAATACTCAAGGAATGTTAGATTTTTTCAAGAAATAAGTGACACTACTGAAAATTTGCAAACGGTGCAATTATTCCAAACATTATTCATCTTATTTAAATGCGTACAAATAAATTAAGTAGTTGTGAATATAAAACAATTGAGAAACATAATAAATTGTCTGTTTTAAAAGGTAGGAAGACGGAAATCTCCACACAGTTAAAATTCCACATCTACTATTAGACCTTCAACTACAAATTGACAAACTTTCAATCATCAATCAAATATGTTGCCCAAGCTTGTGGTTTCGAATTCTCTCTCGGTCCTTTCCAAAAATGAATTCCTGACAGTCCCCAATCAGTGGAACAAATAAGTTCAGCACATAGCAAAAATTCATTGTTGGAAAGAATCTCCAGTGTCGTTGTTCATAAAATCATCAGTTCTGCAAATATCAGTAAAAATTCGGTTATTTCTCGAAAAAAATCTACTTGGATCTCTAACTTTCCTGGGGCAGAATACATTATTGTTATTCATTCAATAAAAAACAAAAACAAGAATTTGAAGGCGCCTGACCATTTAGTAGATAGAGATCAGCATGCATAGAGAAGGTTAATTTAGAATTCTATCTATCTCGACAATATTCCAAGAACTACTACCTGCAAACATTTCACTTTAGTAATACAATAATTACTCTTTTGGTAAAATATTCTTCGATGCTCGGTCAAAAAATCACAAGTAGTTTTCAAAATTAGCAGATATGAAAAAGCGATATACATATTTTTTTCAAACTGAGATTTACACTGGACATTTTTTTCGATGCTATGTTACTGGTTATAAATTCATATCACAAAAATTCAAGTACCAATGTTTCAGAAATGCTTGCAGATATCATCTTCCGTTCAACTAATTACCTTTTTATATTAAGTGGAAGAGAGAGAGAGAGTTATATCAGTAACAAGCTTTAAGAATATAACATACTCTATAATATTGAGTAACTATTAACAAGTGAAAACAATTTAGGTCTCGTAAGGGTCTAATAGAACGTTTCAGTTATGTCTCTCTAATAGTGATACTGCTGTCTGTCTACAAGGTATCCCTGGAAAAAAATAGATGGTTTAATGCATTTTATTTTACGGCTGGGCGTAAAAATATACTTTATGACTTTTTGTGCGTTAAGTCCCAATTTCTAGTTCAAGGACTTCTTTGTCTCTTAGGACGATAAAATATGTTTACCGCCCGCGATGTATAAATTAATAGTCTAATCATATTAGCAAATTTAGTCGAAATAACTCTAAAGTCTGGTTTTATTGGTGCAAGTTATTCAAGGAGGTATTTAAAACAAGATCCGAGTAATAGCAAAGATGTTATGGCCGAAAAACGAGGCAAAATGCAGGTTTTGGCACTTGGTAATGCGACGATAATTTCACGCAACTACTTGAAATTCTTCAAATCCGTAGGATTCATACATCTAAATAACAAGACCAAAATTGGAGTATATTGGTCAAGTAGTTTTTTGAGAATTTCTAATTGTTTATCCCAAAACATCTGTTTTCCGGTCACCACTACTAGTTTATTGAGCAATATACAGGGTTCGTTCAAAGAGCATTTAATAGCAAAATACACGTGTTTATGAATCACAAACTATTCCGAAAGATACATGTTATTTTTATGCGAAAAACAAAGGTTACGCTTTTTTCTTCTAAACAAACTCAAACATTTCGTATTTGTGAGTAATTGAACAAATACGCTACGATATTGGAAAAACATACGTTAATCGGATCTTTTTACGTGTGGTCTCATTTTGTAGGTCTCATAAATACCTAAAAATCTTATATGAAGAGTTTTTCTTTTCCGTTCCTGCCAACACTTTCGATTGAATCCTAAAAAACCGTTTTCTCATTCTTTATTGTCGAACAAAAATTGGTGAACCCATTTTATGCGTCCATGTTTTGATAACCCCCTTGGATCACTTGCAACAATAAAACCAGAATATTACAATTATTTCGCAAACCAGGGGTATTTTCGTCTAATATGATTAGGCTATAAACTATACAGTGATTTAAAAAAACATCCCCTCATATTCATTTTTTAAACGAGTTGAAGTTAGCGAGCTGAAATTCGATCAGATGAGATTGATTCACCAATACATCGTGGTAGTAGGGCATATTTTGGAGATTCTTTTATTTATCACTTTATTAAACGAAAAATATATTTCGAAGGCTGCAAACCAGAATAAATTCGATGCTTTCACTGGATTCTGGACGATGAATTCAACCAAAAAGATTTATGTATTTGGCAACCGCATTTATTTCTGATTGAATAATTTATTCGCTTTGTCTGTATTTTCTTGGTATAACTACTCTTTGATCTAACTACACTAAAACCAAGTCCAAGATAGAGTTGATGTAAACATAGTCATGCACTGCGCAAACATATCTCGAAGGCTGACGGTTTGTACAGAGTCGTATTCAGCACCTTTTTGCGATGATTCAATGATGCCAAACGTTTTATCGATTGCGGATGCTATATCTAAAAATTCTTCATGATTGCGACTGAAGTAAAATATGGCAGATCTATAAAATGTGGCCTCTATGTGCGCTATAAAACACTTCCATTGGATTTTCCATAAATCATAAACGCCATTTGAAAAGGAATGTAATCATTTTAATTCTACGTACAACTATTAACATTATTTATCAGAATGTTGAACTTGAACTGTCATCCTCATCACTTGTATCATTCTGGCCAAATTCAATTATCAGTGGTTGGACTTGTCTTTCTAAAATATTATAGAGATCCCACATCTTTGTCTCGACTTTTGTTATCACATGCCGAACACACTTGTCCCATTTCTCGGCTCCGATTCTGCTTAGGGCTTCATCAAAAAGTATCTTGAGGTCGGCAAATTTATACATAGTGTTATGTTGTGCCACAAAGTTTTTAACATCCGCCCATACGAGCTCCATGGGATTTAGCTCACAGTGATATGGGGGCAGGCGAAGGACTGTTTTGTTATGGCTTGCTGCCATCTCATCGACTGCATATTTTTCGTATGCAGCCTTATGCTCTTTGACAATTTTCAATAGCTGGACTCTTAGCATTGAGTCCTCAACTTTTTTCGATGACGTCGTCGGGATTTTCTCTAGTCGTCGAGAATGGTATGGCGCATTGTCCAGTACAATTACTGAGTTGTCTTCCAGGTATGGTTGGACATTGGAAAACCACTTTTCAAAAGATTCCCCGTTCATTTCTTCGTTGGTAATCACCTGTTTTCTTTGACTCGAAACACCACAGCCCTTCAGCAACAAACCCATTCTCATTGCCAATATGACAAACAATCAGTCTTTTTCCTTTACCTGGAAGTGAGAACTGGTATGTAATTTAATAAAACACCATAGTGATAAAATACACAATTGAAATCGGATTTTTTGAAATTCTGAAGAATAAACTGGCCTCTGTCGAGATTTGAACTCGAGACTTTCTGCTTTACGCGCAGATGCTCTACCACTGAGCTACAGATGCCTGACAGCCCAGATGGCAGAACTTCAATGTTAGATACAAAGTTCTAAGAATCTGGTTCGCCAACAATACGATGTAATTCAGATACAAACATAGCACGCGTAGTTAAGTCTGGAAAGAGAAGACTGTTCAGCCAACAGACAGACAGACCGACGTGAACTAGTGTCATTAATGTTATTTTAAATTCGGAATTCCTGGTCTATGCGTGGGAAGTAAAATATTGTAGAAACAAAATGATTTCAATTAAATAAAAGATACAAGGTAAGAAAAGCTAACGTTTTCTTGATTATATCCTGAAATATCAAATTATTTTGAAAGACAAAATAATTTAAAGGATGTTCAAGTATCTTTTGTTAAGTTACGATTAAAAGTTTACCTGATGGATTTTTCAAACCGGTGGACAGTCCATCTAGAAATGCCCTCCTAGATGAGGTCACGGTTTCATCGACCCATACCTTAGGAGTAGTATGACCAGCATTAACCCAGGTTTCATCCAAATAATAAATTGTCCTTTTTTGCTCCCTATATTTTTTGATTTCGATCAAATATTCTCTTCTCAGGATTATGAGTTCTTTCCTATCCAACAGTAAACTATTGCGTCCTCGTTTCTTCCATTTGAAATTTAAATGTTTTAACAATTTACTAAATGTAGACCGCTTGAAACTAGGCAACATAGCATCTTCATTTACTTGTGCGAGTACTTTTTCCACCGTGGATATTTCATTTCTAAAAAATTATTCATGCACTTTCCTCCTTATTGCATGTTTATCAGCCTCATCTATCGATGTTATAATGCTTGGGCGATTTTGATTTGTCTTAGGTGTGGAAAATGTATGATTAGCTTTATATACCCTCAAAACATTAAAAATCGAAGCGCGACATACTCCAACTCTATCAGCAACGTCTTCGACCGAGGATGTTCCATCTTCCTCTATCTCCTTTTTGAACACATTCAAAATAACCTCTTCCATCTCGATATTCAAATGTCTTATTTTGGATCGTTTTCTAACTGGACTGAAGCAACAACTCACAGTCTCCTCAGCAGTATCTGTACTGGACATCTTGGATTACAGATCACAGTAATTATAACAATAACAAACGATAATAACTATAAAAAATCCAGCAAATACAATAAAACTTAACAAAAGCAAATGAAAACCGCGATATGAAGAAATACTAAAAAAGCAGGATGCACGCCAACACGCCACGCAAACGCCTGATTGCGACTCTGTTTCGGCTGCTCCCGTACTGACGCGGCAGCGGTACGGCGGCACCGCGGCGCACCAATGAATTGACCAATGAGCGCTGCCGTGTCCACCTGTTGCTGGCCGATCACGTGAATATCACGATTGGCGTTTGTTGGACTTGGTTTTAGTATAGACTGGATTGCATTGAATTACCTAACAACTTTGTCCAGCACAGTGTTGAGCTTGTGTTCGGTGATGGATGGCACCAGTTTCCTGACCAGCTCGTAAACGAATCTCTCCGCGATGCCGGGCGATGTCCTCTCGGCCATCTCGAACGCCGCTTCCAGCTCTTCGACTGCGTCGGAGGCGGCGCTGCCACCGGTGGTCGCTATCCCCGATTTGTGCCCGCCTTCCATGGACGACGTGCCGCCCGCGGCTGCCGACGACGCCGATTTGCCGTTGCTGTAGCGGTGTTTTCGCTGCAACTGAAATTCAAAACCATGATTACAGAAACAAATAATAGTCTCTTACTACTACTACGAAGATGACTAAGAAGATGGCAACTTAAGTTTTGTAATTTCGAGTATTTCCGGAAATACGACAAAAGCAATCGAATTTTCCTGTCTTTATCCTACTAAAAAGTGCAATCATATTGGAACTTTTTTCTTCTACAAGATTTCAATATGACGTTTCGACTATTGTCATCAACCGTCATCGCCTTTATTTTTTCTTATAGATGCCATATTGGATTTTTGCACAGGTGAATGGAGTTTAAAATTGTGAAATGTATGTCATACACTGACGTTACCAGTCCTTAGTTATTTAAAAAAACTGAATATCCTAAGTAGGCCTTGAAATTATCAGATAGTCAAATCATCAGTCAAACATTTTTATGAACTAGGCATAGATGAACAGTCCCTATTTACTGTTTTAGATTGTGTTATCAGAATATGGATCGATACTACAAAATTTCAACTGTCTAAAAAAGTAATATTCCTAGGGTTGGTCACAACTCATCGAATAAAGAACAACCTAATGTTAAAGCTTTTTCATATAATTTAAGGGTCGTATTAACAACATTGAAAGAAATATTATTTTATATACGAGGGATGTCTTTTAAGTTTTGCATATAGAAACATAGTAGGCCGCGCAGAACGAACGTCAGTACTGAATCTTTACCTCACACTTTAGTAAACTTAAATTCAAAGTTTCACAACAATATGTGCAGTGTTCTCACTACAGTGAATTTTTAAGTGTCACCAAGTCATTAGAAAAATGAAACTCAACCGAGAACATTTTCGCGCCATAATTTATTACAACAATTATCGCAACAAGAATGCCTTCCTGAGTTACTGCCGGTTTTCGACAACGAAGCGCCACATCAGTCGACAATTTCCCGTTAGTATGGGGAATTCAAACGTGGACAGATGAGTCTAGCGACGATCCCAGGGTGGGTGCACCAAAAACGGCAGTCACCCAGGAAAACGTCGATGCTGTGCGCAAACTCATCATTGAAGATAGACATGTGACATATCGCGAGATTGAGGCGTCCTTGAAGATCTCAAAGAACTCAATTCAAGAAATTTTACATGAAGAATTAGGAGTAAGAAAATTAGTTTCTCATTGAATACCCCACCTGTTGACTGAAGAGCAGAAAGCAGCCAGGGTTAATTGTTGTCAAAAAACGCTTGACCGTTTCAATTCCGGAAACTCAAAAAATATGTACAGCATTGTTAGTTGTGATGAATCATGGATTTACTGTTATGAACCAGAAAATAAACGACAGTCGGCAGCTTGGGTGTTCCAAAGGTGAAGAAAAGCCAACAAAAGTCATCCGTTCTCGAAGTGTTTCGAAAAAGATGGTCGCAACATGTGTGTCAAAAGCGGGTCATATTGCAACAATGCCTCTTAATGAGCAATGAACTGTTACTGCGGATTGGTATACCACCATTTGTTTGCCAAAAGTCATCACCGAGCTTCGAAAAATCAACCCCGAAAGATGAATCATCCTTCACCAGGACAATGCAAGCTCGCACACAGCCCAAAAAACAAGGCAATATTTAACGGAAGAAAACGTGGAATTATTGGACCATCCTCCATATAGTCCCGATCCAAGTCCTAACGATTTCTTTACTTTCCCGAAAATTAAAAACAGACTGCGTGGTCAAAGGTTCCAGTCACCAGAAGAAGCAGTTGACGCATTCAAAAATGCCGTTTTGTATCTGCCAGCAAACGAGTGGAATAAGTGCTTCGAAAATTGGTTCGAGCCCATGCAGATGTGTATTAATCTTCGTGGAGAATACTTCGAAAAACAATAAAGTCATTTAAAACTACCTACCGTGTTGTTTTATTTCCATATGCAAAACTTAAAAGACATCCCTCGTAAGCGGTACAATACACACATCTTCTAACTAAAATTTTACATTTTTTTAATAACTTTTAGTTTGATTCTTTTTCTTATTATTATTTTTTTTTTAATTAAAACTAGATTATATAAGTAACAAATCATGATCAGACGAAGCGAAGCGCGTCCAAATTGCGGCGTTTAAATCAACGTCATTGGCATTGCAGTTTTAAATATTTAATTTAAAAAAAGAAAACTGAAAAAATGCATATTCCCTATTGCGATCTCGACGCGAGCGTTCTTTCTTGCCATTCAATCAAGCCATCCTTTCCTGTCTCGAGAGATTGTTGTTCCGCCACGAGAGGGATGAGCAAAAATCTTTCCGCGAGGATTGTTGACTTGTCAACTCGAGGCTAATGTGACAAATTTTCCCATGAACTAGCAAATATTCCGAAAAGATAGAATGGCGGGATTTTTTTATACTGATGCAACCGCAACCTAAATACCGAGGTAAAATGACGGCTATTACTTTGGTTCCATAACAAAGATTGAGAGGAAAGAACGGCAGATTTATTTTCTTTTTGCAGCCCATACACGAGCGTTCTTTCGACAATTTTGTTGTTCCGCCACGAGAGGAATGAGCGACAATCTTTCCGCGAGGATGGTTGACTTGTCAACTCGACACGCCGGAATTCGACCTAAGTGACTAATTTTCCCACTAGCTGTTAAATATTTCAGAAGTTTTATTTTGCATTTGCAGCCCATATACGAGAGATATTTTCTACCACTCAATAATGCCATTTTTTTCTGTAATGGAAGCTCGTTGTTCCGTCACGAGAGGAACAAACGACCAACTTGCCGTGAGGATTGTTAACTTGTCAACTCGGGATTAAAGAGACAAATTTTCCCACGAACTGTCAAATATTCCGAAATGGGAGACTGGAGGGATTTTTCCATACTGATGCAACCGCGTTGGCAGAAATCTAAATACCGAGGTACCATGCCTGGTATTACTTTCCTTCCATAACAAAGTTTGAGAGGAAAGAATGGCACTTTTACTTTCCTTTTTCAGCCCATTCACGAGCGTTCTTTCGTATCTTTCAATAATGTATTTCATTTCTTTTCTATCACAAAAGTTTGTTCCGCCACGAGATGAATGAACGACAATCTTTCCGTAAGGATGTTGACATATCGACTCAAGACACGCAAATCGAACTGGAGCGACAAAATTTTCAGAGTAAACAGAAACCTGAATACCGAGGTACTGTGACTACTATTACTTTCTTTCCAAAATATTGTTTAAGGCGAAAGATGGAATTTGAAAAGTAAAAGAAAATAGTTCTGTTATTTAAAGGATATACACAGAATTTTCACTATCTCGGGTGAGAAATAAGAATCTCTCTGGCAAGTCTATTGCAAAAACATTTTTGTGTCAGGCCCATTAATCAATTGAATCGATCCTCTATTTCAGAGATATCCAAAATATGGAATAACCTGTTACTAGTTCAAAGCTTATATAAGCGAACTCCTGCATTCACGGTACTCCAACGTTGCGAAAAGGTTGGATAAAAATATATACAGTAGCGGAGAAAAGTTTGGAAACAAATATTAACATTATTATGAGCTATTCCATATACCTAATTAAAATTGTGAAGGAACAGATTGATAATATAAATATTAAAGTCTACCTTTGTCTCCCGTACTAATACAATGTTTATCCAATATTCAAATTCTCTGAAAATAAAAACAGGCGTTTTTTTAAATACCTCAGTTTTTGTAACGACAAAAGTATGGAATAATTTCAGTTTTGGGTATTTATTTGTTCTGCAATACTCTGATATTGCGTGCGGTAAATATTAACATCAGTGAGAATGGCAAAAGTAAAAGAATTTTCAAAAGATTTAATAGACAAAGTAATTGAATTATTTAGAAGTTGTGTCAGAAATGTTATACATTTCTCAAAGATTAAAAATGAACAAAGGGACGAATACGAAAATTATTAGTAAATATCAAGAATACGGATAAACAGCAACGCGGCCCAGGTGCGGAAGACCGAAAAAAACCGATTATGTTTTGGATCGCTACATTAAACGCTGAAGATCTTCGAATGCCAGCCACACAGATTTTCAAAAGAATCGTAGAAGAGGGTTCCAAAAATCTTTCTGTCAGAACAGTGCAGAGACACTCGGTGGATTTTGGGCTTTTGCTAATACTTATCTAACTTGGACAGAACAACACACACAATGGAATACAGTTTTATGGAGCGATGAAAGCAAATTTAACTTATTTGGATCTGACGGTACGGCATATGTGAGACATAGAATACGAAAAAAATTCGACAAAAACTATCAGTCGCCAACAGTTAAACACGGTGGAGGCAACATCATGGTTTGAGGCTGTTTTTCTAGTTCTGGAACGGGTCCAATTTGTAAAATTGTTGGGAAAATGGATTAAAAAGTTTACAAAGATATTCTTAGTGCTCCCTTTTGCTGAAGAAAAAATGCCTTTACGATGGACATTCCAGCAAGATAATGACCACAAGCATCCCTCAAAATTCATAAAGGACTGGTTAATGTTCTTACATGGCCTTTGCAATCTCCGGACCTAAACCCAATTCAACATATCTGGGAGCATGTTAAAAGACAACTGACAAGAAGAACTTTTAAAAATAGGAACGATCTATTTGATTATGTAAAAAATATTTGGCAAAATATGACGTCTATAAAAAATTGGAGTCTTCTATGTGCAGCAGATGTCAGGCAGTGTTGAATGCTTAACGCTATGCTACCAAAGATTAGCTGAACAGTATTTTTTAAATCTTTTTGTAGAGTTGTTATTGTATTTAATTTTGTAATTAAAAATATGTTTCCATACTTTTGTCGTCTCATTTTCGATCATAAAATAATATGAAGGTATTTTAATGCTAGTCTGTAGTACCACAGCCAACATAAATTGTCATTTGTATCCTCAAGACTGTAAGTAAGCTATATGAGAAAAAAATAGTCAATAATAGAGAATAAAAAATTAGCACACTTTCTAAAAATTACTAAGAATGTTTCTAAACTTTTGTCCGCTACTGTACATCTGAAAACAAGAAATGAAACTACGATGCTAGTTTTTTTAAAATCAGATCTATAACACAACTGTATTAACTTACCTCAATAATCAGCGGGTATATGACAGACGACAATATGGGCGAATGATTCTCAATGACCGGCCTGTCATAGTTCGATTGATCCCTGTCCCTGTCTCGATCCCTATACATTTTCTTCTCAGCAAAGAACTGCTGTTCCCTATCCCTGGTGTGCGCCATCGGGCTCAGGTCTCGTACCATCATTTCTTTCTCTTTGCCCACGTCAACCGACAGTCCCCTGCCGCCTCCAACACTGGTACTTCTTTCTCTGTCTACCCCCTCAGGGGATTCCTTTTCCTTTCTGTTATCCAACGGGGATTGAATACTGCTATGAGACTTGGAAGACTGAAACACAATGAAATATTACAATTAAAAAAATCTAAATGAAGGCTATTTTTTAATCTTTTGAAATTCCAACATTTTAACTCAAAAACGATGAAAAAAATTAGAATAAACCTTTGTTCATTGTCCAATATGCCCTACCATCTACATTTCAAGTTAAATTTAAAATATGCAGATTTTTGTTGCACATGTTTTATTAAATTTTTCATGTAAATCAGAAGTAGCTATACTTACAATATTGACTTTGTAATGATTAAGATTCGAGTCTTTAGGCGGCGACTTGCTCATCAGTGGACCCGAACCGTTCTGTATCTTACTGGAATTCTTGTAGTTACTAACTACAGGTTGCGCTTCTAAAGGTAATTTCATGTTTCCTTTTACAGTCATGATCCAGGGGTCATCCAGGTCGCCATCCTGTTTTGGTTCCTCTCTACAAAAACAAAACGTACGCATTGGTCAAATTAACCAGAACACAGCCCTACTATGATTTCACCCATTGCACTGAAACACACTTAAGTTATTGTGACAGTAGCTCTACAGAACACACTCTGATGAACACGATCAGTGTTCAGATTTTTAGAAGTTACAGATCTCCAACATGAAGTACGAGTTTTTTTATAAATTGTTGCCAACTTACGAATCAGAATTCTCAGATTCAGTTTCACTTTCTTCACTTCGCGTACATCTCCATTTTTTGTATCTGTCTATGAGGTCAATCAAATATGAATTCTTCTTCGCCTTCCTTATGAAGGGATATTTCAGTAGTTCTTTTGCCGTCGGTCTCTGTAAAAAAATAAAATTGAAAATTATATATGAATGTGTAGCACTAAGTAAAGTATTAATAATGTACCTGGATAAACTTCAATGGGTAATTCATTAGGCGAATCTAAGAGAAGTTCGTATGTATAAACAAAGGACCTGAAATGGTTTGTTCCAAGTTCAGGGTCATATCTTTCTGGAACTTTTTTTCCAACATTCGTAAAATAACCCATTAAACGACATTGTTAAAATTATTCACCGATAAACGCGTAAACAGAACCCAAACCATCTGAAGGAACAAATTATGAAATTAAATTTGGTATGTAATCTTCTAAAACAGGTTTGGTCTCTATACAGGGTGTTAGGGAAATAATATTCGTAACTTTAAGAGGTGATTCCCTGCATTATTCTAAGCAAAAAAGTTCGTTATAACTTGTCCGAAAATCAACCGTTTCGAAGCAAAAAAAAGCTGAACTTACTTCTTTTTAGACGTGAAATAAATTAATTTTGCACCTTAATAATAATTTAAATTCATATGCCTAATAGCGTAAAACGTATCAATACATCTATTTATTCATTAACTGTCTCTAACAAAATAATGTTCTTGCTTATTAAATACAATTTTCCGAATAAAAACAGACAACAAAATCCCTCACACAACTGGCAACGTCGTACTCCGCCTGCACTGCATGTATCATCGCGTGTTGTTGTGATTACTAATACATTTAACTGTAACTTTTTGAGATTTACGGATGTTGTTTTTTTTTCTTTTTTTGAACATCGCATCGTTTTAAATAAGTGATTGATAATCGTGGGAATTGGTGGTGTATATCGCCAGGTACCGGTAGGTTCTGTCATTTTTTTAAGTAAATGTACTATAATAAAAAATATTAGCCACAAAAAATTGCGTAAAAGTATTCAATAATTCTACGCATATTTTCAACAAAAATATCATACAAACGATGAATCAGTTGCGGTCGTCGTGCGCTCGTATCGCGGTTGCATTGTAACGTTGCCAAATGTTTGAGAAAATTCAATTATGTACGACTCACTTTCCTCGAAAACGATTGATTTTCGGACATAAGTTATAATGAACTTTTTTGCTTAGAATAATGCAAGGAATCACCTGTACCTCTGCATTACTAGACCTATGTGTGTATGAACTTTTCGTCGTAAAACCATCCCTTACCAAGTTTTGCCTAGTACTTTATTAACACACTGTATGTCTAGGCAAAATGTAGGTTCAGGCAAAGACGCTGATTGGCGTTGACGTTAATGGCCGGGCAATGACGTGAATGCCCATTGCGAACAGGCAATGTTAAAGCGATTTAAACTGACAATTCTCTGTTGATACTAAAACCAACTCGTGTAATCTCTCGCGTAGAACCCTAAAAACTAATTAGCTAGGAAACAGCTTATAGGCTTCATAAATAACTTTTATTTTCGTGAAGCTGTAAATCACATATGCACGGGTAAAAAGCATCCGCGAAAACTAATTTTATGAAATCAGAAGTTATTCGCGAAACCTCCAAGTAGTCCCCTACATGAGTAACTTATTACAACCTTACGCGGGAGAGCACACGATTTAGTTTTGTATCGAAACAGAATTTTCAGTTTTGAATCTACTTGCTAACCTCAAATACTCTGCGAACCTCTCATTAATCTCATTTTAACATCTTTTCCGGGTTAATGACGATGTTAACCAAGAAGGGCTGGGAAATATTGAAAGATGGTATGTGTAAGAACAAATAGGTGAAAAAAATCCGTAGTAACAAAAAAAAAACAACCAAGTTGAAACAAATAGTAAAAACTGGCACCTGCAGCGTTATATTCCTCCGCGATTTTTGTCATCGTGCTTCTGTTCCGTAAATAAGCGATGTAACCCATTAGATTCCACGGTGGTCATCGTCATTGACCTGACCGCTGCTCTACTGACATTAACGTCATCCCCAATGCAATGATGTTAACAGCGCGTATGTATTGTTTTCGTCAACATTGCCCAACCTTGCCTTTCGACTTTAGCTAAGCCTAAATATAAACTGAATCAATCAAAAAATTATCTCAACGCCAAAACCCTAGCACACTAGCACACACAGGAGGATGACAGCAGAAAGCATCTCTTGTGATGCCCAATTTTACCAATTTTGAAACCGTTTTCTCCCCTCTCACGCCGTTCGTATTTGCCAATATCATACATCTAAACCGAATCAACCATAAAAGATATCAGCACTAAATCCTAGCACACACTGGAGGATGACAACAGAAAACATCAGGGAGCATTTCCCACCAAACAACATCTCATGTAATGCCCAATTTTCCGAATTTTGTAGCCGATTTCCACCCATCTCACGCCTTTCGTCTTTTCCAGTAACATACATTTAAATTGACTCCATCGAAAAAATTATTTCATCACTAAGGCCTAGCACACACTGAAGAATGACAACAGAAAGCATCCAGGACTATTTTCCACCAAACAGAATCTCTTGTGATATCCAATTTTCTCGCATCTAACTGTAATAAAAATATTCCCTATTCCAAGATGAGCACTCACATTCTCAGGATCCTTATTCAGACACGCCTCAACGAAATCCTTGAACTGCTTACTATAGCTGCCTGTAAGTTGTGGCGGGTTATTCTTGGGTATAAGGAAAAGCACCCGCATAGGATGCAGCTCTGAGTTGGGCGGTTCACCTTTGGCCAGTTCGATCGCGGTGATGCCCAAACTCCAGATATCCGCCTTGGAATCGTACGCGGACTGTTTGATCACCTCCGGGGCCATCCAGAATGGGGTGCCCACGAAGGTGTTACGCTTGCTTGTCGTATTTGTTAGCTGACCCGCCACACCTTGAAAAAAAAAGTGAGTCAGGTAGGTTGCTTCAGTACTCCTCACGGAATAAATACGATATAAATCTATTTAAAATATATAAATAAATTTTTCTGGATTCCCCAGAAGTTTTTTTTGACTAATGCTTTAAAGTAACCACAATAATTATATCATGAAACCTAAAAAATTAAGATGAAGCTTTATAAGGATTTGTCCAAAAAAATGTTTTCACTTTCCTCAAAAATTACCAGAAAGTTGATAAGCACAGTTTGAGGGTGCTTTAAAATCTAGTTTACTTAGCTTTTCGCTCATAATTCTGCCGCCACTAGATTGATATTCAAAATCTATAATGCTTTTTGTCTTTGCCATGAATAACCTTTGTGTAAAATTCCAACCAACTCTGAGCAATACTTTTGGGCAAAGGATTACTAGACAAATTACAGGCAGATGAAAATCTGACACAATATTTCATTTTAAAGGGTGATTTTTTAAGAGGTATAGCATTTGATTTTAAGAAAAAAACACAAAAAATTTGAAAAAACGATTATATCTTTATTTGAATCGATAGAACGGTCGATATAATTTAATGTTTAAAGATTATTTCATGTAAATGTTGGCCGCGGCTCCGCTTTAGATGGCCCATGCGCAAGGTCCAATTTTGGCACACTCTCTCCAACATATCGGCCGGAATCACACGAATAAATGCTTCAATATTGGCTTCCAGTGCGTCAATCGTTGCTGGTTTATCCCTGTAGACATTAGCCTTAACATGGCCCCACAAGAAATAGTCCAACGGCGTTAAATCACACGATCTAGGCGGCCAATTGACGGGCCCCAAACGCGAGATAAACTGTTCACCGAACTCGCCTCTCAATAGGGCCATTGTTTCGTGTGCGGTGTGGCATGTGGCACCGTCTTGTTGAAACCACATGTCAGCCAAGTCCTGCTCTTCCATTTTGGGCAAAAAAAAGTTTGTTATCATCGCATGGTAGCGCTCGCCATTCACAGTTACGTTCCGGCCATTGCCGTCTTTGAAGAAGTACGGCCCGATGATGCCACCTGCCCATAATCCACACCAAACAGTGATTTTTTCGGGATGCATTGGTAGCTCTTGCAATGCTTCTGGCTGGTCTTCACTCCAGATGCGGCAATTTTGCTTGTTAACGTACCCATTCAACCAGAAATGAGCTTGGTCGCTGAACACAATTTTTCGATAAAAATGTGGATCTTCCTCCAACTTTGCCAGCGCTCATTCACCAAATGGGAAACGTTGTGGGAGGTCGTGTGGCTTCAATTCTTGCACCAGCTGTATCTTATAAGGTTTTACACCAAAATCCTGTCGCAAAATGTTTCACGTAGTGGAGTAACAGAGGCCCAATTGCTGCGAACGGCGGCGAATCGACATTTCACGATCATCACTAACACTGGCGAATACAGCCGCAATATTTTCTTCAGTCCTCACTCTACGTCTGCGTGTTGGTGGTTTAATGTCCAATAATGTAAACTGGGTTCGAAATTTAGTCACAAGCTTCCGAATAGCTCCCTCATAAATTGGAAGCAGTGCTCGGATGCACTCTCTTAACCGAGCATGAATTTTGATAGTAAAATTCAATAATTTGCAAGCGTTCGTAAGTCGATTCATGGTTAAATTATAGACCAAACTGAACAAGTTTGACAATGACACAAGACACGATTCACGCGTCATCTGTCAAAAACAGTGTTGCCAAAAAGATACTAGCAAAAGAATCACCCATTACAATAGTTATAAATGTGATAAAACCCAAAAAATAATACTGGAGTGGCAGTTTAATGAATCACAATTTGAAATATTTTACAATACTTGTGAGGCATTAAAAGTGTGATCTTTTAGATTATGCTTCTGGGATAGTTCTGTGCAGAATCCAAACAAGGATTTTATCTCCAATACACATAGATTTTTATACATCTTCATAAAAGAGGACAGTGTTAACATCAATATCCGTAGTGAACTAACCACCAATAAACCACTCTGTCAGATAGTTGTTTTTTTTTTTCATGTGTTATTTATATTAATTTATATTTTAACCAATGAACATGATTGTATTGTAATATGTATTTTTCTTACCAAAGTCTGCCAATTTGACATCTCCCATTTCACTCAACAGTACATTAGCTGCTTTAATGTCCCTATGTAGCTTCCTCTCACTGTGCAAATAATCTAGACCTTTCAGCACCTCCCTCAAAATGATAGCAATGTGCATTTCTTCAAAACTGCCAGCCTTCATCAAATCTAAAGCAGACCCACCACCCAAGTATTCCATTATGATCCATAGTTTTGTGCCCTGTAACAAAAAAATGGAGTCAAATAGATAAGTCTATGTAAAATTTTAAGTACGCAACAATTCTAAAGATGTATGCTCATTGAGGGGAAGAGAATATAGCTTTAATAAACGAAACTTCTCACAACTTTAAGAGATCAATGGGATCTCACACTGCTGTACTGTTGCATGCTTTTAATATTTTGTATGTGGTTTTAAAAAACTCTTTATATGATACATTAAAGATATTGAACAACAAGACTTTGACTATACCTAAATTATCAGCAATATGTTATGTATTTGGTACTTTATGCAAAGTTTCTATAAACCCTACCTTCAAGAAGGACCCATAGTACTTGGTGACAAAAGGGCTGTCACACTGTGACAGCACCATGATTTCCTGTTGTATATCTTCAATTTCATCTTCAGCCTCTTCCAAATCAATGATTTTGATAGCAACCACCTGCTGTGTCCTGTTGTCTATGCCCTTGAAGACCTCCCCAAATGAGCCCTTGCCAATACGCTCTTGTTTGGTGAAGATTAGTTCTGGGTCCACTTTCTGCAAAAAAAAACATGGAATCTCAAAACTCATTTGAATTCATATAATAAATATCATAATTTTTATCTAGAAATATGTGTTTCAGTGTAGTTATGAAGGAAATAACTTTCATCCACAGGTTTTTCTCAATATACTCCTATCATTTATAAACAAAATAGTTTAAGTACACCCCAATCTCTTCTATAATACTCAACTGTTAGATGTACTTTAGCCTAGAAAATTCCTATAAATGCTTAAAACATTTGAATTGTGGAAAATGAAAACAAGTCACAGGTGAGAAGCACCTAATTCACAAATTACTGATTCTTTAGTATTTGACACACTGCATCAAATATTTGAAAGCCAAATTTACCTCTTTTACAAGTGCTCCATAATACAGAAAATTTCCTTTTGCCACCATTATTGAAATACTTTTTATGACTCACTAGTGACACTATCAGAAATGAAAATATAATCACAAAAACCAATTCATCAATTATAAACATCTTATCATGATCTAGCTTAATCTCCAAATTCCTTAATATGATACATAGATACGGGTTAACGAGACAGCAGCAACTTGATAGTTTATTGTAGATTTATTTAGTAAGCTTCTATACCATACCCATGTAAGTAAATACCAAGATGATCTTTTAGCTAACACTGTATAAAAATATAATGGAGTTGACCAAAGATCTTTAATTTTTTTGTGATTTCATAATTCACATGTACAGCAATGGACAGAAGTATATAGACAAATTAATATTATGCTGTATTTCTTTTTTAACTTGTTTTATTAATACACCAACCTGTATTCATAATTCGTTATAGCATAATACTCACTTATACATAAATAAATTTATTAGACTCCCTTCAATAAAAAATTAATTGAAAAAAACTGAAACTATGAAGGACAAAAATATATAAACGCAAAACAATTATAGAAAAAATGGAAAAGTTCATTGAATTATAGAAAACTAACCATGTTTGTGTTAATATTTTATGGCATAACCATTATTATCGATCACCACCTGGCATCGTCTCGGCATAGATTGTTTCAAGTTTCTTGATATAAGATTCATCAATCTGTCTCCACTTTTGCTCTAAAGCGGCAAAAAGTTCATCCTTGTTTGAATAATTTTTATCTCGTATTTGCTTATCCAAATATTCCCATAGATTTTTAATGGGGCTTATATTGGGAGACTGTGAAGGCCATTTGAGAACTGGTATTTTTTCATCAGAAAGACTTTCTTTGCGAGATTTGAAGTGTGCTACGGGTCATTATCTTGCTGGAAGATTGATCTTAAGGGCACATTGTCTTCCATATAGGGTAACATGACATGCTTTAGTAGTAATGAACACCATCTGATCCAAACATATTGAACTTCGATTCGTCATTACTCGGGCGACGTGCAAATGACTTCAAATCATTTAATCTTCTACTTATAGTTTTAGTAGAAACTCTGACAATTCCTTTTGTCTCGATTTCAGCTTTTATTTATCTTGGGGTGTTACACGGATCTTTGGACGAAATTACTTTTATTAATCTAACTGATCTAGCATTTAGTTTTCTAGATGGACCACTTCTCTTAGAGGCTTCCAATATACCTTTTTGTTTATATTTGTTCAATATTGGTCAAACTGCTTTACGCTTCAGCTTCAAATGTTTGGCAATGTTGACTTGACATTGCCAACTTTTTATAACTCAATGATCTTAGTTTTCACATCGAAAGAAATTTCTGGACCATGCGGCATGGTTTTAAAATCACTCAACTTATTCCACAATACTTGATGAACACAAACTAATCCTCTTCTGACACAAAACTGTACTAATGAATGAATGAATGAATCTTGAATTTTAGAGGTATCCCGGCCACCATAAGGAGCCAGTGCATAGGCCGCTTAAGCGGGCCCTTATGCACCTCTACAATACTTAAATCACAAGCCTCGCCCTTTTAGCGAAGTTGAGAATCGCCTTGAGTCCAAGCTCCTTTACGTCCTGAGGGTCCAAAGTAATGGACCCCAGTATAGTCTGCCTATAGTAGCTCAGAGCTTCACAGCGACACAAAACGTGCGCCGAGGTCTCTTCCTCTACTCCGCAGCGTTCGCACAAGGGATCCTCAGCCACCCCCATCACTGTACTAAACTAATGTTGAAAAGAATTTGTCTACATATTTTTGTCCCTCATAATAAATCATAAAAAAGTGCTGATATTCAGACTTGTATTGTTCATTGCAGATAATGTAAAAACAAGGAATTTTGTTTTTCTATTAATAAGGTATTTGTTTATGGAGCAATGAAGTATGAATTTGTTTTCTAATGGTATTTAGGTGAATATTCATATTTCTATATATACTTTTATCCATTACTGTATATATATGTATTTGTAATTGCTTTTTGATAGGGTTCTTGTTACTTTTAACAATCAAAGTCCTTGGCACATAAGAGCAGCTTATTTGCTCTATTCCATTACTTATTTAATTCATATTTTATAGAAAAACATGTCTCATAAAAACAACCAAATGTTCACACTACCACTGTAGATTTTTTTTTATTTTGTATACCTACAATTACTGCAAGTTAATTACAGAGTTGTTTATGTGTAAAAATAACATTATGGTACATTTTTCAAACATTATCACATATGCTGCCAAAATCAACATAAAAATTAGTGGTCATTCATTATTTATAATTGTATTAGAAATAGATACATCTTTTTATTAAGATATTGGGTGTAAAATATAGGAACAAAATGTGTCATGGAAATGTTCATCAAATAAAATGTTTTACACCTTTGTCCTCATTTTTTACAATTTTTTAGGAAAAAACACTGCTTGCACCAATTCTGAATGAGTAGGTGTGGGTCTGTATTATCTATTATATCAGATATTAGCTTTATTACTTCTTTTAACTACATATAAACAAGTAGATAAACGATTTTGATGAAAAAATTACCATTAAAGCCTCCAATTATTATTATTATTATTATAATTGCGAGAAATATCAGACAGACCCATAAAACATGTCCAAATGTTAGAAAAGTGTCACCAAAAGGATAGTTCACATCAAGCTAAACTACATCAATTCATTTTCTTCAAATATAGATTAATGTATGCAATACATTATCCTTATTCTCCAATATTTGAATATGGAACATTATATAAGCTTCAAGAGTTTATATGTAAATGAACTTGTTTTTGATTACATTATGCAAGAAGCCATATAGGTAAGAGGTTCAGTAATTCTAAATGCCTCATAATGTATAATCAATATTCATTATTTAATTTAATATATTTTACTGCCATAACATAACATATAAATATGTATACATATTTGATGTAAAGCTATAAAATCTATAATGGTGAAATGAAATAAGAAAGATCTTAATCAGTTTTAACCAGAACCTTTCTAATTGAGAGAGAAATAAATATAAAGTGAATATCTTTTCCTACATAATTTCACAACAATGTCTTTTTTGAGTATAAAAACAAATAAAAGATGGTTTATTTGGTGGAAATAAGTAAATATGATGAGTGTTTTCAGATTATAGTGCCACAAATGTGTGTTTATATTGTTCTAAGATTTGACCTAATTCTTGAGGCTCTATTTACCATGTATATATCTAAAATATGGAATTACCATTGGAAATTCTATACTGAACAAATTACTGTGAAAACAGATTTTACATTTTGATACTGGAGAGCAGATGATCACTTATTTTGAGAATGTTCCCAATAAATATTAAAATTTCATTTTAATATGGTAAACAAAAAATAGCTGGTTATAAAAAAGCTTCAGAGATAAGAAGCCACAATTGGGCCATTTATCAGACAAAATACAGTTCAGAAAATGCTGAGGTATGTGGTACACAACATAACTGGACAAACCACTCATGGATACCTTCACATAGCAAGTACAGCTGTATCAATACATGACCTAATAAAGACATTTGTATTTGTACGACTTCTAACATGTAACATTCGAACGAAATGTGCATATTTATGACTGATATGATTACGTACCTCATTAAAGGCCATCTCTAAAGGTAAATGGCCTTTCACCCGTCCAGATCAGCGCGCAAAAAATCAACCAGGTTTGCTTCTATTCGCTTGACCCTGCATACAAGTACGGCCACTGGAGATATTCAATTTCTCAGGCGTTTTTTGGACTGTTGTTGAACATTTTCATCCTCATTTGTAAACAATAAAAAATTAACATTCCTCAGGTGTGTCCAGGCGATGTCAGATGTCACGTATACGCCTATAAATGATCACTGTTCGCGATAGTAAATGCACTATAACGAAGCAACCTCCAGAGAAATCACATACAGGATAATCAGGGATGTTTATATGGTTTTTCAGGCGTAGAAGGAAATAATATGGTTATCAGGAATACGAGCCATGTTGGATTATTGGAATTAGATAATAGGGTTGTGATTTTGAAATTCGTTAGGTTGGTAACAATTTGTTACAAGAACTGTCAGCATTGACGTTTTGGAAATATATAGAGATGGGAGACTGAGCAATATTTTAAATCCCCATGATTACCATTTCCAAATACAATTACTCAGCTACAGCTCGGTAGGTGATTATTAAACGATAAGTACAATGTGCCAATTAATCCTAAACTGAGTTTCAGGAGTTACTTATGGATATAACTACAAACTTGTCGTGTAATTATCTCCGGCAGGGTGATTACGTAAAAAACCTATATGATACTAAAAAAATCGGTAAAATGTCAACTTGTGCCCTAGGTAGCCGCTAATGTGCCATTAGTTCATTCCGCGCCTACTACAATTGAGCATGAAGTGACTTTCAACTAGTGCAAAGGTGACATTTTATAGGAAAACTACTGTGTCATAAAAGTTCGATGTGATAGTACCTTTTAAGATAAGTAATACAAGTGCGGCACGGGTATTACGTATCTTGAAAAGTGACATTTTGTTGTTTTTGTACATTCTATAGTTTTTTTGTGACAACGTAGGTTTTTCTACAACATGGCAACTGTTGTACACTTGTTGTGAACTCGTTTTGAACTGTACCTGTTGCCTTAACATCATGATGCATCAGCTATCAATGTTTGGCACTGATGTAACATCTGCTTCTGAGATGGCAAATTGGAGGCCGAAGCTGCGAGTTGTATATACTATAGCTGGAAGAAGTCGGAAATGCATAGATGCATAATTATATTGGTTTCTTGTCCCAAATGCACTTACTTGAGATGTATTCAAAGTTAGAAATTTGTTGCGCATCCACTTTTTCTTATTCATTCTGGAAATTAAATATGCAAATTTGCTCAATTTCAAACATGAGAGAGAAAAGAAAATCCCTGGTTGGTAAAGTTATTAAGTGGAATCTTACATTTTATTCTTACGTACTTCCACATATTGCAATTATACTTACTGTACACTGTCGAATCACAAATCATATACATGCTAACAGTGATTACAGACAACGCGGACGTGGTGGTAATTTCTCGTAATTCTCCTCTGAATACACAAAAAAACGAGACAAACCTAATTTATAACTTGAACATAACCTGTCCTCAGAAAGACCAACATAAATAACCCGTCGGGCACAGCTAATAGGTATACTTCATTGGCAGCATATTCCGTAATAAGTTCCTCACATATCAAATATCACTGACTGTATGCACATGCAGACCAATGCACATAATCATCCAGATGCTATCTTGCTACTAAGCCAACTTTCTTTCTTTCAAATCTCAGAGAGAAAGACTACAGACTACTGGGCTTTCTGCAACCAACAACGCATGCTGGGGAACAGATCTAAGCGTGTCGTGTCGTTGAGTCGTTCCCCCATATAGATGCACGCTTTTGGTGACGCTCACAGTGATCATAGCGAGCAACCGTGAAATAAACTTGCACACTAAAAACTACCAAGTCTGCAAGATGGCATTTTGACGTTTTTTAGATTTTTTACATAATACCCCGGTTAGTTAGATGTTAGATAATAATTCCGAGTATTTTATCTTTCAATTGATCGACCTGAATATTACCATCACTATTCGGGTTACGTCAATCTGTCACTGTCACTGCGAATCACAAACCTATGACGTTTAAGAATACCACCTGTGCAGAAAAATAAAAAAACAATACAAAAATTTGTTCATATACCTGTTTATTTCGTGTATTTTGTGGAAAAATGTATAGAATTTCAATGTCCTTATTACCGAAAGATCTATAAACGCAATAAATGCTATGCATATAAGTTATTTTTCATAGTGTTGAAAAGTGTGTGCGTGTCCAGTGTGCCGGTACCGGTTTACACGTTTTTTAGCTATTTTCTAATAGAATACTCAAAAATGAAACATGCGAACAAAAAATCAGCCTCTCATGTTCAACCAAGTGTTCATGTACACAGCGCCGAAAAGCAGGAAACCCTGTTGACCCTTTCTATACTAACGTTAGCCGCAATTTTATGTAAGTTAATGGACTGTCTATGGAAAAACCAAATTGTTATGCAGCTTACCCACTCTGTCTAGTGGTTACTGTATTTCTAGTAGCTTATTAGTCGGTACTTAACCCTTAAGTATTGGGTGTAGTCATGCTCTCAAGTAGAATTTACACATATCTCACCAATGACATACCCAGTTAAAGGCAGGATGACAGTCACCCTTCCCTAGAGGCAAACTGTTAGGTCATATATCTTACACAAAAACCTTGATCTTATAACAGCATGCTGCTGCTCCTAGAAGTAGACTAGTGTAGACTGTCTTCCTACCTGGAGGTAGGCTACCCCCCTGAACTGCTATATAGCATTCTGGATTCATATTCTTATCTCTCTGAATGTTTATAACAAATAAATAGGACCCCATTGTCTAGCTGAATCAAACCACATACTTGATGTAATTTCTGTTTATTTTATGATGTTTCAGCCACCACAATTGTCATTGTACTTAAAGAAGGCCGCTATGGTGGTGAAACTATCATACAATAAACAGAAATTAATTCATATATGTGGTTTGATTCAGCCAGAAAATGTAGTCCTTTGAACACAAAAACCACATCATGAGGTTTCAGAAGTTACGTTATAACATGAATGTTTTTCCAGCTTTTGCAACAAGATTGTTTTCTGTTCTGAGATTTGAAAGTGTCATACATGAATTTGACCCTTACTTCAACTACCGCACAACGAAGTACCTGGCTGAACAAGGTTTTTATAAATTCCACAACTGGTTTGATGATAGAGCATGGTACCCTTTAGGAAGAATCATTGGAGGTTTGTTTTATCATGTATTAAGCCTTCTAGTTTCTTAGGTAATATTGACATCAAAATTTTATATTATTTATTTGGAGGGTTGGCTTTATCCAAAGTCCTGAAATGGAGATTTAATTCAGAGTTTAAAAGTCATAGATTCGTATGGTTGTTTTATAGATGCAATTGAGAATGAAACACTGAGGAAGTCATGACATTTACTTTTATTTGAAAAGAACTGCTTCATTAATTATTATTGTGAATATCACTCAACATGACTTTAAGAGAAACTCTAAATCCGCTGAAGGAATATGTGAAGGGATAGCAGAGGAGAGCTTTGAGGATCATTCTCTCAATTGTACAGTGATGTTACAGAAATTGTATAGCCACTACAAATTGAAGTGTTGCATCAATAATCACCTCAACTATAGTAGTTTACCTCTAACCTTTTTTTTGTGTAATGGTTATGCATCTTGAAACAGCTACAACCTGAAATTAGTACAACTCACATAGAACTCATCTATGGTATAAGGATCTTTCTGTATTAGAAATTTTTGCTCTGCGGACATCCTCATGTATGCACTAGCTAACCCTCCCCATGTACTTAGGAACGATCTACCCTGGTCTGATGGTGACATCCGCTGCCCTATACCACCTGAGTTGGCTCCTTCACATCAATGTGGACATCCGCAACGTGTGCGTGTTTCTGGCACCTCTCTTCTCCTCTTTCACGACCATAATCACCTACCTGCTCACCAAGGAAGTGCACAATGCTGGAGCCGGGTTGGTAGCTGCAGCATTTGTATCCATCGTGCCTGGCTACATCAGCAGATCAGTGGCAGGAAGCTACGATAATGAGGGTATTGCAATATTTTGTATGCTGTTGACGTATTACGCGTGGATCAAGGCGGTCAAGACGGGTACTATTAGATGGGGAGCATTTGCTGCATTGGCGTATTTCTATATGGTGAGTTCAAAATAATGATAGAAGTGTAGTTACAAGAATAGCAATATTGAGTTAAGTTAAATAGTAACTGAATGTGTTAATTAAGGGCTGGAATATTCATTAGCATTGGCATTCCTCATGAAGAAATGATCACTAGGTTTCAAATAATAAACGAAAACAGGCAAATGTAAAAAAATGTGAACTGCATTGTTGAGAGGTTTGCCTGAGCTTTTTACACCATAGCATTACTTTGAAACAAAAAGAAAGATTCACTACCTAAAATTCCAGGTACTTGACGATGATCATATGTTTTATGACAAACTGTAGGTAATTTTATTCTTCTTGGGCAAGTGTTGATTCTTTTCGTTCATAGAAAATGTGAAAACACGCGAAATATACTTTTTCGGTGCAAAATATTGATATCTCACCGAACTAATTCCTGAAAGTACCCCATTATATACTCGCCTTTTATAAAAAATACTATATTTGGTAGATACTATATTATAAGAAATAAATAATGATTGTAAGTCTCTTTCAAAATCTTTATGACCTACGATTAATATTTTAAAATTTCATGTGTTGTAAATCTCAACGCATTTTTAAGCACATAAAAAGATGAATAATAGACCTTCATATATTTTTTGATGTCGCATTTGTTTTTAACTCCAGAGGTCTTATGGAAATAAAATTCTTTTCAGGTTTCTTCATGGGGTGGATATGTCTTCCTAATAAACCTGATACCTCTGCATGTGTTAACCCTGATGATAACTGGAAGATTTTCACATCGAGTATATGTAGCCTACAGTACCTTGTATTGCATAGGTACTATTTTGTCCATGCAAATATCTTTTGTTGGCTTTCAACCTGTCCAAAGCTCCGAGCATATGTTGGTAAGAAATATTTATATATTATACAAGAAAGATGAATTAATGCTCTCATTTCGTTCTGTTGCCTCTCAAAGCAGAATCTAGCAATCTGGGTACTTGGAGACAGGGATTCGATTCCTAGTAGTAGCTAATCAAGTACACCTGTATTCTTGTTTTTAATGACTTCAAATGGCATAATATGCAATAACAATGCTATGAAATCTATTTTATTTTATTTTCAGGCTCTAGGTGTTTTCGGCCTCTGCCAGATAGTAGCGTCCGTAGACTATATGCGCAGCAAATTATCCAGAGCTGACTTTGAAACTCTCTACACGTTCGTTTTCTATTCAGTCGGCATTGTTACTTTGGCAGTCGGCACAATACTCAGCATATCAGGAAAGATATCTCCGTGGACGGGTAGATTTTATTCTCTCTTAGATCCGTCTTACGCCAAAAATCACATTCCTATCATCGCCAGTGTGTCGGAACATCAACCTACCTCATGGAGTTCCTTTTACTTTGACCTGCAGATTCTAGTGTTTCTGTTTCCCGCGGGATTGTACTTCTGTTTCAAGCAACTGACAGATTCGAATATTTTCTTGATTTTGTATGGGATTACAAGCATCTATTTTGCGGTAAGTATTGTGGGAAATTTTTGTGCAAAATGTCATCTGAGGTAATTTTAATGCTGCTCTTAAAATTCGTTTCTGGCATAACAACCTCGGTAGATTTCGAAGAGTAAAACCAAAATACTATGCAGCATTGTATTACAGATTGCACATAACAAAAGTAACCCATTTTTAAGACTTCAGTACTAAATCAATTCTAATAAATAGCAGGCAGAGTTACTTTTTAGATAACACTGCTATTATTTGTTCTGTTAGCTTTAATGAATGGAATATTTTCACACATAGAAATTGTGCAGAGCTTGCCTGAACTACGATTTTTCCATTTAATCTCACATGAAGTTATTGGGTAGTGTCGTTATTGAAGTATACGAAATTCGTTTTATCGATGTTCAAGTGTAATAAGTTGTCACTGATCATTTAGCTACATTATTTACAAGCTTAGTTGATTTTTGAGACAACTGTTCTATGTTTTTGTCAGTCACTATATCTGATATATCATCAGCATACATGCATAAGAGTTAAGTTGATAGATTTAGATAGATCATTTATGTACACTGAAAATAAATTTGGTCCAAGGATTGATAGCAAATTCTCATAGATGACGCTACAGTATCTCATTTTATCTCGGAATAATTTTTTGACGCGCGAATATAGCATTAGGTTGGCTATCTTCAGGCAGAATACGTTCATCAATGACGGAATCTTGAGGTGATGATAGTATACATATTTCTAAAAACATATTACATAAGTATATTGCCTTGCCTATGATGAGTTTACGTGATAGCTAAGTTCATCTGACGTTACAAACGCCTCACCTTAAAAACCTAATATATCTATAGAAAACCACTAATATCTTGTACATTGTGGGAATACAAAATTGTTTTTCCTATCTTGAAAAGGACAGGGCATCGCTATCTATAAATTATATCATGAGAGAATTTGAGAAACATCAACTTTATAACTACAACTGTAAAAAAATTAAACATGTTAAAAGCAGTATAGATATTATCATTGATCAACATACGAGGGATGTCTTTTAAGTTTTGCATATGGAAATAAAATAACACGGTAGGTAGTTTTCAATGACTTTATTGTTTTTCCAAGAACGGCATTTTTGAATGCCTCAACTGCTTCTTCTGGTGACTGGAACCTTTGACCGCGCAGTTTGTTTTTAATTTTCGGGAAAGTAAAGAAATCGTTTGAACTTAGATCGGGACTATATTGAGGATGGTCCAATAATTCCACGTTTTGTTCCGTTAAATACTGCCTTGTTTTTTGGGCTGTGTGCGAGCTTGCATTGTCTTGGTGGAGGATGATTCTCCTTTCGGGGTTGATTTTTCGAAGCTCGGTCATGACTTTTGGCAAGCAAATGGTGGTATACCAATCCGCAGTAACAGTTCTTTGCTCATTAAGAGGAATTGTAGCAATATGATCCGCTTTTGACACACATGTTGAGACCATCTTTTTCGAAACACTTCGAGAACGGATGACTTTTGTTGGCTTTTCTTCACCTTTGGAACACCCAAACAGCCGACTGTCGTTTATTTTCTGGCTCATAACAGTAAATCCACGATTCATCTCCACTAACAATGCTGTACACATTTTTTGAGTTTCCGGAATTTTCTTACTCCTAATTCTTCATGTAAAATTTTCTGAATTGAGGTCTTTGAGATCTTCAAGGACGCCTCAATCTCGCGATATGTCACATGTCTATCTTCCATGATGAGTTTGCGCACAGCATCGACGTTTTCCTGGGTGACTGCCGTTTCTGGTGCATCCACCCTGGAATCGTCGCTAAGACTCACCCGTCCACGTTTGAATTCTTCATACCAACGGGGAATTGTCGACTGATGTGGCGCTTCGTTCCCGAAAACAGACAGTAACTCAGCAAGGCATTCTTGTTGCTATAATTGTCTCTGAAAGTTGTCTTTAGGTGTCAGCGTCTCCGGCTGCAGCCGTGGGTAATGAGATTTCCTTTTTCGTCGTTGTTACATTTTGAGAATACGAAATCTTAGGAATCATCACGAGGGGGGTTGAGGAGGGATCTTTCCTCAGAAGGCTGCTGACATACTTAAGGATAAACAATTTTAAAAGGAAAGTGGAGTCTGTTCTTATTTTTCTAAGGGAATTACTGTGATCCTACCTGAAAACATAGCTGTGACGATGGAAACTTGAATGTGAATGTTGAAATACAGAATAGAGTTAGAGTAGAGTTTGCATGGAGAATATATTAATCAATGATTTTATCAAACATAAATTGGCAAAAGTCTCAGATGATAAAATTTTCTAGAACGCGCGTAAAACAATATTCATATTTTAGGGAGTGATGGTTCGTTTGATGCTAGTCCTAGCTCCGATAATGTGCATCTTGAGTGGAATCACAGTCTCCCACCTGCTCACCAAGTTCATGAAAAACGTCGTAGAGCAACCCAAACAAGCAGAACATAAGAAGTACAAAAAGATGGAGGCAAACAGTACCTTCAAGAACGAGATTGCGACCACTTTTGTGGCTGTCACGTGCGTTTTACTAATATCGTACACTTTCCATTGCACTTGGGTGACCTCTGAGGCCTACAGCTCGCCTAGTATCGTGTTGAGTGCTAGATCACATGATGGTGGAAGGATCATCTTCGATGATTTTAGGGAGGCCTATTACTGGTAAGGAATTCAAAAGATCTGTTTGAATTGTTGTCGCTACTTCAAAGTTTAGTTTGTGACCTTTTGAAGTTAATTTGAAATGTCTTGACGCTTCTCTATTATTGCCTTTTAATTTTTTTTTACTGACGAGTCTCGATAAGGCGAAACCACACTACTCAAAAAAAATGAGAGAGCAAGAAAATGATCAAAAATTTTCGGTGAAGCTGTATTTTGGTGAAACATGGTCGTATCTTGACTTTAATGTATTTTCTATAAGCGCGAGAAATTTTGAAAAATTGACGTTTACCGAGGTCTGCGAAAATTGAAATCTTTACTATTATTTTTAGGTTAAAGATGAACACCCCAGAAGACGCCCGAGTAATGTCCTGGTGGGACTACGGCTACCAAATAACAGCCATGGCCAATCGAACGATTCTTGTAGACAACAACACGTGGAATAACACGCACATCAGTCGCGTTGGCCAAGCGATGGCGAGTAGCGAGGAAAAAGCTTACGAGATTATGCGAGAGTTGGACGTTGATTATGTGCTCGTCATCTTCGGAGGTCTCACCGGCTATAGCTCAGATGATATCAACAAGTTCTTGTGGATGGTCAGGATTGGTAAGTGGGTCTAGATTTTTCAATTTTTAGATTTGCCCTGGAAATGTGTTTGAGATGAACCTTAAATTTCCCCAAACCTTGGATTTGAGCTTAGCAACCGCAAAAACCAATTCCTTATGGTCGGACTCAATTGGAAGACTCGAATACTTCCATAGAATAACCTTCAAATGTAACCCCGTCGATACAAACTGACTCCTTATTGAAGCTCTGGGATCCCAAAAACCTATATGACAAGTGGTTGGTGTTGAGCTCAATTGATCCAGTTAATTTGAATTTGTCATTCGTATAAGACGTATATTTCATTTTCAGGAGGAAGTACCGAGAAAGGAGCTCACATAAAAGAATGGGACTATTATTCCCCAACTGGCGAATTTCGCGTAGACAAAGAAGGATCTCCAACATTGCTCAATTGTCTGATGTACAAAATGTGCTACTACCGATTTGGACAAGTATTTACTGAAGGTACTGTCACCTTATTCAAATGGCATTTATATCGCAGCTACTTGAACTCTTACGCTTTTGTTGGCTTGTTCCTGCCAATAGTAGCGCGAGGATTTGAGAGCCACGTGTTTGTTTTGATGCGATTTGAATTCTATGTGAGCACCCTAATGTCGCGTAAAAAATATTGACACTGGAATTCACGTTTTAGGTGGGAAGCCTGGAGGTTACGATCGAGTTAGAAGCGCAGAAATAGGAAACAAAGACTTCGAATTGGATGTATTGGAAGAAGCGTACACCACTGAACATTGGCTGGTTAGGATATATAAAGTTAAGGACCTTCCAAATAGAGGGGTGTGATTTTTGTATGTTGTTTTTCTATTTTTTCATTTTTTATAGTTTACTAGTAAATACAGTGAAAAGTACAAGTGCTTCAGTGTTTTAATGACCATCCCTTTCAACAGTAATGCTTTTCCTCTAATCAGATGACCAATTTATGTCTTCTTCCAAAACATCAAACTATGACTGGATGTGCGATTTTGACCTCTCAAGATTTAGGATCGGAGAAACGATGAGAGGTGTTGTCACCAGTACTATAAAATCAGGATCGAAATACTTTTTCTATACCTCCTCGCGCTTCTGTGACCCTGATAGCACATTTCTTACACAAATTCGGCACATCTAAGAGGCAACTTTTATGGCGATATGCGGTTTTGACATTCCAAGATTTTGTATTAGGATCGCAGAAACGGCCAGAGGTTTTCCACCGATACTATAAAATCTGGAGTCGGGTACTTTTTCCATACCTCCTTTCGTTTATGTGACCCTGATAGCAAATTGCTTGACATACAAATTCAGCAGATCTAAGTTGAAAGTTTGATGACTGGACGTGCTATTTAGACCTTTCAAGATTTTGTATTAGGATCGCAGAAACGATGAGAGGTGTTGCCACCAGTATAATAAAATCAGGATCGAAATACTTTTTCTATACCTCCTATGCGCTTCTGCGACCCTGATAGCAAATTGCTTGTCATACAAATTCAGCATATCTAAGTTGAAAGTTTGATGACTGGACGTGCTATTTAGACCTTTCAAGATTTTGTATTAGGATCGCGGAAACGATGAGAAGTGTTGCCACCAGTACTATAAAACCAGGAGTCGAGTACTTTTTCCACACCTCCTCGCGTTTCTGTGACTCTGTTAGAAAATTGTTTTTCATACAAATTCAGCATATCTAAGATGAAAGTTTGATGACTGGACGTGCGATTTCGACCTTCCAAGATTTTGTATTAGGCTCGCAGAAACGATGAGAGGTATTGCCACCAGTTCTATAAAATCAGGATCGAAATACTTTTTCTATAACACCTCGCGTTTCTGTGACCCTGATAGCAAATTGCTTGTCATATCAATTCAGCAGATCTAAGTTGAAAGTTTGATGAATGGACGTGCGATTTATACATTTCAAGATTTTGTATTAGGATCGCAGAAACTATGAGAGGTGTTGCCTCCAGTACTATAAAATCAGGATAGAAATACTTTTTCTATACCTCCTCGCGTTTCTGTGACCCTGATAGCAAATTGCTTGTCATACCAATTCAGCATATCTAAATTGAAAGTTTGATGACTGGACATGCTATTTCGGCCTTTCAAGATTTTGTATTAGGATCGCAGAAACGATGAGAGGTGTTGCCACCAGTACTATAAAATCAGGATCGAAATACTTTATCTATACCTCCTCTGCGCTTCTGTGACCCTGTTAGCAAATTTCTTGTCATACAAATATAGCATATCTAAGATGAAAGTTTGATGACTGTACGTGCGATTTCGACCTTTCAAGATTTTGTATTAGGATCGCAGAAACGATGAGAGGTGTTGGCACCAGTACAATAAAATCAGGATCGAAATACTTTTTCCATACCTCCTCGCGTTTCTGTGGCCCTGGCAGCAAATTGCTTGTCATACAAATTCAGCATATCTAAGATGAAAGTTTGATGACTGGACGTGCGATTTCGACCTTTCAAGATTTTGTATTAGGATCGCGAAAACGATTAGAGGTGTTACCACCAGTACTATAAAACCAGGAGTCGAGTACTTTTTCCACACCTCCTCGTGTTTCTGTGACCCTGTTAGCAAATTGTTTTTCATACAAATTCAGCATATCTAAGATGAAAGTTTGATGACTGGACGTGCGATTTCGACCTTCCAAGATTTTGTATTAGGATCGCAGAAACGATGAGAGGTGTTGCCACCAGTTCTATAAAATCAGGATCGAAATACTTTTTCTATACCTCCTCGCGTTTCTGTGACCCTGATAGCAAATTGCTTGTCATACAAATTCAGCATATCTAAGATGAAAGTTTGATGACTGGACGTGCGATTTCGACCTTCCAATATTTTGTAATAGGATCGCAGAAAGGACAACATGTGTTGCTACCAGTACTATAAATTCAGCAATACAATACTTTTCAATACCTCCTTGCATTTCTGAGACCCAGATAAGTTGATTATCATACAAATCCGGCATATCGTCGTTGTTATGATGAAACCTATGTAACAATTTTTCCACATCGGAGCTTTCTGAATATCTGTATAGTCAAATATGAGCTCCGTGATCTGATGTACAAGAGATGAAAGTTTGATGACTGAACGTGCGAATTCTACATTTCATGATTTTGTATTAGGATCGCAGAAACGATGAGAGGTGTTGCCACCGGTACTATAAAACCAGGATTGAAATACTTTTTCTATACCTCCTCGCGCTTCTGTGACCCTGATAGCAAATTGATTGTCATACAAATTCAGCAGATCTAAGTTGAAAGTTTGATGACTGGACGTGCTATTTAGACCTTTCAAGATTTTGTATTAGGATCGCGGAAACGATGAGAGGTGTTGCCACCAGTATTATAAAACCAGGAGTCGAGTACTTTTCCACACCTCCTCGTGTTTCTGTAACCCTGTTAGCAAATTGTTTTTCATACAAATTCATCATATCTAAGATGAAAGTTTGATGACTGGACGTGCGATTTCAACCTTGCAAGGTTTTGTATTAGGCTCGCAGAAACTCTGAGAGGTGTTACCACCAGTACTATAAAATCAGGAGTCGAGTACTTTTTCCATACCTCCTCGCGTTTCTGTGACCCTGATAGCAAATTGCTTGTCTTACAAATTCAGCATATCTAAGTTGAAAGTTTGATCACTGGTCGTGCTACTTCGACCTTTCAAGATTTTGTATTAGGATCGCAGAAACGATGAGAGGTGTTGCCATCAGTACTATAAAACCAGGAGTCGAGTACTTTTTCCACACCTCCTCGCGTTTCTGTGACCCTGTTAGCAAATTATTTTTCATTCAAATTCAGCATATCTAAGATGAAATTTTGATGACTGGACGTGCGATTTCGACCTTCAAAGATTTTGTATTAGGCTCGCAGAAACGATGAGAGGTGTTGCCACCAGTTCTATAAAATCAGGATCGAAATACTTTTTCTATACCTCCTCTGCGCTTCTGTGACCCTGATAGCAAATTGTTTGTCATAAAAATCCGTCATATCTAAGATGAAACTTTGATGGCGATATGCGGTTTTGACAATTCAAGATTTTCTATTAGGATCGCAGAAACTATAAGAGGTGTTACCACCAGTACTATAAAATCAGGAGTCGAGTACTTTTCCATACCTCCTCGCGTTTCTGTGACCCTGATAGCAAATTGCTTGTCTTACAAATTCAGCATATCTAAGTTGAAAGTTTGATGACTGGACGTGCTACTTCGACCTTTCAAGATTTTGTATTAGGATCGCAGAAACGATGAGAGGTGTTGCCATCAGTGCTATAAAACCAGGAGTCGAGTACTTTTTCCACACCTCCTCGCGTTTCTGTGACCCTGTTAGCAAATTATTTTTCATTCAAATTCAGCATATCTAAGATGAAAGTTTGATGACTAGACGTGCGATTTCGACCTTCAAAGATTTTGTATTAGGCTCGCAGAAACGATGAGAGGTGTTGCCACCAGTTCTATAAAATCAGGATCGAAATACTTTTTCTATACCTCCTCTGCGCTTCTGTGACCCTGATAGCAAATTGCTTGTCATAAAAATTCGTCATATCTAAGATGAAACTTTGATGGCGATATACGGTTTTGACAATTCAAGATTTTGTATTAGGATCGCAGAAACTATGAGAGGTGTTACCACCAGTACTATAAAATCAGGAGTCGAGTACTTTTTCCATACCTCCTCGCGTTTCTGTGACCCTGATAGCAAATTGCTTGTCTTACAAATTCAGCATATCTAAGTTGAAAGTTTGATGACTGGACGTGCTACTTCGACCTTTCAAGATTTTGTATTAGGATCGCAGAAACGATGAGAGGTGTTGCCACCAGTTCTATAAAATCAGGATCGAAATACTTTTTCTATACCTCCTCTGCGCTTCTGTGACCCTGATAGCAAATTGCTTGTCATAAAAATTCGTCATATCTAAGATGAAACTTTGATGGCGATATACGGTTTTGACAATTCAAGATTTTGTATTAGGATCGCAGAAACTATGAGAGGTGTTACCACCAGTACTATAAAATCAGGAGTCGAGTACTTTTTCCATACCTCCTCGCGTTTCTGTGACCCTGATAGCAAATTGCTTGTCTTACAAATTCAGCATATCTAAGTTGAAAGTTTGATGACTGGACGTGCTACTTCGACCTTTCAAGATTTTGTATTAGGATCGCAGAAACGATGAGAGGTGTTGCCATCAGTACTATAAAACCAGGAGTCGAGTACTTTTTCCACACCTCCTCGCGTTTCTGTGACCCTGTTAGCAAATTGTTTTTCATTCAAATTCAGCATATCTAAGATGAAAGTTTGATGACTGGACGTGCGATTTCGACCTTCAAAGATTTTGTCTTAGGCTCGCAGAAACGATGAGAGGTGTTGCCACCAGTTCTATAAAATCAGGATCGAAATACTTTTTCTATACCTCCTCTGCGTTTCTGTGACCCTGATAGCAAATTGCTTGTCATAAAAATTCGTCATATCTAAGATGAAACTTTGATGGCGATATGCGGTTTTGACAATTCAAGATTTTGTATTAGGATCGCAGAAACGATGATAGGTGTTGCCACCAGTACTATAAAATCAGGATCGAAATACTTTTTCCGTACCTCCTCGCATTTCTGTGACCCTAATAGCAAATTGCTTGTCATACAAATTCAGCATATCTAAGATGAAAGTTTGATGACTGGACGTGCGATTTCGACCTTCCAAGATTTTGTATTACTATCGCAGAAAGGACAACAGGCGTTGCCAGCAATACAATACTATTCAATACCTCCTTGCATTTCTGAGACCCTGATAAGTTTATTATCATACAAATTCGGCATATCGTCGTTGTTATGATGAAACCTATGTAACAATTTTTCCACATCGGAGCTTTCTGAATATCTGCATAGTCAAATATGAGCTCTGTGATCTGATGTACAAGAGTTTCGTCATAAGAAACTCTAGTAATTCTGTAGAGATTTACTAAAAATCGGGGTGAATGGAAGCGAAACCAATTTTTTAAATTTAAAACAGTTTTATGTCATTCTGTGAAGACTGCTTCTAAACACATACGAGTTTTCGTCAAAAAAACAATGAGATGAAACTTTGATGACTAGATGTGCGATTTTGGCCTTTCAAGAGTTTGTATTCGGACTGAAGAAACGACAAGAAGTATTATCGACATCAGGAATATATGTTAATCTCCATACCGTCTCGCGTTTCTGTGACCCCGATGACAAGTTGCTTCTCATAAAAATTCTGCATCTTCAAGATGAAGTTTGACGAGTGGATGTGCGATTTTGACTTTTCAAGTTTTTGTATCAGGATCGCAGAAACTACGAGCAGTGTTTCCACCAGAGCTTTTGACATCAGGAGCAGATTACTTTTCCATACCTCCGCACGTTTCTGTAACCCCGATGATAAGTTGCTTCTCATAAAAATTCTGCATATTTAAGATGAAGTTTGACGAGTGGATGTGCGATTTTGACTTTTCAAGTTTTTGTATTAGGATCGCAGAATCTACGAGCGGTGATCCCATAGTGTGGTGAAATTAATCACGAGAGAGTAGTTCGGTGGTTTGAAGGACAAAGTGTTGTGACATTAACCTGGCAAGCTTATTTACCAAACGTTTCTAATGGGAGTAGTCGATGTCGTCGGGATGATTAACGTTTATATCTAACTATTTTAGCAAATTTATTAACAAACAACTAGTACGAGATCAAGTAGTCGATATTATCAGGTGAAGGATATAACATGTGTTTTTTCGAAGTATCAAGTCGAATTATTCATGTGCATCCTGAGCGCTTTAGTTACTTTTCCAATATACAAAGTTGTTTTGCGGAATCTTGGGATATAACAACAAATTATTATCTTGAAAAATCGTAACGCAAATATATATTACGCAACAAATAAATATTACAAGAGATGTACAAATAGCAAATAATTATCCCTCCCTCTCGACAAGAGAAAAAATCAGCTTGGTTAATACTTAATAAATATACAAAAATAATGCACAATAATAGGCTATCTAAAATACTGTGTTATCTCAATAAAAATTGCAATTATTTTGTTCTGATTAGGCTTCAGTTACGGACCGTTTCTAAATGCCAACTTCTGCTTGACCATCTGCAAAAGAAATGGAAATTAGTATTCTCAGAACAAAATGGTGATCTCTCGAATGTATATAAAGGAATTGTCTTTTCTTAATCTTGGGACGACAAAATTTTGACACCTTGGAAAGCACTTTAGGCCTAACATGATTGTGTCCATGGGAAACAACTCATTTAAATCGCCAAAGGCGAACTAGCCCTAACACAATAATGCTGATTTTTCGCACCCTGTGTAAAAATGACTCAAAGATTATATTTTTTAAATCTTTTAGCTGAAAAAATAAAACATATTATACTTTGATTTAGATATATTGAGCCATTTTTGCAAGAAGCAGTCTGGATTCAATGATGCCCCTATCGATTTATTCTGCAGCCAGTTCCCAAAAAGTTGGTCAAAAATGGCTTTTTCATGTCATTGATTATAAACCTATTATCCAAACTTCTATATATCCAAAACAGTACTGAAACAATAGTGTTTTTCTCAAAACTAATTTTATCGATGTTAAATAAGATTATAAGTTTCGTCAGCTTAAACAACAGACTTTAGAAAAATGTTTGAATTGTACAGTGTCGTTCAAAAGTTATTTGAGAAAAACCGATTTCCAGTAGCGTCCTTTAAAGGCCTGTATCTCTGTAGGGGAGCCCCATACTTCCACTGGATATCTTTTATTAGTTATTATTTTCTGTGCTTCTGTGCTATATGCTTCCAAGGAAGATCGGAGAAACAATCACAGAATAATATATACTAATATTGGCAACACTATGTTGATCATGAAGACCACTGTGCTGCCATCTATCTTAGCTGTTAACACTGTACGTTATTTAGGCAACTATTTAAAATTACGTATCTGAAATTCACTAGTGTTCCTCCATTTTTGTCTTAACATCTTGTATCTTACCATGTTCGATAGAGAGCTTGTCCCGCATGTCTCTCCCCAGCCGTTGGTACCTGTCCTCCAGCTCCAACTCCTTCGCTCTATCCGTCAACTCCCTCTCGTACCTCCTCAATTCTTGTCTGTCTCGCATCAGCGCGAACCACTCCCTCAGGAGTTCAGTTTCGTCTTTACCGGCGCAATCGCACTCGCTGCCACATTCGCCTCTTAACGCTTTCTCCACCTCTACGCCTTTTATTTCCAGCTCTTTGGTTTTCACTTCTGTCTCTTGTAGCTTGCGCTGGATCTCTTGAGCTAGGCGAAGTCTGGAAAAAATATAAGCTTTAGTACTTATTAAAGATCTCAAGTTTTAAAGTTGAAGACAAATCAACATTCATGCTCAAATATTTGATGCTTGTCGACCTCATCAATTTGATTTGGACTTTTTGCCAGGTTTTTTGTTTCCCAAATCACTGTGCATCCGTATTGGTATTTCAAGAAGCAGAATTAGGTAGAATACCCAGAATATGCGTACCTCTTTGCCTGTGATTGTCTAGCTGCTTTCATAGCTTTATTAGACGACCTGGATCCATGTGCAGATGTTTCAAATGCTCCAGAGTGGTCTAAGGTATCACATGAACTGAGCCTCCTGCACTCCAACTCCCCATCGGAACTATCATCTAGAAACAAAATGACTGGTAGATTCGTAATACGTTAAAATGTAGTTTGAAATATTGAAGCACTGGAAAACTCTAAGCGCTCTGGCACTTCTATAAAACATTGCGATATCAAAAACTGATTCAAATAATTACCTGTCATTCTTACAGCGTGATAATTCTTAGGCAGCGGCGGTATAGGTGGCGGTGTGACTAGATTCCTTTGTATACTCGTTTCTGACAAACTTTTCTGACGAATCGGTTTTTCTTCCATTTCCTGAAAATACCACGTAATTACAGAATTTGTTGACAAATAATCCGAATGAAAGAAATTACGTTCGTATTACTTTGTGTACCAAATGGATGCAGTTTTAACGAAGTGTCATGTTTTGTCAATTTTTGCAAACCTATAATGATCGATATTTCCATATACTCTAATAAAAGTTTGTTATGTCAAGGATTGATTCCATTATTTTCAGCAAATACTCGTTTTCGTAATGTTTGACTGGACAACCATGGAGCTTATAAATAAAGTAAGGTTGCATGACACTTCATAACAGTAACTGCGGAGACACATTATTGTGACGTCACGAGAGCTCACAAGCAGTCACACAAATTTATGAGCCATGACGTGAACTCACGATACGTGAAACCCTGCTTTTGTAAAGAATATATTTCGAATTATACTGTTGCCAACACAAATACATATGCTATGTCAATCCATTAAAGGATCAAAATAACTCAAATTTCAAGTGGATCGAATCTTTGAGATGTTTGGATTTAAGGGTGTCTCAATAAGAGCGCCGGATTTGATTTTCAAGAAAAAAAGAACAATTTCTTTTTTAATTAAGCGAGTTCTTATATTTCAACATGAAGAGGAATAGCTGCGGTTAAACATGAAATAGGACATCCGGTAAATGGCCAAGACGAAACCTCTGGCATAGGGTCAGTCTTTTCGTAAAATTCTGGATATCGTTTTTGCACAACTGTGGCTCCATTTGGTCGCTAACGCGCCGTATCTCTTCTTTCAGGCATTCAACTGTTTGCGGCTTGTTCGCACACACCTTTTCCTTCGCAAAGCCCCAGAGAAAGAATCCCATTGGCGTTAGATCGCACAATCCTGGTGGCCAATTTTGATCGACAAACCGAACGATGACACGATCTGGAAACTTGGTCCGCAGGAACACCATTGTTTCGCGTGCTGTGTGGCCGGTCGCACCATCTTGTTGGAAAAACATATCCTCCGCATCAATTTGGTGGCGACGCTGCGCATGGTCGGTTGGCTTGAGATCTTGCTTCAGTTAAACCTTGTTCGCATGCAGGCACAGATCTTTTGTCAAATTTCGTTGCAGAGTGAGTCTGGTAAGGTTCAATTCTTGGCCACGATGCCGAATGGAAGTGCCTGGATTCTCGACCACACTTTCCCGCACTGCGACTATATTTTCGAGGGACCGACCAGGACGGCGACGAACAGTGGTCTTCACATTCAGCAACGTCAATTTTGTCTCAAATTTTGTAACTAAACGGCGAACTGTCGACTCATTTTTGTAGTAAGTTTTCGCTATAATTAAACGTTGCTCGTTCAAATGATGTCTAATCTCGTGGTCTGGATATGGCAGCTGTCATCAAATAAACACCATACCATTTGTACAAAAAAATGACGGCAAATTCAAATCCGGCGCTCTTGTTGAGACACCCTTTATATTTTAAACTTTATTTTTAATTTTCTTATTTTATAACGCTCGCAACTTTGGCAAATTTGTCCAAAATTCACCCGTTTTCGGTATACGTGAGTTTGCGTGACATAACATGACAATGATGTGTTTCCGCATAAATAACCACAAATGATGCAACGAAGGTTTCAAGTACGGAGAGCATGCTCTAAGAGATACACATGCAAAGGATTGTGTAAAAAAGGCAGTCAAACACCAAAATACGATAAGACGAAAGACAAGCAGGCAGATCCATGATATATGTACGAAAATACCAACAAAAACAACAACAAAGATCTTGTATAAAGAAGAATATCTTACAGCGCTGTTTCTGAGCTCCGACAGATTTACCAAAGACTGTAAAACATAAAAATTAGTGGTTAGTAAATGCATTGCTGAATTCTGCGAAAGCATCATACAGCAAGTGATTATATGAATTGTTTATTTAATTACTGATATTCGTCGACTATCATATTTTGACCAATAAATTGACACGTTCAAAACCATATTTAATATTCATTTCAGTAGTATTCACAGATTTTTTTTCAGCACTTTTACTCCCATGATGCTAATGACGCTGCTGAAACATGTATAGTTTTTTTACCTTAGGCAACTCAATTATTGGTCAAAATACGACGAAGCAATATTTCTGATCTGCCTAGCCACAACAAACATATTCGATTGATTTTGTGAAAGTGCTGCATAACTAAACCGTGTTAAATTGGTCGCAGTGACACAAAGTACAAGGCACAAAACATATGGGATTTGACTACCGGTCAATTTTAATAAAAATTCTTATATTGATAGCTCATGTTGTGCTGACCAAATGTTTCAGTATGCGCAAAGACAAGAAATGTTTTCATACAGGGTGGTAAAGTTTGGTGCGGATACAATATGCATACATATATGTATACCTATCTCCTTACGTCACTTATGAAGGGGTGAAAACAACCCCAAGTCCCAAGATATACTATAATAAGTACTAATAGTACTTTCTGCCCATATATAAAGAACGAACCTATTTTTATCCCCTTACGTTATTTCCGTAGGGATAAATAGCCACCCATAGTGTTCCAACAAGATCGCGATCATGGATTGTTCCTAATATTTCATAAGTCATTTACGAACATAAACTCTAGAATCGGCCATTTTCTTGGCGCGCTCAGGAATATATTAATGCTTACATGAGGACCTATAACCGTTTGCCACGTTTCGAGCCACTGATGTTGCTTCTGTTTCAAACCTTGATTCAGGTTTGACCGTTCACCCGCACATTTTGGCTTTAGTGTCAAGGGCATAAGTATATACAAGGTGGGCAATTTAAAGTGGAAGTACCAAATTTGACATTAGTTGTCAGATCGACTAATGTCATACCGCGTCGTAAGCGTCATTTAAGTACAATTTTAACCATGGAACAGTACACACCAAAACAGCGCGCTGAAATTATTCAGTTGTACATTCAAAATAACTTCTCAGTCGTGCATTTCCTAAAAAAAAATAAAGTTAAAAGTGCTCCAGCTGATAACACTATCTGACGTTTATACGCAAAAATTGTGAACACCGATAGTCTTAGTAATGCCATCCATCTATCCACACAACGAACAAGACGTTCCGATGAAAATATCGAAGCCGTACGAGCCAGTGTTGAAGAGACTCCATCAGAATCCGGTCGTCATCGTTCTCAAGAGTTAGGCATCGCTCGAACCACTCTCCAACGCATAATTCCTAAGGATTTGAAGATGTTTCCATAGAAAATTTAAATGGCTAATCAATTAAACCAAGATGATTATCCGTGTCGCTTTGATTTTGCTAAATGGAGCATTGAAATGACCGAAAATGAAGATGACTTTTATCGAAAAATCATCATGTCCGACTATGCCACCGAAAACGCTCAATTAATCGAACAGCAGCCTCTTTTTGACCAAAAAGTTACTGTTTGGTGTGGTATGTGCGCGAATATGGTCATCGGGCCGAATTTTTTTGAAGACGATGATGGAGCTGCGGTAACCGTCAATTGTGAGCGTTATCGAGCCATGATAACGAATTTTTTGAGGCTACTTGTTTGTGAAAATGACATGGACGATTACTGGTTCCAGCAGGACGGCGCCACATGCCACACAGCTCAAACAACAATCAATTTATTGCGACCATTGTTCCCTGGACGACTGATATCGATAAATGGCGATTTTGACTGGCCACCGAGATCACCGGATTTGTCGCCACCAGACTTTTATTTGTGGGACTACTTGAAATCCAAGGTATACGCTAACAAGCCAAGGACTCTAGCTGCCCTCAACAACAATATTCGTCAAGAAATTACCGCCATATCCGCCGAACCATTGGCCAACGTGATGGAAAACGCCGAAAAAGGGCACAATTGGTTATCAAGGCCAGAGATGGCCATTTGCGCGATATCATTTTTGAAAAGTAATTACAAAAAATCGCCTTGGATCAACATAAAAGACTTTTCAAATGGACGACAAAAAAATATTTTTTTAAAGTATTTTTTTATGAACAAATGCTACCACTTTATGTATAAATATCGTATGTCTTAAAGTGATTTTTATGAGATCGCGAAGTCACCTGGGTACATGAAAGACGAGTTAGTTTTTATAAAATGGTGCCGGCAGTTCTGCTCACAGGGGCTAAGACACCAAATCTTTGACACTCTGTATCTCAAACATAAAGCATTTCTGGTATTTGCGCCCCTTGGAACATTTGACCCGCACAATCAGCACAATCATACGAATTTTCAATAAAATTGACCGCTGGCCAAATTTCATATGTTTTGTGCCTACTTACACAAAAATAATAATAAAATTGATGGGGATATCGTGTTTTTAAGTGACCTCGGCATGAGCAAAATGGAAAATATTGTAGAGGTATTCACTACTACATTACTAGATATGTCACATGATTTATTATAGAAATAAATTAAAAACGAATCATGTAACCACACACATTATTTACAGCGCATTTTATCTCAATATTTGTCTCTAATCTTATTTACCTTTGAAACTTCCTTTGATTTAGGCGACAGCTTCGCAAAAAGTCCCCCTTTCTTGGACGCCCCAGTCGGACTTTTTCTTGTAAACAAAGTCGCGAACATTTTCGTTATACTCTTCCTCCTCTCCCGATCCTTTTTCTTTTTACCCCCCGATTGTTTTTCACCTTCAACTGTCTTCTTATCCGTTTCCAACTCCAAAATATTCGGATCAGACTTGCGAACCGCATCCGCGTCAATTTCTACGAGGGTGTATTTACCAATGTTACTGGGCGATCCTTCCTTATCACAAATCTCAGAGAAGGACTTTGACCTTTTTACTTTCAGGACGGATTCAGAACTGCCTCTCCTCATTTTCTCAATACTAGCTGCAGCTCCTTTGATGTCTTTTTTGCTTTTGGCTTTACTATCCACGTTCGCCGAGTACAACCAAGAGTTTCTACGATGGACTTTTTTATCTTCCCCCTCTTTACTTTTGGATTTCCTCACACTACTTTTGCTGCCATGCGGGTCCTTTTCTGAACTACCATCGATCCAACTATGGCGTTGCAATGATCTTTCTTCACTATCTCTTTTCTTTTCTCTAACCTTCACATTCTGTTTCAGCTTTTCAAGTTTTCTGCTAATATCGTCGCTCTTATTGTACCTAGGGGGCGCTTTTGGAGCGTCACTTATCTCAGGCATGCTAGCCATAGATTTTGGTTCATTCTCTCTCAAGAAGGACGAAAAGACGCTTACAGGTCTTTTATCATCATTTTCAAATGATTTCAAAGCGTTATTGTACTCGTTAATTTCTTTGTCTAAAAAAGACATCGAACTTTTAACATCCATAGCAGATTTTGAGTTTTGCAGCCGTGGTAATATGTTTGTTGATAGTAGAACATCGGGTGTGCTACAAGCTGCTTCAGTTTTAACATTTGTAGGACTTTTCGAGTCACAAATTCCTTCTGTGGACGCTCCTGCTTTACTTTCATTCAAATTGCTGCGTCTATGAGCAAATAAATCTGTTGCTGTTTTAGACCTCCACAAGCTCATGTTTTCATTTCCAGTATTAACAGGTGAAGGTCTTTCTCTGCTCTTTCTCTCTAATGTTTTCATTTTGTTCATCACCATCTCGTGTACAAGTCTTTGGTTCACATCTCTTTCTTTCTGGATAACGTTTTTTCTGTACAAAATATCCGGTGTTAGGTTCAGAACCATCGATTCTTTCTTCTTAGCTGCCGCTGAATCAATGATTGGTAAAGATCCTTCCTGAATCAAGTCCGGTTTTTGTTGGACTTGTAATGGTTGCCCAGCCATTACATCAGGCTTACTTCTCCTTCTAGCTTTACGTATATCAATGGAATCTTTGGCATTTTTAAAATCGACGTTCGATTTCAATCCTTGATGTCTCTCGTCGAACTCTACACTTTCGTCTTTTCTAGATTTTCGTTTATCACTTTTGGTAGCCAGCGATTTTCCACTGTCGGCATTGGTAACTTTCTTGGTATCCTTGTCTTTTACATCAAATTCTTTGGTCAGTCTTACGTTGCTCAATTCCTTGTTATCAATTATATTGGCAGCATTGAAATCCTTGGTTATGCTGTCAATGATTTCAGCTACTGGGGTTTTATCGATATCTACCGGAGGCAGATTCTCTTTATCAAAATTCAATTCCGTGACAGGTTTTACGGTTGAATCGCTACAAGTATTTTCCTCAGTTGTTGTGCCAGTTTCGACGGTCAAGAGGTTCTGATCATCAAGTCCCTAAAAAAGAAAACAATCTGTTGTAACATTTTTTGATGATTTTTTAGCATTACTAGAATAAATACTATAGTCGAGATCTCTACGATAAACAAATAAATCTCATGCAAAAATCATTCGGCAAAGATAGAAAAGTCTCTCAAAATATCCATCCTGACATTTATTGGAAGAACGCGTCCTAAACCTAATATAATAATGTTCTAAAATGTTTGCAAATATGAGGGTTGATGCCTATGTTCTGCGGCAAAATCAAATTTATTTTTCTATATATTTTAGCAGTATTTAGTAGGTTTGTTCCAACGTAGGGAACCTGTTCTTATTTATAATATTAGTAGTGATATTTTGTTAACATATTCTAGCAAGATCACTTGTTGTTTGTTCCAACGTAGGGGACCTGTTCTTATTTATAATATTAGTAGTGATATTTTGTTAACATATTCTAGCAAGATCACTTGTTCTACTGTCAACAACATTCATCAAATCATCTGCAAATGGGTCAGCGATGGAGCATAGGGATCAACCCTCGTATCTGTTGTCTCTAGCCGTCTAGATTACTTACCTTGCTTACTTCAGATTTCGTCGCCTCTGAAACATTTTCTCTCAGATCTTCATTTTCATCCGTTAAGTAACAATACCCCGTATTCTTTGGCGTTTCCTCAATTTTCGTCGCATCATCCTTTCCACGACTCCAAACATTCTCATTTCTCGTCTCGAACACCTCAATGTTAACGCATGGATTTAAGCTGTCCTCGGCAAAATCACTTTCCGCATCGTTTTTCAATAACCGATATCCTCCTTGATCTTGACCTTGACTATAGTTTTTATCTGTGTCCGCATCAGAACTGGACTCTGTCATACCTGTATCCATGAACGCAATATCAGAATTTGAGCCCAGTATACTTTTGTTGATAGCCTCAGAAATTGTTTTCTCACACAACGGTGCATTCACAGCCTCGTTTACCTCAGTGTTTTTATAGTTTCTTTCAAAATTGTCATCCTTTTTGTGCTGATTTTTATCCAAGTCAATTTCAGAAATATCTGCAATATGTTTCGACTTTTCATCTTTACTTTTTCTTCTGACACCTCTCTGTGTATTTCGTGCTTGATTGTCTTTTGGATCGACTACGATATCCTCGAATTCCAAGTCGTCAGAAACAATACCATCTCTAGCCCAATCTGACAGTTCTGTATCGGTTAGAGCTGTGGGTTGATCAAGCATAGATTCTGAAATAAGAAAAAATAATGTTCCGCAATGCTTTTGATACCAAAAAAGTCACTTGTGTTAAGGTAGATCTAGAGCGATAGTCGAAAAGTACATAGAAGCTTAGTGTGTTGAACACGACAAAAATTACGGAATTTTATGATCCTCGAGTTTCACATGGTTAATTTATTCACATTTTTATAAATACTCGAATATGAATTGTATTTTAGGTTCATATTTCTCTTCCAGTGGAATTTTCCTTTCGGAAAGAATATTATGAGTGTTTCCAGTTTCTTTTATCAACTAGAAGTGGAAAACTGTTTTTTATGCACTTTTCTGTCATTTTGGTTGGGCTACCATCAGATTTAAGGAAAAGAAACTTGTTAACGATTAACTAAAGAAATCTTCATTGCTGACCGCAGTACCCTATTGAGAAATAGCTTTTCTCTCTGTAGGTAATAATAATAACAAAAAATAAGTAGGTAAGTATCAAATGCGATTTAAAATTGTATGATGCAAGCTTTGTCAGTTTGACAAAAAAGTGTTATATTTTTAAATATGAAAAAAACTAACAATAATGATCCACTTCTCAACCTAGGTATGCGATATATTATTATTTTCTGACTCTGATGTTGGCAAATGAATATATGGTCAGGTTCTATAGGTATCCGGGGAAAAATACAGATGATTTCAATGTACAAATTTCAAATACTTTTGTTTGTGACCAAACGAGTAAATATAGGAGGATAAACAGCATCATCATTGACAAATACAAAGGGCACTATAAAAGTTTTGCAATATGACTTAACAAACGGACGGAGGAGGCTGCTTGTTACTGCATGCTGAGATATATCCATGAGTGCCACCAGCAGCACGTCTGTTGATTTAGTCGTTAATTCGTATTGACAGTGTGAAGTGCGGACTATGGCATCGTGGTCACGTAGTGAGATAAGAGCAGTTTTACGGTATAACTTTACGCGTGGTTTAAGCATAGACTAGTGCTTAGAAAAAATGACGCTTGCTTTAAAGAATGATTGCCCTCATGGTACGACTATATTTAGGTGGTGCAGAGGATTCTAAAGGGGCAATTTTACCCTGGAGGACGCTGAGAGGGAAAATGCCACGAACGTCAGTAACAGAGGAAAACATTACTGCTGTGAAGAAAATGCTTGACGAAGACCAGAGACTGACATACCAACAGATAGAGGAGATCTTATATTTCATGCACATACAATTCATTCAATTCTGCATGACCATTTACACTTAAGGAAACTGTTCAATCTGGGCACCGCATAGTGTGACGGAAGAGCAGAAGACTTGGTGCCGAAAGATGCTGAAAATGTTTGATAAGGGGCAATCTGGATATGTGAACAGCATCATGACAGATGACGAGACTTGGCTTTATTATTACGATGTGCCGACCAAGGCTCAAAACAAAGTTTGGGTCTTTGATGATGAGGACACACCCGTAGCTGTTACAAAATCCCGATCTGATAAGAAAAAAATGATAGCTGTATTTTTCAAATCGAGCAGGATTGTGGAGCGTGTCGTTTTGGATGCACAGAAGACAGTCGCACCTAAGTGGTACACGGAATAGTACCTGCCTAAGGTCATAGAGTCTATGAAAAACCCGCGGCCAAAGTCAAGAATGGACACATGGTTCCTACACCATGATAACGCTCCAGCTCTCCGCGCCAAAGCCTGCACCGAGTATTTGACCACTACTGTACTGAAACTTATTGAGCACCCTCCTTACAGTCCAGATCTTGCAAAATGAATCTAAAAGGAAAACGGTTTTCTAGCGATGAGGACCTTCTGGAGGCTTAGGACAACGAGTGTACCGCATTTCCGGGTGAAACCTGACAGAGTTGGTTAAGGACTGGTTTTGGCGGATGGAGGAATGTATTGAATGTGGTGGAAATTACTTTGAACGATGTCAATAAATAAAGCTATATTGCAAAACTTTGTGGGTATGAACAAGCCATTTCAGCTATAAGGAATGCAATTTTGTCTGGGTATATATAGAGTACATAACTGATGAGGAACTAAAGCTGGTGGTTTCAAAAATATCAACTCACCTGGTGAACTTATCCCACTGGAATTCTTCTGCACAACTTCCGTTTCCAGTTCCCCACTATTTTCATCCTTCTTTGCTCTCCTCAAATGCAAACTTTTGTGGATATCGGGCAAAGCGCATGACAAATTAGGTAAAGTTTTTGGTTGATTCAGCGACTTCTTTTCACTGGACACATTCTTATTCACAGCCTCTGCATACACTGGTTTCGAATCTTGCCCAGTTTTTATACACAGTGAATCTAGCAATTCCTCTTCTGCATCATCTTTTTCTTTCGTTTTTTCCTTTTCTCCAGCGACATTCTCATCCTTTTCCAGCTCGTTATCTTTGATTTCTTCATTCGCTTTTACTTTCTTCCTAATTGTCACGTGACACAGTGAGTCGAAAGGTGTTTCTTCCAGATCTGCAGGTTCTTCATGCGCCTGATCCACTGTAACCGTCGGAATCTCGCCAAATATCTTCACTTTGTCTTTATCTTCATCACTGGATGAGTTCAAGCTATCTGAAGATACATCGTTTTTCTTACCCCAATCAATTTGAGGTACTATTATGCTGGTTTCATGTAAGGGACTTCTAGGTCGACCTTCAGGTACATTTTCATTCTTGGGCTCATCGTTCGTTTCTGGGTTTTCGACAATCACTTTCTTCAAAGGTTCAGTTTCTTCATTATTTATCTTTGTCTCAGTCTCGGTGACATTTGATGGAGGATTCTGAGATAACATTTTCTTTTCTTCATTCTCGCCGTCCTTTGCCTGTTTGCTATCAGCTAATGTCTTAAAAAATGCAAATAAGGTTAATAACACTTACAGCTAATAATTCTACTGCTAAATTAGTTTTCCCAAAAACCAAGACACTCTTGAAAGATTTCAATTGACTTAAGCAAGTGAAGAAAGGTTTTGTGAAATTATAAAATGTGCAAATCAGTGAATACCATGCCGTTATTTTACGAGTTACAAGAAATTTGTAACGGACATAACAGTCATATTACCATTCGACATGAGAGTGAGAGTTTCTTTCAAAATAATACCACCAATTAAAAATCGATAATCCATCTTCCAGATTAAACTTGTACAAACTTCAAATTAAACGTACATGACGATGATTCCTACAAACCTTCATATAGAGAACCAAATGCTATCGTTTTTTTGTAATGGATTATTTTCCAAAAATTTTAATTCGTCTCCACAAAGTATACCTGAGTATTTCTATGTTTTTTCTCTGAACGATAACTGATAAAACCTGCCCTCATATGTTAAAATAATTTAGCATCTAATAAATAATGATTAGTAACGAGATAACTTCCCGTCTCAGTCAAATGGGATAAAAAATTTACCCTGACATTGACAGTTTGACATGACATGCATAGTCATGCCCTATCGACATCAGGAATAAAAACCAAATTCTATTGGCTGATTCATCCAGCGTAAAATACCTACAAGGAATTTAAATGAGTTCTCTTTCAATATATGTACGAATTTCAAATAAGTTAAAAAATGTATAAAAACAATCTATTAAAGCTAACAGAAATAAGTTGCTTGAATCACGAATATAATTAGTACAGGAAGTATCTTCGTATCTGTTTGGAAAACATTCTGATTAAGTTTTTTGCGTAATGTAATTCAAAAAGTACCCTTTTTAACGAGTCTATATGTAATCAGGCCCAAAATTGAGACAACAATTATTGTTCTACATTTTTGCAACTACAGAAAAATCGTTTTTCGATTCGAACAAAGTTTTGTTTTGGTCATTTTGACCGTTCTTTTTTTAAAGTTGATAGTTTTCGAGATATAAAGTTTATTTACCAAAAATAACGATATTATTGTAAACTGATTATGAAAGCGTACACATGTGGGGTTCATAAGTAAATGGTAGAAAATATGTTTTGATCTTGCTTCTTGCTATTAAAAAATTTAACAATTTTCGAAAAATATTAAATATTTTTCAAACGTCCACTAATAAAATCTGAAAGTATCTTGATTGGTACTGATATTGTAATACCTTTTTTTATTGATTAATCAAGTACGCGTTCCAATGTATAATCTATATGAAGATAGAAAGATCCAGCATAGGGGCGGCCGCCAGCTTGATTAAGCAGTTTACGAGTCAATTTTAGGCCTGCAACATGATGGGTCCTTTTTTGAATGAAATTATGCAAAAAAAATATTTCCTGAATTAAGTCACCATTATTTTTTCTTTCTGACATTTCGCTTCTATTTGTTTATATTCACCCACAATTACTCCTACCACAAGCCTGTCCTACAGATTTTTTAACAGCAACTTACCGGAAATATGCCAGAAGGTGAACTATGCTGCGTCATATACGTTGGCGACTTTCGCTCAGCGATAATATTGCAGAACGTCTGCATGCTGTTGCTGACTTCTGGTGCAGGCTTCAACAGTTTCTGACAATCAGTGATATTGCTCTGGAAACTCTTGAACTTGCTGTCCAGGGCAGTCGCCGAACCGCTCTTCTGGATACTGTTGCCAGCGTCACCAAGAAGGTACTTTTTCTTTAGTTCCAGCGATACTTTGGCTGCCATACCGCCAGTGCTTTGGGTTCTGTTCAAGGCGTAGCTCTTAATGAGAAAAATGGCATCAGGTACAATTATGCAATATATAGCAGCATCGAGAGGCAATAAACAAGTTAGTGCTTTTTACATGGTTTTTACCAAAGCTTTCGATACATTTAACATTTGTCTTAATGACTTGTCAGTCAGTTTCCTAAGCCCATGTCCTTGAAACAAAAAGCAATATGTTTCTTATAATGGTTAATAGCCAATTATACCGTTTCCTCTAGAGTGGGGATGCGAGGATCGAACCTAGGCTCTTTGCTGTTTTAATTCTTTATCAATTCCTAACTGCTTCACTGACGTATCACAATCAACTATTTGGCGATGATCTGAAAATCTACGCCAGATATGGGGGTGTGTCAATTACTTTCTCTTCTTAAATATTTACAGTGTCAAAATGAACCCGATCATCGTTATTTATACCATAAATAATGCGGTTTTGGAGAGGACAACACAGATTAAGCTACCCGGTTTTCAGTCCATGAAGGATTAATTCTGGTTTCAAGGATAAATGTCTAAGATGTGTGAAATGTCCAATAGGTGAGTAGAATTACATTAATTAAGAGTGTATAAATATATACTAAAGCCAAAAAATGAGATATACTCTCCTCCATCCTCTATTAACCCCTACCCTCAATTTTTAACCACTAAAAAAATTATACTGAAAATGATCAGGATCCTCTGGTACGTCAAAAAACGAAGTTAAGACGATTTTTACTTTTTTCGGTGTTTCCTGTAGCTCCGCCGCCACTGGATCGACTTTCAAAAATTACAAAGCTTTTTCGTCCGTGGCATAGTTCTAATCTTGGGCCAAAATGTCATCAGAATCAAAATGACGCTTTCCAACTTATCACGGGGCGAAAATGTAGTGGACAGACAGACAAACAGACACAAAATAAGTGTCACATCTTTTTGTGTTGTATGTCATACAACTTCCAAAAGAACATACTATCTCATTTTTAAAAAATTCGGGATCCGGTTGGAATGAGAAATAAAAAATATAATGAGTAAACAAATAACAATATTGAAAGTCAAGTTAGGTTAGGTTAAAATAAGCTTTTGTCTAGGAGCAATACTTTATCTACCGACTCTGTATAACGTCAAAGATATTTACCTGTAAGGGCAACGTACGTTTGACACCAGCAGATGGAGACACAAGCGGTTTCAATTTCAGTTCGACATCAGACCTTTTCGGTACACCTCTTCCATCTCCAGGACGTTGAATATAGCCACTGGTAACTTGTATCTTTCTGGGAACTCCATTGTTGCCTGCAATATTTCGCGCATTTGCAAATATTGTAAAAACAGCCGAACCGTTGTTAAATTAAATTTTGTTCAAAAATGTAGCATATTGTTTTCTCATATGTTTTAAGGGAAAGTTGCATAGATACGTCTGTCGCCGCCTATTGGTCAAATTAGCAAATGGGTTTGTCTTTTCTTACTAAACTCAATTGTGTAACATCCCATGTAGGCCATAAAAGCTAAATAGCATCTGTTTTCATTAATTTATATACCGAGGGTACTATTTTAATCTCCCCATCGAAATATTTCATCACCAAGGACTTGATCTGGCACGAACACATCTCGTAAATAGCAGCAGCTGCTGGAAAAAGAGCTAGGCTAGTTGTTTAGGGCTAAGAAGTACTTTTCTCCGCATGACTTGCCCAGATAAGACCTAGTACATAGCTTGCAGGTCTGGGGTGCTGCCGCACCGACTACCCATCCTAACCATGCCGAGCTTCGTACAACCAGAACTGGCAGATACGACCGCTCCTTTGTCCCGAAGGTGGCGAGACTGTAGAACAATCTACAAGAGGAGGCTTTTCTCAGTTCCACCAACATAAAGCAGTTGAAAAAGAAAGACGTTGAAAACAATTTACTAGCAAAAACATTCGACAGCACAGTTGTGAGATTCGTGGAATCCCCTAAAGGTGACATCTTTTGTTTGACACTTATTTTCGAGAAAGAATAGCTGATACGACCGGAAAGTTCCAGCAGAGTTATTGCCAAAACCAGTTGTTATCCCATAGTTATTTAGCTTTTGGGGACCTACGCGGAATATTACATGATTTAGTTTAGTAACAAATGAGAAACATATGCTTGAAATTAAATCTTTTTCTAACTTCGAAATTCTTATTAGACCAATCAGCGTCGTCTGTCGTGTAAATATGTAGCCTCGTCTTAAGAGCTGATAAATCTAGCGATATTCTTATATTTCAAGTAGACGACATCTCTTTTACAGCCAGAATCGTCAGCCGTCTAGCTCACGATGTGACTGGGCTATTAAACGTGAACTGTGATCCCTGACAGTTCCAACTAATGGCAGCTATGCGCTCTCCAAAATAGTCGATTCTGGTGTGATAGATGAAGCTTTGCGCTGACTTATTTCGATTCTCATCTGACTTACCGCTTCCCCTAGTTTTAGTGACATGGAAATCATTTAAAGCTATAGTCAGCATTTCCCTGGTAGGTGTCGGGTCATCTTGAGCGAATTCTGAATCGGTAGAAATCTCAGTTGCTGAGTTCTGGACTTCACTTGAAGATTCAGAGCTTGACTCATCACTAACAATCTGAAATATCGAATTTAGATGTTGACCCTTCAAACTTGTAGCATTAAACGCATATTCTGACATATTTTCATTGAAAAACCAGTCAACTACATAACCACTTTAAAGTAATTCAGAAATATTATTCTAAAGTAAAATATTTTTAGAAGCCTGCAGTTATGGTTTCCAGCTCAAAAAATCTTGTGAACATTCTATGAATAACTTTACTTTTTTATACATAATGTGTTGAGTCAATCATGTTTGCGTATTATGATGCGATTGATGTTAGTGTTAAAAGCAAAAAAAAACAGCGGTACAATTTCAAACTGATAACCATTTAACAAAATCAAATATTCTATTGAATACCGAATAAAAGCAAGATTTTCGTTTACCCTCTGCTTAAAGGTTCAAACAAATCCTCGGACTCAAAGTATGAAGAATACAAAGGCAAAAATCAGTATCTCAAATATAGGTATATCAGTTTGATCTGTACCTAAAAAAAACGAACAAAAAATATAAAATCGATGACGTAAAAAACAACGAAAATAAAATAATGTTAGGCGAAAACAACACTCACGTATCAGCAATGTAGTGTAGTCATTTTAACCAAATAATTTTGACAAATCAAAAAGCTCATGCAAGCGAAATCACCATCAGAAATACTGATATAGGCATTCAGTAGAAAAGATTATTATAGTTTTGTTCCTTGTACGAGAACTCCCCTTACTTACAGTGCTGGCTAAAGTCGTTTTCCCTTTTAGATTTCTATGTACCCGAGAGAGAGAGAGAGAGAGAGAGAGAGAGAAACATGTTAGAAAGATGTGCGCCATATACGCGTTGCCACCACATTGCCTGGCAACGACAGGAGTTACAGCTGGTCACTGCCCCCCCCCCCATTGCCTTATTTGGCGTACTCTTTCTAACACCCTCCCCTTTCTCGTACAAGCGAATACAACTCTGGTCAGCACTCTATAAATAATACACTGTTTCATCATCATTGGGTATGTAAACTTAAGAAATCCCCTTATATTTAATTCACGTAAACTTCGAGACCAGTTCCAGCTTGCATGAGCTTTCATTAAATTTCCTTAAAATGACTGCGCTAGTCAGATTATAACCGCAAAACTGGCATTTGAACTTCGCCGGGTTAAAGACAACATTTAATAAAAAACAAATTAACAAAAAAAAACAGCATTACTTCAGCGCACACCTCACGATTGAACTGTATTTACTTTACCTTCACTTTACCATTGCTAGAAACGTGACTGTTGCCTCTTACCGCATACCAGGGTTGCCAAATTTCGGGTCTAAAAAGATACTTTTTCCGCTAGGGAAAGCTAAGGCGTTTTGACAAACCACAATTTGTCACCTCCAGTTTCAAAAGAGCATGTTTTGCTAATCTTATGAGATACAGTCAACTATCGAGTACCACATATAGTTTAAAAATTCACATGTTTTTTTTTGCTAATATGATCGTGTCAAGCGAAGAGAGATAAATTTATTTGAGTTGCGGTATTCAAAATATATTTAAAAAAAAATAGCAGCCAAAAAGAGCGTCAAGCTATGAAAATCTCAGAACAAACAACTATTCATAATTAGAATGTTTTTATATTATTTTTGAATTTCCTTCGATGATGCAGTATTTTATAACGATGGAGTAAATCCATCCTTGTTCACAACCTTTAAACTGATACTAATATAAACTACTAAAGCATCTGTTGATATCACGATATCTACAGCAGGGGTTAATAGTAACAAAAGCAAACTCTGAAAAGACAAATCAACAAATATATAAACTCTATAAAAGTACACAACATAGATAAAAATCTTATAAAATAATTTCACTCCGAAAATAACAAATCACACAGGAATAGAACACTTTCAACCCGTGTTTACAGTATCAAAAAAGAATGACTAGAACAAAATGAGGCTAGATTTGGAGCTCCGTAAGAAAGCTACTAACAATTAGAGAGCTTCATATTACTAGTAGAAAATAGATTAAGAGCGTAAACATGTTATTTGTAGTTGAAAACCAACACTAATTTACGATAAGGCAATGTCTTGCTTGTAGTGGTTAAAATTGATTATGTAAAAGTCTGCAGGCATAAAAAGATATAACAACCGATTTTAACTATTATTTTATTCAATGAGTTCAGTCCACAAGGTTTTTGAGATCAAATAAATAACAGTTTGAAACGGAGTCGAATTTTCTGAAATTGGTTTAGAAAACTAATGACTTTATAACCATGATCTTAACAAGCAAGACACTGCCTTTCATAAATTTATATACTCAGACTTCAGTAAGAGTTTTTAGTTTATTGCAAGCAACAGTCTTTGTTATCACTATCGCCGTACCTAGGGTGGGCGTTACTTTTTTTAGCCTTGTCCTTATCACTGCCATTTAAGCTTGTCCTCAAGCTTTGCGCTTTTGGGAGGTGAAAAGAATTGGCAGCCTCTTTCTTGGCCTCAGCAGAGTTGTTTTTTCTCGCTGGCATAGGAGACAATGTCGAAGCTCTTTTTCTTTGAGGAACAGGTGGACTGGTTTTGTTTTCTAACGAAGTATTTCCATTGGTTTCGGTTCTTTCAAATGATTTCCTACGAGAAGGAACGTCAGGAGCTTTAGAGACATTTGAAGATCTAGCTGAGTCATTGCCGCGTCTTTCGGTGCTTATAGGTATGTTAGAAACACTAAGTGGTTTTCTGTTAGGACTCTGGTTTGGTTTCGGTGGATCCAATTTTTGAATCTGACCTGGCTCCTGAGGTTTTTTCACTCTTTTTGGAGCCACAGGCAAAACTTGTTTTTTGTTAACTTTCGCGTATAGTGCGTCTATATCTATATCTTCTTTGGTCGGTGTTGTACTCTCGAATACTTTATCGAAGTTTAAACATTCTTTGTCCAAATTTTTCGAGCACAGAGCATTGAATTCTTCGCTCAGTGATACTGAATCTTCCACGGTAGATGTTTCAGTAGAATCAACGGCCTTAGAGAAATCGTGAGGCACTGAAATATAATTATCATCGTTCAAAGTGATATCAGGCAACTTAGCTGCACTTTGAGGTTTTTTAGCTTCAAGTTTCACAACAGAATCTATTTTCGCCTGTTGGCTTCCTAGTTGGGAAATCTGAGGCTTGGGCTCACCAATGACCTGCGTTTTTTGAGATAATAATTGCGGCTTCTCTCCGCCACTTTCTTGGCTTTCCCGCGTACTCAACTTGATCTGCGCGGTTTCCTGCTGAAGAAGTGGTGACTGTGACTTAGATTTCTCTTTACTATGATTGCTAATGTTTTTGCAAGTTAAATCTTCAGTAGATGAACCGCCTCCACTTTTTTCGGAAGAGTTGCCATCTTCAGTTGGAGCAAGGAAAAATTGAGTTGAGGAATATACTTTTGCGCACCAGGAATCATCGGGGACGTTCTCAATTATTTCTACATTTTGCTGAGGTTCTGAAGTGCTATGAGGTATATCAGCACTTATTTGAGATAGACACGCGATTTCATTTTGCTTGTTTCCAATATATTTAGATTGTAAGATATCTATTTTTGTTGGAGTGACAACTGTCTCTGATTCACCTTGCTGCAAAGGTGTGATTTTAACGTCTACCCTATCCGCTATTCCATTTACAGTATTTGGATAGGTAGTTGGTTTTGCAGCATCTTTCTCGTTTCTTATATTTTGCCGCGTACTTTCTTTTTCATCGTCTTTGGTGCACGTATCTTCCTTTTTATTGCTTTCAATGTCATCATACTTACTTCCGATACTCTCAATTGTTTCCTGCACAAACCTTTCTAAATCCCTTAGGGTCTCTTCAAGTGTACCTGAGTTTTTGGTTGCCCCAAATCCCACCTCAGTTTTGGATCTGGTCAATGTTTTAGCTGGGGGTTTTGAGGAATCTTCGCACTGCTCAAACTTTTTTATCACGCCCTGTACAGGCTTGGACTTAGTCAAAGATCTCCTCACAACTTCTTGTTTACTACTTTCGGTCGGCAACTTTTTCGGAGAACTCTCTTCGCCCCCACTTGGCGTACCGCCTCTTCCTCCATAAGAATTCCTTTTCAATACGAGATTAGGCCTAAGCGTTTCTTTAGACTCGGTTCCTTGTAAAGAAGTTCTCTTTATCGAGAAATTTCTCTTTGGAGGAGAACCTGCTTGTCCATCATTTGCTTCGAAAACCTTCAGCATTTTCTTTATGTCCACTTTACTACCCATATCTAAGTCTATGGAATTTCTTGGTTCGCTTCGTTTCAGCTGGGATTCTGTTTTAGACCGTTTCAGTCCGGCACCTACAGCTTTTTGTAGCTTCCTAGCTCTACCGGCAACTTTATTGTCATCGCTGCTGTCACTATCATCACTCATCTCTCTTCTTCGTTCCACCACCGGTCTACCGCTCAAATGTTGCTCAAAGAAGCTTAAATTCCTAGTTGGCAGCTTCCCAACAACCCGGCCTTTCAACTCTTCATCATTGGCTTTCAACACCCTTTCTAGATTCTTATATTTGAAGTCGTTAAATGACTTTGCTCTATCTGTATCATGAACGTCATGATCCAGATCTTCAATCCACGAAAGTAGATCTTCGATTTTATCTTCCGGTTTGTTCGTACCCGCTTCTCCACTGAACTGACTTACAAACTCTTTCGGTTTTTCTATTTCTGCTTCAATTTCATTGGATCCTGTCTCCACTTCTAGTGCTTTCAGTAGATCTTCAATGCTGCTATCTACTTTTGTTTCTTTTTGTTCTTCTTCATTCATCTGTTTGAATTTTTCAGGATCTATTGGCTTTTCTAGTTCTTTTTCGTTCTTCAAGAGGTCTTCGATATAATCATCAACGCCTTTCAGATCATCATCTTCAACTTCAAAGTTGAAGGAAGGTTTTCTTACTCCAAGCCGTTCCACAGTTGTTTCTGGAAGACTCTGTTGTTTCACCAAACATTGTCCTCTTGGACCTTTCACAACGCTTTTGACAGCTTCAGCTGACATTTCCGAACCACTATCATTTGCTTTTGGCCCAATATTTGCACGTTTAGGAGGCTTCTTAGTGGAATCTTGTACGCCAAAATATTTTTTGGTATCTAGCATCTTTGTGTTCAAAGCAACCTTAGGTTTTGTCTCCTTAGGTAAATTGATCTTACTAGGAGTCCTTTTTATGATGAGTAAAGGCTGTTGTTCGACAGTCTGGAATTTGGGAACAAACTCTTGAGCAAAAAGAGATGGATTTTTGTCCTTCTTAGGTATAACAAAGTTCCTGAGAGGCTTTTTTTGAGTCAGATCTCCAGATGTAGCACTCTTAGCCAATCCTTGACCACCCATAGCGTTAAACCTGCCTTTCGTCACGCTATTTCCTTTGCCGCTACTTGTGTCGCTACCTGAATCCCCAAACTGACTCTTTATTGATTGTAAAATGCTTTTATCCTTACCTCTTACAGTTAACTTACCACATACCATATTACTATCAGAATCTTTATTACAATCAATATCGCTATTAGACTCGTTAGCACTTTTGAAATCACAAGAGCCTACAGAAAGGTTACTACTAGACCGACCAGAATTAAGGTTAGTCTCACTACCTGACCTGGAACTTTTTCCATCGCGTAAAGATAGGTTGCTACCACTTTTACGTAGCTTGGCGTCCTTTCGGCTGCTAGACCTCGACCTACGGCCTTCGCGAGGTACTTTTAGTGAATTACTGCTTGAAGAGCGACTAAGATCGTTATTGAGGCTTCGCTTTGACTTGCGACCAGGGACTTTAAGGGACGCCCCGCTCGAAGAACGGCTCAAATCGAGAGCTTTATTACGAATTGTCAAAATGTCAGGAAGCAACTCTTGATTTTGTGACTCCCCCTGACTGACAGTTTGAGAGGGTTGTGCACCCTGGCTTGGTGGTAAATCAAGTTGGTCTGTCACAATATCCGTGGGACCTTGTGTAGCTACGTTTGGCTGTTGTAGTACCTCGGTGTCTGTTCCTGTGTCTGTATGCACAACGGGTGGTTCCACTTGGACTTCTTGTCTTCGTAATTCTCGGGCCCTGATCTCGTCTTCTCCTTCAGTAGCCGTATCTGATTCATCATCTAAAATTATAATAAAAAAGAATGTCACTTAAGCTTTGTTCCAACCAACCAGTGAACTATTTCTCGTCTGAACTGGCAGTTCTCGGTTCCAACAAATTTCGAACCGGTTCTTACAGTTTTTGGTTTGAGAGAGAACTGAAAGTTCCAATTTGGTAGCGAATGCGCGTTTACAGAATAAAATCAACAGGAACTATTTGTAAAACCGAGACAAATATAATTTATTTATGTAGGTATAAACTACTCAACAGCTACAGCCATTTACAGAGTAGGACACAGTCCGGACTACAAAAAAAAAACAATTTTATAATACAAGCAAGAGTAGGTCGAACACAAATGTGCTATTTACAATTATGTACAAATATCATAGGGTAGACAAAAAAGGAAAAACGACAGACCAAACCTCACTGAAATGTATCCAATTTTCTGCAACGTCAATAGCTATACCACAAGAGTAAAATAGTGGAGGAAACATTAAAAAAAGATTTAAAAGCTCCAAATTGTCTAGAATTTAAGCATGGAACGAGAAAATTAAATTTATGCAATATAGTTCAGCAATCGATACAATTGTGTAATATATTACGCACAAAATTAACGCAGCACTTATCACGCCTTTCCTTGAGACTTTCTAATTCAAAGGCTTCTTCTAAATTTTTTGAGGGTAGCCAATTGGTGGGCAACTGCCATTTTCCTTGAAATGTAGGTACTTTAGTAATCGTCGCTGGATATTTTTAAGTTTATCTATCCAGAAGTATAGAAAGGCTGCAAAACAACTGATGCATGTTCAAGTTTAGAACGAACAGGTGAGCAATACAAAAGCTTAATTGTAATAATGTCTTGTAAGTCACGACCGCAGCGTATAATAAACCCCAATATTTTGTAACATTCAGCAATAATTGTCTCCATATGACTATGGAAGCAATACTTACTATTAAAAATGACACCTACAATCTTGACTTCGCTCAAGCGATTGAAAGGCGCACCACAAATTGTTAGGGATATCTGAGCTGGCTTTATTTTAAGGCCAGTATGAGTTGTCACTTGCCTATCCCGCGCGCGTGCGCTGCTAGGACAGTAAAAGGAAGAAAGATACTAGCTCACCGAGAGACCACGCAGATACGCCGCAAACCGCATCCCGTGAGAACATATATACCCGCAACCGCATACAGTGAGACCACGTGTCTACGCAGCAAACGCATATAGTCAGAAACCGCATATACGCAGCAACCGTAGCGAATCAGAAACGCTCCCACACCCGCAATCTTCACGCTCCTGCATCACCGCTACGCCAGGAATACGAACCAGAATTAGACAGAATACCGGATCAAAGGTAGGCGACAACCACATTTCATTCTTGAACCAGCCGCTATACAGTCCACTCGAATACTCTAACACCAATATTATAGCCAAATACGATTGCTTGAGTTTACACTTCACAGCATTTAAACGTAATGAACGAATGAAAAAATAATTCGTCAAAGGCGAGATAGATTAAACTACACATCTTTGAATGGAGAAATAACACTAAATCCCAGAATTTAAATGCATACCCAATGGCTTCCTTACGATCTTGGAATACATTGACTTGAGTGACGGCATGAACGAATGGAGTTAAGTAACAAATAATAAAATCAGTTATGAAAACTTACATTTAACACGTACTACATTGCAAGACTCACATTTTTCACATTCTTACAAATATTTGTATGATTTTATGACGTATGTTTTCAACTACGACAGTGAAATTACCCTCGTCACATACAGAAAAGTACGATCATCACATACAGAAAAAAATAAAATAACATGTAAAATCTACATAAATACGTACTACATTGCAGCTTTTTTATTTTCTCTTTCATTAATTTTAGTTTTTTCCTTATCATTTTTGATACTTTCAGTAACTGTTTCATAGCTACAACAAGCAAATAAAAAATTATGTTTTATGTATTATTTTTTATTATATCTTCATTTAATAGAGCTGTAACTCATATAGGTTTGAAGGTTGCTACTAGCAGCAAAAATGTAACCAATAAAAGTTGTTCTATACAAATTCTTGTGATGTGAAACTAGAAAAAAATTAGCTCACCATCTGATGAATTTTCGTAATAACTAGACCCGTCACTGCTGCTAAATTCATCAGAATCATTGGAGTTCCTTCTATAGCTATGCTTCCATCTATCAGGCCATTTTGCAGCACCATCTTTGGCTTCTGGATCTTCTAAAGCATCATCATATGCATCATCTTCTTCTTCTTCATCATCAATGTCCGAATCACTGAATGAAAAAGAGATTATCCGAAGTTACAAAAGGTTTTTTGATCATTAGTAGGAGAGGGTTTGACTTTTTTGATAAAAGTAGCTATCCATTACTTCCTTACATATCGTACAACTGAGAGTATTTTTTCCGCAGAGAGGGGAACAATGCTTCCAGGTTAATAGGCGTTCACTACACGACTTATAGTTACACCCAGCCATTTTTCTTTATTTCCTTACCTATCACTGGACGTTTCGTCATCACTATCTCCCTGTTCAGCACATGAAGCACCAAAATTCCTATCCGTCCATTCATCTTCATCCATTTGACTAAGAGAGTCCTCATGAATCGAAGATGCATTTCCAGTGGAAAGGTTGGAAAACTCTATTCGCTCTGGAGTTTGAACTATAAAAAATATAAATCACATAATTTAAAAGAAACTGTATCTGAAAAAATGCAAGGATTGCGTAAGAGGTACCCAATGCAATAAAAAAATAAAAGCATCTATTTGCAGTCTCACCTCTATCTAGCAAGTCTACATTAGCTATTCCTGGTAGAGTACCTTTGTCAGGAGGGGATTTTGTTAGCCTGCACATTAAGCCTCAAAGATGGCTTTCTTGTCACGTTGGTAGTCACCTACATACCGAAATGATCTGTCCACAGACGAATCTAAATCAATAACAAAGGCAAATTTTAGTAAAGATATTAGACAAATATTGTAACAACTTACTTATAGCCATATATTCCATCTTCGAAGGCGTCTGAACGACTAGCTGTGCGTACTGACCCTGAACTCCTCAAGGATACGATTTCTCTTGTGTAAAGGTGTCCAATAGGGACAGGAAGTAAACGTCATTGACTGCCATCTTGTTTTGGCACCGTCATTTGTTAGTGAAGTTAATTGATCGCTAGGGTCGTATTCGATGAAGCCGCATAAAGTTATTTCAGGCACTACAAAATGGTGCAAAATAAAAAACGTTTCGCGCGCTTCATGAACATTTCGGTCGCAACAACCGCCCAAACGAAACAACCATTGGTCGTCTGGTGCGTAAATTCGAGATAACAGGTTCTGTGGCAAATCTGCCAGGCTCTGGCCGGCCAAGGAGCGTTCGCACACCGGAAAATATTGCTGTTGTGAAGGAGAGTGTGAGAGATGATCCGAAACAATCAACAACGCGTCGATCCCAAGAATTGGGCATTTCGAGAACCAGTTTGCTCCGCATTCTCCACAAGGATTTGAATGTACACGCCTACAAGATCCAATTGACGCAAGAGCTGCGTCAGGCCGACCATTTTTCGCGCCGAACGTTCTCAGATTGGCTCCTTGAACACCACCAAATTGATGTCAATTTTTCATCAAAAATCATGTTCAGCGACGAAACGCATTTCACTTTGAATGGGACGGTAAACAAGCAAAACTGCCGCATCTGGGCGAACGAAAATCCCGTGAATATCAAGAGCAGCCGATGCATCCTCAAAAAGTGACTGTGTGGTGTGCATTGTGGTCAAAAGGCATCATCGGACCTTACTTTTTCGAAAATGCGGCCGGGGACGCCGTTACCGTCAATTCTGAGCGATATCACGTGATGATAGAGGACTATTTTTTACCGCAACTTGAAGGAATGGATATGGACGATGTTTATTTCCAACAAGACGGTGCAACATGCCACACAACCAATGTCAATATCCATCGATTGCAGTCCTTCGGTGATCGCGTGATTTCGCGCAGAGGAAATGTGCCTTGGCCACCAAGATCGTGCGATTTGACTCCCTTGGACTTCTTTTTATGGGGATATTTGAAAAGCAAAGTCTACGTCAACAAACCAGCCACCCTCCAAGAACTCAAAAACAACATCATTGCCGAGATAAATGCCATAGAACCGACCATGTTGCAAAATGTCATTGAAAATTTCGACCATCGCGTGGACGTCTGTAAATCCAGTCGTGGTGAACATTTGAGCGATATTATTTTTCATACATAAATGGTATAAATGAACCATCAAAATAAAGTACCCAACTTGATTTGAATATCAATCTTTCTTGTTTTAATATGCGTTTACTTTCCTGCGTCCGTTTTGGACAACCCCATATATCAGGCGCCCCTAACTTTAGGGAATATAATCGCAAATTCTTTATTTTCGACCAACTGGAAAATATGTTATGTACTCTGGTTGCGCTCATGCCCATGGGAGCCCGCAGGAATTTTTCTGGGGGAGGAGCGATCATCGGCCAGAGATAACTATCTGTGAAAGGGGGGAGTGGAAGTTGTAGCAAAATTTCCCTACATATGCTAATTTTACGGTCCAACCAGCAATTTTAAGAAACTCGTGCTGGCCATCTCAACCTGCATTTAATTTCCTTGCCTGCGTCAAACTTCTATGTGATGTAAGACTCAAGATATTTGAAATGTGGTACCCGCTGTACATTTGCCCCTTTAATTGAAAGTGCGGCACGTATAAAAAAAACATGAATGAAATATGATAATTTTTTCTCGCTTTTTAAGCCTGAATGACATTATGCTCGGTCGCTCTTACTTGAAGCATCCATGATGGAAAAATCTGCCTTCTGCTGATAACCTTTCCATGAGATATACCCTCTTGTTACAGAAATGACAAAATTCGGACGCACTCTGGGATGGTAACATCATCTGGGTACGACTAGGCTGAAATCGAAAATAACATGTTTCAGAGAAATTCGTAAAAGAATACAGGTCAACATTTGATAAGAGTTTCACAGGACCCTATACGGGTATCTTAGGGTCGCTAATCTCAATGCCTGTATCACGGCAGATTCAAGGTCATTTAAAAGTCAAATATAGAAAAATCCAGACATTTTGTCTAGCGATGTTATTTGGAGGTCTAATTAGGGTTATTTCAGGACCAACATATGTAAAAGTTGTATTCAGTGGCAAGTAGATCATATCTACAAAGCAGCTAGAATCGTCAGCCATCTGGTGGTTACACTGGGGACTGAGATCTTCACAGTTCCAACCAGTAGTATACACTATTTGCAGTGATCAATTCCGTCAATAGATGGCGCTTTGTGCCGTCTTGTTTCGTTTTTTCACAATGAATATATATAAAACGTCCATCTACAGGTTTTTCGGGTCTCTGGCGTTTGTGGGTCATATAGACGTTATTTCAAGATCACATCAAGGTTGTTCCGTAAGAGCGCCTGAATCCATTTGAAAACCTCCTCACATACCTTTTCGAGGTCGCTGAATATGGATTTGGCTTTTGTTTTACCAGGTGAGTTATTTAAGAGTCTAATTAAGGTTATTCTAAGGTCAACTTAAAAATGTTTGAATCTATCTAAAAACTTCCACGTATCGGTTTCTGGGATAGCTGAATCAAAAACGGGTGTTTGTTTTAACCGGCAAGGTTAGAATCAGTGATCATACGCCAGATTTGGATTCAGCGATTCAAAAATCAATAACATACGTTTTTTCAGGTAATTTTCCCAAATTTGAAATTGAAATGACTTTGAACCTGACGCGATAGAGGTCAACCATGGAATTGCGTTCAGCAATGTTGGAAACCCCAAGATACTCATACTTTTGGATCAAATATTGAGTAATATATCGATAAAAAATCTAGTAAAAGCTTACCGATTTTTCTGGACGTTTGGCTTCCTTCTCAGCGGGTACTTTGCTCACTAAGTTATCTCTAATAGAAGCTACTCTTCTTGTTCCCAACTCGCGTGTAGTTCCTTCTTTCAGCTTTTGGTCGAGTTTTTGGATGCATTTGTCAATGTCTGCATACTTAGCTGCGAAAAATATTCCGAATATATTCGTGCTACAAACAGCAGATATACTTTCTTACCTTCACCACTTTCCTGGCGATTGTAATGTTGCCTTTCCATTTTGGTTTGCCTGGCCAAAAATTGTTCTTTACTCCATTTTGGAACCTTCTCTTTGTCGATGGCTTTGGATGGCTTGCCTATTGAAAAATATTTCATCAAACTAAGAATAAGTATCGCCTCCTTAAAGTATGATTCGTTATAGAATTTCACCGGAAGGGTATTAAAATGCACGTCCTGAATTCTATATTGTTAAACTGTACGATTTTTTTTAATCAAACTGTTCAACTCACCCATTTTATTTTCCATGATCTTCTTTTCAATCTCCTTGATATTCCAGTCGGATGTTTCAATTTTTCCGATAGCTCTAAGCAGATCCTTTGGTTTCTTTTCGACAGGCTGAGGGTCTCGCCATTTGTCCTCCAAACTTTTGATTCTAGCTACCAAATCATCGTCAGTTCCAGTAGCTCTGCCTGTTTGAGTAGCTCCTTTATTGTCATGATGCTAGAGTGGCAATGAATGATCTAGTCAGTACTTTGGAGTAATGGAGCGGTAGAGTGTATTGGAAGCAGATGAGTCATTTGGTGGAAACTTGTCATGAGTTGTTAGCTTGATTATAAGATGTGAGACGAATGTCACACAATCAGTATTTACTGCGATCCCTACGATCTGGGGTGCATTTGTAAATCACTTGGTAATATAATACTGTACACAGTAACAGAATGTGCATTGACAAATTAAATTTTACTCTGTGTAAATTTATTTTTAGAACGCCTAAATTATTACAGAGTCATCCTATCGTGAAAAATATATACATTATGCCAATTTTAAGCACCAAAACCATGAACTATAAGAATGGCAAGTGACAACACGTTTATTTCCAAGGTCTTAAGCGCGAGAAAATAATGCACTTTTGACGTTCCAGAAGGATTACAGGCTCTCCCAGACCAACGCGAATTATTTGTGGCGGAGAATCCGCAGTGAATTTCATGGCGGATTCCGCATGAAGCCTAACTCCAAAGCGAATATAAACGCATCATTTACGTTCTATTTTCTTTATCAAAAAGATTGTAAGCTAGTGCTAAAGAAGAAAAACGAGAAACATTTGTGACCTTTTTTAATTCAGGATTGTAATAAAGACTTTTCTGATAATTAACACAATATAAATGACCCTGCGTGTATTGTTAGAACAATTTTATATCTTTACAATGTTTACTAGAATACTTGATTATTATTTTCTTAAATAAATAATGTAAAGAGTTTCAACTTCACAATTTTCGCCTACTTATGTTCATATTTTGGTCCAAACCTTATCCTTTTTGCGAACACTTTTATAGAATTCATGGGAAAGGTTATCAAATATAGGGTACTTTCGAAATAATCCAATAATCTGTTGATATATATATATATATACATTACTATTTTACTATTCTTTATAACGTTGCGAAATTACTGCAAATCCGACAAAAACGCATCTGATTGCGAACTAAGCTTCCGTGCAGATAAAAACGCAGATAAATCGCAGATAAATATGTTGCGAATCGCATGCGATGCGAATATTCCTGGGTATTGTGAATTTTCCGCGTTGGTTTGGGGGAACCATACTTTGTTCTATTTTCGGCCGCATGGAATAGCTTCATCAAACAATTACGATCTCTGAAATAACAATTCACGAACGCAATCCTGTATTCAATAATGATTCCGTCAGTATCAGCGGATTTCTACGTAACCTGATACAGGGTGCGGCAGAGAGGATGGACGGTTTTAAAAAAATCATAAAATCGTTAATTTTTACTCGAAAACAAATTTATTGATGGAATCAGGTTCACAAGGAAATAGCATTTGAGACAGTCAAGTGTGGAAAATCACATCAGGCATGTGGTGGCCGAAATCGTTGATGCAGTGCTGGAGGCGTTTTTGGAAGTTCGCGTAGACTCTCTCCAACATCGCTCTCTCAAGTTGGGCGACTTCCACGCGAATTTCGCCCTTCAATTCGTCCAGAGTTCGGGGCTTGTTCGCGTATACTCTAGCCTTGAGGTTCTCATTTTGATCGATCAGTGCTTCCATCTCACGTGCGAAGTTCCTTCGTTGTGCATAATCTACGGGCTGTAACTGTAACACAATGGCCAATTTATAGGGGTGAAAGCGGAGATCCATATGCAAAATTCGCCTTACCGAACGTTCACTAAGGCGAAGTGCAGCAGCATGTTTCCGGGCAGATCGAGTCGGACTGCGAAGAAAGACCTGTCGAACGCGTTCAACATTTTCAGGAGTTCGAACTGTTCGCGGCGCTCCTCTTGGTCTTCTGTTGATCAGTTCACCACGCCTGTGAAGTGATTCAACCCAACAAAGTATGGTGTTTCGAGAGGGAACAGTTCTATTCCGATGAATGTTGAAGTGGCGACGAAACTCACGCTGTACGACGATGACTGACTCATTATTTCGGACAAAACAATCATAGGCGAAAACGCGGTGCTCCACCGTCCAAGGCTCCATAACGACAACTGGTAAAATTATGCTAGGATCTCACGAGTCAAACGGCACCCTCCCCACCTCTCTCGTAGACGGTGGCGGAGAGTACTACGCATCCCAAAAACGTCCGTCCTCTCTGCCGCACCCTGTACATTAATAATTACTGAAGTTGACACTTCATACTTCATTGTAAATACCACGAAAATACTGACATATTATAGCAAATAGAGATCTTGTGACATTCGCATGAGTAAAAATGTGGAAAGCTAAGAAGTATCTTGCTGGTTGCTCTTTTAGCTAGAATTTCAAGCACCCAGTTAGGATTACGTGAAACATTCTAGATCTTCCCAAGGTCATAACTAAGATTTTATTGTCAAGGCATACACAACAATAACTATATATTGTTCATCTTAAATACAAATCTGTTAGGGGTAATACAATCAGTTTTACAGACAGGAAACAAAAAACAATTAGCAAAACAAAAGAAATTATAACATCTAATAATATATTTATAAATATAAGGTCTTTTATATGAAGTCCTCAAGAACAGCTCCGATTCTGATGATCCTTTTTTTAAAATCTCAATTAAATAATTCAAAATCACGTACCTTTCAGAGGGGGGAATTATTATTTATATTATTAAACAATACTCATGCAATATTGAAAATCTCCTTCTACCTAAAGTTAACTCATTCAGATCTTCAGGGACGGACTAGCCCCAATGCAATATCAATAAAGTTTTGTACACCTTGTATCATACTCGCTCAAAAATATTATTTTTAGAATTCCCGATCTTCGAGCTGAAAAATATGATTTCTATTAATTAGATATAGATTGACTGTACATCAAAATCGGAATTGCTCTTTAGGGCCGAAGGTTATGTATTCATTGAGGAGACAAATGACGAGTCCTCCGTCCACGTTTTAGGGCCCTGTAGGACCTTAGTGCGCCAAAGGTAGACTATACTGAGGTCTAATATGCTGGAGCCACAAGATGTAGGCAGAAATAAGCACGATCCCAAGGCCATCCTCGCGTTTACGAAACAGATCGGAGTCTGTGCGTATAGAAGCGCAAAAGGACCTATAAGTGGCCTATACATCGGTGACCATTGGAATCAGATCATTGACACCGAGGTGAATGATGATAGCCTTATCATTCATTGACACCGAGGTGAATGAATGCTTGATGATCTTAATGATTGTTCTATATTAAGTGTCTGAAATATCAAAACATCAAACTTAGCATTATTAGTGTAAAAAACAGCAAAAAGCGTTAAGGGATCCACAACAGAACAACCAACACGCATCTCCTTACAGGCACATAAGTGAACTGCTTCTCGAGATCTTTCACTCGATCTTCGAATTTCGGAGCTGTTTGTCTGTACAAAAATATCGCGTAATCTTCGAACGGTTGACTGTCTGGTTTTGCATTGGATTGCAACATCTGCATACTTTTGATGAACTGTGCGGTTTGAAATCTCCTTTGTTGCCGACGTTTGTTTTGCCTTTCGGTACGGTTGCTCGCTATCTCTTCCAGGATTTTTTGTCTTTCCTCCTTTAAGCAACATAACAGATGGTTCAGTTTTCGAAAATAATTCGACCAAATCTTAACATAAATTGCTTTCCCTTGCTTTGTTCTGTTTTTGCTATCGTCATCAAAACGTTTGCTGTCAGTAGTTACCGTGGTTTTTCACACTATGTACAGATAGCCGGACATACGCATAACTTAAAAAGTCCTAATCAATTGCAAAATGAGCATTAAGTTTTACGCTGTGTGCGCCATCTATGGAGGAATGACGCAACAACCATTTTACTGATATTTTCCTAAATTACTCAACCCGCATTGCTCTAGCATGGTTGATGGGTTGCAAACTTTTAGGGTAGTTCTCTGTAGGCTACGCAGATAACTCAGTTATTACGCATGATATATAAAAAAGTGAATAACAAAAATTGTAGCCAACAGTATGATCCTTAATTGGAAAATATTTGTATTGCATAAATTTAGGTAGATTCAATGCTATTTTTATTTTGAAAGGTAGTGGAATATGTTTCATTTACCTTGATCTTCGATTTACGAAAAATTGCAACTCATAAACCATTCATGTACAAACTTCCATAAACGTTATATCGAAAAAAAGCTTGTGAAAAAAGTGTGGAAATATACAGGGTGTTTCGTTTGAAAATTTGGAGAAACCGTTCGTTTTGCGTTCTTGACCACCGTGTATAGTCTATCGAAAAAACTGAAACACAAAGTGCATAGAAAGAAAATTTGGGATCATTAAAAAACGGAAAATTTAGTAGTCTAGCCTTAACAGTTGCGGAGGTGCGAGTTATCAAAGTTGTTTTGTTCGGTAGATTGTCCAATATCTCAATAGTTTAGAAATAAAATGTACATCAAATTGCTTCGTTCGAAAGTTCCAGTAATAAAATTTAGGCCTTTACATTTTTAAAATGTAGGTTTGGGTCACCACGTAATTAGATATCACCCTGTAAAAATCAAAATATTTATCGACCGAGCCCCCCACTAAAAACTCATCCTGTATAGGACGTATACTTCTCGACCAACATGTGAGAAAAAATGACAAACTGACACGAGAAATCGCTATCTGACAGTTACAAATGCATAGTATAGGTTCCGGAGTAAGAACAAAATCTGGAAAATCAAATCAACTATCTTAATAGATAATAACAGAAATCATTCTTGTCTGTAGATATCAAAATACTATTTTTAGGGATTTTTGATAATGGCAGCGAAGTCCAACTTTGCTCCCGCGAGGCGTCGCTAGTGTGGTTGGGGGTCAACCTGTCAAAAGTAGATAGGAAAAAGACAGATACGATAGAAATTAGAGCTGTTTATAGCTCGAATGTCACACGATCCGTATTTACTGTGTGGTTCGTACCATCAGTATTTATCGCCAGTGTTCGAGGATTTTTACGTAGCCTTATACATCATCAGTGACATCCTGACTATATGGTCAATGAGTATCACATTCTATGATATATAATGACGGAACGGTAAATACTAATCGTGTCACATTCGCCCTAGTCGTAACCGCCAACTTCACTAGCGATCTAGGTATAGTTTTCCAGATTACCCCCCCTTTCACTCATTTATTATGAATGCATCTGATGATATAAAAAATGTGCATAAAGTTACAAATGACCATGTTAATCGTAGGCTGCTCTACGTTTCCAAATACCAAAGCCTGCTCAAGCACTCATAAATAAGTCCTTCAGATATCTTTTTTTTGTACTTTTATTGCTTTATGTATAAAAAATATAGTTCGTATACCCATACTGTTCAGCATTAAGGAACACGTCCAGTACGAACAGCGCTATAGTTACTACTGTCATTTCTGTGAAGCCGCTCACGAACAGTTGCAACATCTGAAAACAGAAAAGGATGACAGGATGAAGGATAAGGTAGGGTAAGTTAATGGCCATGGAATTTCTGAAAGAACTACCCTGGATAAGCTTCTCTTTTTGTAGGTTGTTTATATTTGAGCTTTCACGAAGCTCTAAATGTCTTTGGTCAGTGTATCATACTAGGATCGTATCTAGTACGGCATGCATCAGCGAATAAGCCGCGCTTTATACTAGCAGGATCTCAGTACGATACAGTATATCGAGCAAGGATCTTAAGGCTTAATTACTGATGGATACCGTGAGCCTATGGAAGGATACAGGGAAGGGGCGATAAAATGTGGTCCCCTTTTAAGAATCGTCGAGATTCATTGAGTGAAACCTCCTCATTTGACGGATGCCATCCACTATCGGTGTAGAATTAAAATTTAGAGAATACTAGCTTTCTGTCCCGCGGTTTTACCCTCGGAACGTGTAGGTAGCGCTATTAATAAAGTAATAATGCCTCGTCTAGCAGCAAGTTGAGTTTTCAACAAAAGCAATCACTTGTTTTATTCTTCCATAAAAGAGGAATATTCACATACAATTTCAGAGCTGTACGTATACTTGTTAACAAATTCCGAATGAAAAAGAAATGAAAAGAAAGATAAAATCTACTCCCTCCTTTGTAAGAGTCGTCGAGATTCACCGAGTGAGACCTCTTCGTTTGACGGATGCCGTCCACCACCGGTGCAGGATTTAAATTAATTGAATACTAGCTTTCTGTCCCACGGTTTTACCCTCGAAACGTGTACGTAGGTAGCGCTATTACTATAACACTACTTTAAAACGAGTTTCAAGCGTACGAAGTAACGGGTAACACGACATCAGTATGCTTGACGTTTCCAGGTTGAGGGGGCGATGGCAGGTCGCGCTGTTGCCGGCTTGACGCTGACAGTGCAGATTTTGGTAACTGCCGCGATAGTTGGTTGCAAAATAGACGGTGAGTTCCAGGATAAAACCATGCCTATAACCTTCCTCGGATATTAATTAGAGGGTTTACAAATTTGTTCGTTTCTCCGTATTGTGGTTCAAACGTGAGGCCGACAGACATTTACATTTATATATAGAGACTAGTTAACTTACCACGCTTGCCCCGACTCTTTCGAGCGTTTTCCTCTTCCTAGCTTTTCTATCTATACTGTTCTGTTTCGGTGGAGGTTCCATCACAGCGTGCCTCTTATGTCTGCTAGACGGCCTGGCGACCTGCCCTGATGTGATAGGATGAATATATGCCGTTTTGAACGTTTTTGCGTTCAGGTCACTCAGTTTCGCGCTCGACTTTGTATTTTCGGGTAAGTCCTGTTAAGAAAAATTAGATGGTAATTAAAATTTAAGCAGTCATTCCTTGTGAAAGCTGGTCTCGGGAGAATCTGCCTGAAATCAGTGGATGCTGTTCCATCCGAGCTCATGGGCATACATCTTCAGAAACACCAAGTCCAAAAATAGGATTTCAGGTTGTAAAAAAATGAGAAATGAGCAATTTGTTACACGATTTTCGCAATAGAAAATTCTTCAAAACCAGATAGAAACATTTTCACTTTTTAATCTACCTACTCTGGACTTTTAATGGATAATTCGAAGGAACCTTTTGAGAAAAGCTTAATACAAGTTTTTCAAGGTAAAACTAAATTCCATAAGCCCAATGCAAAGGAAACTCATTACACAATTTGATCATCATAAAAGTGGTTCTGGAAAAGGAAAGTTTGGAAGTGGTAGGATTATAATAGGATAAAATGGATTACTTGATGAGAATCCTTTTCTTCTGCTTCAACAATCACAGAGAACTGAACTGGTGTTGACGCAGTCAAGTTCGTACTTGATTTGGTAAACGGAGAGTACTGGGAGAATTTGCTTGGTTGTCGGACGGGCTTGATGTTCTTCATATTCTTAACAATCTCTACGAATTTCTCTTCGGAACTGACATTTTTTTCCAAATCGCCACCACAACGCACAACGTCTGTTCTCTCTTCCACTATCGCGGTTATTAAAAAAAATTAGTAAAGTTACTGATCAACCCCAAATTCAAAATCTTTACACATGACATATCTAGACTGTTAACTGCTTTGTTGTGGTTCTGCTAAGAATGATTCCATAAGTGTTGCAGTAGATAGATGTTGTGTTTTCAAAAAATCCATCGGATTGGCTGCTGCCCAGAATCAAAATCCGAGATCATTCGTTACCAGAACACTGACAGAATTAATGGAAATGCAATATACTCGACACAATTTTCACACCCATCTTTTTTGTTGTTTTGAATATGTAGTAGTTATTAGTGAGATTTTCACCTTTGATATCATGATAAGGATCAGGCTTGCAGGATGCCATCACACCTGAGATTTTACTTGCAGTATAAACCATAGTCATCGTATCTCCATCACCTTCCGCTATCTTTTTTCTATCTTTGTCTTTGATGAAGTCATTAGCTTTGATCCAATCACTTACACGACTAAAATATTTTTCTAAATAATTAATTAGTCAAAAAAAAACTGTTAGGCGAATCTGTAATACAAAACCTTATTTTTTGTTTAAATTCAAATGATAAAAATAATTCTCCAGCCATAACCATATCCTTGACCTAATTTGTGGCAATTAGGTTTCTAATTTACCTGAACATTCCATTTGAAATCCCATCACTGGCCTGCATTTTCTTTTTTTTGTACAACAAAAAATTTCTAAAGCTCCCCTTTTTCAACAGATCGTCACTCTGACAGAGATTAACGTTCGAATTTGACAGCGTCTGCGAAGTTTGGCAGCAAAATCTGATACTTCTTCCAAGTCCACTGTTAGTCTTATTGGTTTTCCTGGCAAATTCATGCCTCTCACATTTTTTTCTTATGGATTTTGCTGAATGCTTTGAATGCGTTACTTTCGAGTTATTTTGTTGCTGCTGTATGTCAATGATATTTGATAAATCTGCCTTTAAAATAATAAAGTAGGTGAGAAAAGTGGATCAAATTACGCTGGAAACTTTCTAAACAAATAATATATTTTGAGGATTGTTTTTACTAATCACTGTTGATATAGTATAGACCATGATTGAACAGTTTCACATTTATTTTTACCTTATCAGATATCACCAGCTGATTCAAAGAGGAACTATACTCTATCTGCTGTAAGGTGAACTTATGCCTGGTCTTTTTCTCAATGACATTAATTCTAACCAAGGATGCACTGCTACTAAGTTGCATCACCGAGTTTTGATTAGATTCATGGACACTTCGCAGTTTTCGAAAATTTTGTATCCCTCCGATATTATTTTCTCTTTTAGCATATTTCAGTTTATGCAAGATATCATCTTCTATATAATTTTTGAAATCAAATCCGTTAGCATCTCCACACTGGAAATAGTCCTTTGTATTTTGTACTTCATACTCTTCATTCAACTGTCTGTGGAAAGTGTATGAAATCAATGGCCTGAACTCAATGTCGTTCAGTTTTTGAAGAACAGTGTCACTTTTTTAACGTTCTTTAATATAATCTTATTAATCGAACATGCCGCATACGCAAACGTTGAATGTAAAAAAATCGAATGTTGGCGTATACGATATTTGTGATTGCAAAGCTCAATTATCAAAGTCAATAAAGTTACGTAAATTTCTGTTTAATTTTTGGTCACATGAATAAATAAAGCACAAAACAAAAGCTCTTACTTCGGCTGTTCATAGTGATCATAGATAGACCTAGAGTTGGTATCTCTACATGAAGTGCTAAAGCTGCTATCTCCTTGTGAATACATGTTATTGCAGGTGATCTCAATAACTTTGCAAGAAGCGTCTTCCGTTTGATCATCAATTTTGAAATTTTTCAAGCTATCCGGTACTTCTGGTAATTCTGGCGGATTTTCGTATGGATTATAGAAGCATTGGTCAGGACTATTGCTTTTAACAGAAGGCTAAAATAAAGGATAGAAAAGTTCGAAAATCGAATGGTAAAAAGCGAATCTTCAAGAACCTGTGTAACCATTATCACTGGATCTTCAACTGTTACTTCAACTTCTTCCGCTTTTTCGGTAACCGCGTCATCATTCTTTTGGGGCTTTTCCGGCTCACTTTGTTTCTCTTGAATGACCGATAAATTGCATATTTTTCGCAATATTGAATTCTTTCTTTTCAGCATGATCCTTGCCATGAATTGTTTAACGGTTTCTTTACGGGGATCTCTGTATAAACTGTCACGTTCCTCTGTCTGACTACGCTTGGTTACTAACTCTTCTTGACTTTTGCTCGTTGTTTTAGAATTACTCTGATGCTGTTTAACGGATGCTTTAGTTTTTGCTGGTATATCTATAAATTGGAGATCGATAAGGATTTGCAAATTAAACAAAAGGAGTCAAGTAGCTCGACTCTCTACTTCCCACGCAAATCTGGACAAATTAACTTTGTAGATACATCACGTATACGAGCAATAGTCAACTTTTGTATGCTCTGCTCTTTATTGTTTGTCGGGTTACTAAGACCATTGGAACCTGGCATAAAGCTGTAGAGTAGAACGAATATCAGTGAAAAAAGATTTGTATATGATAAATAAATATGAAATAATATGATTTTTTGGAAATCATCGAAGACACATTTCATACGCCCTGGTATTATTTGCTTGAGGAAATATACTGAAAATATATGAGATTCTTTGTTCCACAGAATATCTTCATATTCGCAGAAGACTGGTGAAAGTATATTCGTACGTTATTTCACACCTTAATCAATACAGAACAATGTTGTCAGCCCATCTGATAATTTATACAAGGTTTTCCCAGAATATACGCATAAAAAAGTCTTGTCAAGGCGTTGTGGAGGGGTGGCCCGGTGGTTCCCTTTCTCTAAGAAGTAAGCGAGTAAGTAGGATTTACGTGTGCTGGTTGAAAGTAACCTTTTTTACCTGTCGTCGGCATGGAACTCTCTCTGGTCGAGAAATACCGCATCATCATCAAGTTTCTTGCAAAGCTAGGCAAGAATGGTCGTGAGATTTTTGAGTGTTTGGAACCAATCATCAACAAGTGGTTGAAAAGGTTTTGCGGAGGCCGAGAAGATGCGAAAGATGACCGACGCTCTGGACGCCCCTCCACATTGAGCTCTGAGGGAAATGTTGAACGAATTCGGGGCTGTGTTCTTAAAAAACGTCGATTGACAGAAATTGTTCGAGAAAATCGTTCCGAAGCTCTTGACTCCAGAACAGAAAGCAAGGAGGGTTGCTTGCTGTGAGGATTGGTTGGAATCAGGGGAACGGGTGATTTTCTCAACCGGGTCATCACTAGAGACGAGTCTCTACGAATTCGATGTGGAGCTGAAATCTCAAAGCATGGAGTGCAAGCAAGCAGGGGAACCGAGAACAAAATAGTCGAAAAAATCAATGTCTAATGTGAAAACAATGTTGATTGTTTTCTTCGATTCTCGGGGCATTGTTCACCAGGAATTTCTCCCTCCCGGCCAGACAGTAAAGCAAAATTTCTACATTGAAGTTTTCCGTCGTCTCAGAGATCGTGTAGCACGAGTTCGACCGGATTTGTCTCAAGGGGGCAGGTGGATCCTCCAGCTCGACAACGTGCCTGCTCACATGTCTCTCGTTGTGCGTGAGTTTTTGGCCCGAAGCTCAATCACTGTGACAGAACACCCGCCTTATTCACCCGACTTCTTCCTGTTCCCAAAATGCAAAATGGTGCTTCGGGGGCGGCACTTGGGGGATGTGGAAGCCAACAAGGTAGAAACGACACGGCAAATGAAGAGCCTCAAAATTGAAGACTTTAAGTGATCGTATCAACAGTGGAAGCGGCGTTGGCAGAAGTGTATCTTATATCAGGGGGAGTACTTTAAAGGATACCGTATTCAAATACCTGAACCATTGTAAAATAAAGTTATTATTTCACTTTTATACGTATTATCCGGACAAACCTCGTATTCAGTAAATTATATTGCCCTGGTGGTCACAATTCTCTGTCGTTGATGTGAACAGGGTTTTTTTTCAAGGGGATGGCTTCCACCAATTTGCAAAACTGCAACAAGATGCAACCAACAGGGGGAGAAAGGATGATGATTTTCTTTTGTTTATATTGACGCTGAGGGTCAAAATCCCATAAAAAAAATGGATGACGTAGCACTCAAACCAAAATGACTAAACTTACACAAAAAAAAGGTGCTAGTCCGTGAATTGGCGCTTGGGGTCTAATATCCCAGAGTCCGGAAAATGACGAAACGACCTCTGCACCACGACCTCAACGGAAACAGAAAATCTAATCACGCAGAACACGTAACGTTCTAGAAGAAGGTATCTTGAGTGGCCTTGAAGAAGATACGTTTTATAGGAAGCCAACTAAAGGAGAAAAACTACAGAGTTTTTTGCTGAACGTCAACACCATACTGAATCGTTAAGAAAGAAAGATATAATACGACTGAAATTATACAATCAATGAAATATTAAATTTGCCAAAAGAAAATCATTGAAAAGGGTTTGGCCTAGGAATGGGCACTCTATTATCAATGAAGAGAAATTCAAATTACGGATAAGTAATAAATAGTAAAAAAAAGGTTATGTGATTTTGGTACGGGACAACTGGATTTTCAGAAACAACAGAGCCTTTTCGTCCTTGGCATAGTAGCAATCTTGCGTGAAAATTTCATCAAAACCCGAACGGTACTTTCCAACTTATAGACGGGCCAAGGATTATCCGACAGATACATCGAAGGAAATGAGTGACATGGTTTTTCGTGATGTACATATATGCCATCTAACATATAACTATCTTCGAAATTTCTTTCCAGTATGCGTGGGAAGTAAAGAAAAGATAAAGTAAAATACTATCTTCAAAATTTTATATGATGTAACAAAGGATTGAGACAAGTAGCTAGAGACAAATTGGAAAATTTGACATCTGTCGTTCAATATAACACTATTGAGACTAACACATACCGTTGTTACTATGTTTACGTTTTTTCTTCACTGAAATGTCCGAGCAACCATCACGAGATTTTTCAGCTTTTATTTTTTGCACTTTTAGACTTTTCGTTTCAGATTCCCGTTTCAAAAGCTTTTTTCTGGGTGAGGTGTTTCTGTACACAACTTTAACGCATTTCGTTTTTCTTCCCGAGCTCTGTGATGATCTGCTTGATACTGGTTTACAATGTCCTGTTCCAACGATACTTTTACTGCCTTTTGCATCTTTGGTCACACTGCTTATTATTTTCTTAGTTTTTAATGGAATATCGCTGTCAGTTCTTTTGTTGATACAGGAATGCTTTTTGACAATTATCTTACTGTTGCTCAGTACATCTTTGGAACATTGAGAGAGCACAGGATTTTTTTGCGAGCATTTATTGCAGACATGAGATGTTTTGGTGTGGCAATGTTTTAGCTTCGATGATGCAGGAAGGAGTTTTGGAATTCTGGATTTCAAAGGCTAAAGGAACATAGGAAAGGATAGAAAATTATATGGTAATTAACTCAAATAAGTTATATTATGTATAAGAATGATATCCACGCACACATATATTTTCCTTCTATGACTCATCAATTTCTTCACAATTTATAACTGATTATTAAATTCCATCGCATAACAATTTTAACACGATCCTAGGAATCAAGTAAAAGTTCGATGATTTTGAGTAGACGCTGATTTCTATCCGGAACTGAAGAACTTTGAAGGGAATAAACATAAGTTTCACTAGATGAGTTCACTTACCAGTTTTGGATGTTTGACGTGAGGTATTTCTCCTCGGAAAGTGTCGTAGATTTCTGTGAGATACGTGGCTATTGTCAGGTAGTCTTCTGTGTTGATGCTTTCTTGACCTGTCATTACGGGAGGGATTCCTAGAAGAAATATCAAAATTGAAGAGAATAAATAATTGCATGGAATGGTAATTGCTGAGTTGAGTTAACAGCAAACCAATTGTAAATATACTAAGAGACATATAAATCCGAACACCCAGTTTAAATGGTTTTATTTTAATAAAATTTTGTATAAGTACTTAATGAAGCATAATAAGTAAATGATAAAAATTTCAAAATGATTGCACTGCTTCAAAGCCCTTTGACCTTTAATAATGTGTGGATGCACCCTGATGTGCTACGCATTCTCCAACGCGCCTAGGCATGCTTTTGATCAGGTGGTCAATGTCCTCCTGTGGTATCTCATTCCAGGCAACCACCAACTCCTCTCGAAGTGCTTCTAGAGTCTGAGGAGGACGTTGCAAATTGAGCAATCTCCTACCCATCATATACCACACGTGCTCAATTGGGGATAAGTCGGGAGATCTTGGTGGCCATGGTAACAATGTGACATCATTATGTTGAAAGAAGTCTATTGTGACTCTTGCAACATGTGGTCGGGCATTATCTTGTTTTAAAGTTGGATCTGCCAGGGTGTCAAGATAGGGAAAAAGATGGGGTTCTAGAACTTCGTGGATATAACGCTGCGAGTTCATGTTACCTCTGATGAAGATTAAAGGTGACCTGGAACCATAAGTTATAGCACCCCAAACCATAACTCCAACAGTGTGATGAACATGTCTTTCAACAAAAAACTGTGGATTCCTCCTTTCACCACGTCGCCTTCTAACCCTGGCACGACCATCGTGCATGCCTAAACAAAATCGAGTCTCGTCACTAAAGACAATACTGTTCCATTCCTGATCCCAGAGTGACCGTTGTCTGCACCACTCAAGGCGATTACGTCGGTGTTCTCGAGTTAAAGGGAGGACCCAGTGTTGCCGGTATGAAAACAAGCCAAAACTTCTCATTTGTCGGTAAACACTTCGCATGCCAATAGGTCTTCCGTGTTCTGCAAACCATTCATTTGCAATGGACCTGGTAGTGGAGAAACGGTCCCTTAAGGCCAATAATCTTAGTCGGCGATCTTCACGGTCTGTTGTTCTACGGCGGCGTCCAGTGCCCCTTGCTCTTTGCGTACGGCCTTCTCGAAGCCATGCCTGACAACACCTAACCACAGTGTCTACACTTCTTTGCACTCTAACTGCAATTGCCCGAAAAGAAAGTCCAGCTTCCCGAAGTCCCACTATACGGCCCCTATCAAGCTCAGTAGATACTGGTGCACTCTGGGCGCCCCCCACCACTTCCACTTTTTGGCCACGCCCACCACATCCACCGCGTGCTCTGATTGGCGGATCAAACGGCGGGAAATTTGAACGGGGTTGATGGTATATGTTGATTGGCGGGAACCGCTAGATCCACCGCGTGCTCTGATTGGCGGATCAAACGGCGGGAAATTTGAACGGGGTTGATGGTATATGTTGATTGGCGGGAACCGCTAGATCCACCGCGTGCTCTGATTGGTGGATCAGACGGCGGGAAGTTTGAACGGGTTGATGGTATATGTTGATTGGCGGGCCCCGTTAGATAGCGCACCCGACCGGAAGTGATTCAGACAGCCGACGATAGTAAGGTGTAGTATAACGTCTATGCGTAAGCGATGTGACTCATTTCATGTTTTGCGGTAAATATTTGCATATAGATCGATAAAAGCCCATGAATAATGATATTTATAGATGCAATTCTGCTGATTCAGTTTAAACGGAAAAACGTATAAAATTCGCGGGAAACAATGCGTATAGGATGATCTCAATAATCAACACGTCATATTCAGTGTGCATATAAAAATGGAATTGCTCATATATGTGGTGCATACAGTTAATGTTAGTTAATTTTTAACATTGATACAATATTGAAAACATAGTACAGTCTATATTGTGTATCTAATAAATTCAACAAGGCAATCACCTACGTCGCAAATGAGGTTAGGTTCAGGGCAGGTGTTGTCGTAGCGGTGATATGCAAGAAGTACCGGGCGGGGCTGTTAAGCATGGGTGAATGGGCAGGAAGCGCAGGCTGTCAACGAGTTAATACTGACCAACGATAACAGCGGTGACCTTGAAACACTGTGGTCAGTTAAAAAGTGGTGGGGGTAAAATCGAGATTATAAATACCTATGAATCACCGTAAATTATCTTGTCAGTTATCTGCAGCGAACAGACGTGCTCAGTTCAGATTTAGTCGCTAGTTAACGTTTTAGTTTTTAAAAAATGGAAAAATTCTTCATCGTTAAGGATTCTACTAAGAAGATTAAAAAATTTAATCTATATGGGCGAGAAGTGGAATTTAAAATACGACCTATCCCTAAAGACGTCGAACCTGTGGGATGGATCAAAGACGCTCTGGAGGAAATAGTAGCCAAAGGAACTGAACATCTCCAGCCCAGTGATCAAGTTGGATTCACTTTCTGTTCCAAAGACTTTACCCGCGGTCAAGGATGGATAGCTTTTAAATTGTTTTCCGACGTTTCAACTGAGGACATATGGGAGAAGATATCTTCCATCTATCAGTCAAATTCTGTGGGGTTGAATACCGAGACTTTTTGCTTGGGTATTACGTCCGTAAGGTTGCCTGCTGGTCGTGGTAGAGCTCAGAATTTCAATACCTTTGATGAGGAATGCGCCAAAAGAAAAGGCATTATCACCGTTAAAAACACCGATAATTTGTGTCTCCCACGAGCCCTTGTCATCGCCATGGCCCATTTGAACAAAGACAAAGATTATAGCAGAATCCGCCGTGATCGAGGAAAAATACAAGGACAAAGAGCTGTACAACTTGTGGAAAAGGCTGATATTGTTATCCCTGAGGAGGGGTGTGGAATACCTGAACTTCAAAAGCTACAACGATATCTGCAAAACTACAAAATTGTTGTATACAAGTTTGGGTGCAAAGGTCGTGACGTCATTTTTGAAGGCGTGTCCGCTGGTCCGACGCTTAACCTAATATATCACGAGGGGCACTACAGCGTCATAACATCCCTCACTGCTGCCTTTTGCTGCAGCTTTTTTTGTGAGAACTGCCACATTCCGTATAATACTAAACAAATTCATAGATGTGATAAACAATGTTATGCTTGTAAAAGATCTCCGGCCTGCCTGAAAACGAAGCACATCAAATGCAAAGAATGTAATAGAAGCTTTTATGGACAAGAATGTTTTAACGCTCATTTACCATCGGTCTGTTCTAAAATTAAAAGATGTGTAGACTGTTTTAAAGTTCACAACGGTAATGATCACATCTGCGGATATATACTTTGTAAAACATGTTATAAAAATCAACCAATTGAACATATGTGCTATATACAGCCTGACAGAAGTATTCCTAAATCAAATGATGTCTTATTAATATTTTACGATTTGGAAACCCGTCAGGAGAAGGAATTACCCAATGGATCTTTACTGCATGAGCCAAATCTATGTGTATTCAAACAATGTTGTGAATCATGTACCGATAATCCTATATGCAAGAAATGTGGCCTTCGAATACAGATTCTTCGATGTCAAGACGTCATTTCTCCATTTATGCATCATATTCTGACACTTCGTAAAAAATTCAAGAAAGTCATTGTACTGGCGCATAATGGTGGAGGATTTGATCATCAGTTTCTACTTCGTTACATTTTAGAGAAGACTAGTCTGTACCCGAATGTAATTATGAGAGGAACAAAATTAATATTGATGGAGGTAGGAAATGTAAAATTTCTGGATTCTCTCAATTATTTTCCTATGCCTCTAACTGCTCTACCCAAGGCGTTTGATTTGAAAGAGCTAAAGAAAGGATACTTTCCACATTTATTCAACACTTTGGCTCATCAGAATTATGTAGGGCCAATTCCAGCGCTCGACTTCTACGATCCCGACCATTTAAAGGAAGACGCTCGGGAAAAATTATTAAAATGGCATGGCGAAAGACAAGCGGAGGGATACGTTTTTGATTTTCAGAAAGAAATCGTTGAATACTGTATCTCCGATGTGGAAATATTGACACAGGCGTGTCTCAAATTTCGAGACCTGATGAAAACCGAAACCACAGTCGATCCCTTCCAGGAAAGCACCACTATTGCATCATGCTGTAACAAAGTCTTTAGACGCAATTTTTTAAAACCTGAGACGATCGGGGTAATTCCAAAAGGGGGCTATAGATGGCGTGAAAATCAGTCAAAAATTGCCATCCAATGGCTGTTGTGGGAGGAACATCAAAGAGGAATCAAAATTCAACACGCCGCTAAGGGTATAGAAACCATTGTTAAGGGACATAAAGTAGACGGTTTTTGTAGCGACACAAATCAAGTGTTTGAATTCCAAGGATGCTATTTTCACGGTTGCCCTCGATGTTTCAAATACAAAAGAAGCAATCCTCTGCATAATGATCCGTTGAATACATTGGAAAGTCGATACGAACAATCAGTTAGCAAAGTAGAGAGACTCCGAAGCCTTGGACTAGAAGTAATTGAGATATGGGAATGTCAATTTCGAGGAATGCTAAACGATGAAATTAGAGCCTTCACAGAAGCACATCCATTGATAATCAATTTACCGATTAACCCCAGAGACGCTCTCTACGGGGGACGTACAGAAAATATCGTTGAATACTACAAGATCAAAACAAATGAATGCATAAAATATGTCGATATATGTTCCCTGTACCCCTTCATCTGTAAATATGGAAAATTTCCGGTGGGTCATCCAAAAAAAATTTACGTAGGTGAAGAATGTGTTACAGCCTCTCTGTCGCAGATGTCAGGACTTATTAAATGCCAGATTCTACCGAATCAGAACTTATATCACCCCGTTTTACCGTCAAAAATGAACAACAAATTGATGTTTGTTAACTGTCAAAAATGTGGTGAAGATTTCGTTCGAGAAGAGTGTCAGCATTCTATTCAAGAAAGAAGCCTAAAAGGAACTTGGGTGATAGAAGAGGTGCTCAAAGCTATTGAAAAAGGTTACCAGATTATAGAGACTTACGAAATATGGGAATACGAT